CGTGAATAAATTCTGCTTGAAAGGAATATAAAAAATATGTCGGCTTAAAAGGAACACAGTAAGTATCTACAGAGTGTATTGGTTCCTACAGTTTTTTTTTTGGGTTTTTTTTTTTTTGGAAAACCTTGTCTTCAAATACTATGCATAAAAAAACGCAAGCATCCTAGTAATATTGACCTAATAGCACTTGTGAAAGTGTATATATATATATATATATATATATATATATATATATATATATATATATATATATATATATATATATATATATATATATATATATATATATATATATATATATATATATATACATATTCTATTAAAGAAGTCATCTGTTTTGTATAATTTATCGTGAGAGATGATTGTGAGTTGTACGTTTTGATGTTGCTTCAAAATAAAATGTGTTTTTAAATTTTCTAAAAGTTTTTTGGAGAATTTGAGCTGCATTATTTGGGAAAATTTCCAACCTTGGTAAATTTTATACACCTTCTAGCCCTAATAATCAAATTAAACATCTCTATGTACAAGTGATAAACTCGCTTGAATTGGAATTTTTAGTAATCTCTCACTGGGCTCAGACAATTCAAATCAAGCCAGTCTATCGCCTGTAGAGGCGAATATAAAGGGTTAAGAAGTGGATAAAATAAACAAGTTGGTTTAAGAATGTATCTGGAATTAGGGGGTGAAAGGTAAATGATTTACCAAAGTTGAAAAGTGGAGAAATTCTCCCAAATAGTGCGCAAAAAATCCTGCGCTGTAAATTGCACATTTTTTGCATTATGTGATCAGTTGCGTGATGGTCAAAGACTAATATATAAAACCATAATGCTACAGTTCTGCATCTAGGACTTTAACATGCCACAAGCATAATTCATTTACAAGTTTTTACATCACTGCAAAATTCCTTGCATCACTCCAGTAGGGATGATCAATTTTGTGTTGAACTGTTGGGGAGGTGGAGCTATAGCTGCAGTAATGTAGCCCTCTCCGATTTTTTTAATCGCTTCCCCCAAAAAAGGGAGAGGGCAACATTTTTGCAGCTAGAAGAACTATAGTGAAAAATATATAGCAGATATAGTGAAAAATGTATTGCAATGAACTCAGATGGCTTCCTTGATTTGATGGAACCTCACGATAGTGTCATGGCTAACATAGGGTTCTGTAATCTTATGGAAGAGCTGAATCTTTCTCATGCAAATTTGCTTGTTCCACCAGGAAGGCATGGGATTGCAAAGATGACTGCATATGATGTTCAGAAAACAAAAGAAATAGCAAATGGAAGAATATATGTAGAACAAGCCATAAGACATATAAAGTTCTTTCGCTTACTGAAATTTGAAGTTCCTGTTGTCAACATTTATGCAATACACTCAAAATTGCTTGTGGAATATGCAATCTTTTATCCACCCCTTCCTAGGTATAATTAAAATGGTAAAAAAAATAAGCTATGAGGAATTTTTTTCTCTTCAGAAACATTTATATTTTAAAATTTTGCAATAACAAACATGAAATGAGTATATGACAATGCTTTAATATATACATTACACATTTGTCAATACATTGTTAATGTCATTCTCATAAAGTTCACATTTTATGGTACTTATGTCTAAAGGTAGTACACACTAAATATGACAAATAATCTTTTTCCTCAAATTCAGTTTTAAATATCGCCTATCAGACCCATGTAAGAAGACTGTGAAATCAGACATTCGACCTGAGAATGAGTATTTTTTTTTAAATTAACAGTCAATCTATTAAAAACTTTTGTGATACTGCTTATAAAGGCAACCCTTTGTAACTTAAATTCAGTAAAATACATGTATATTAATAGCAGTGTATTTGAGACAAATATGATGTAAAAATAAAACATATATAGCCCAGAAATGGAAAATTCACAGGTAAATATGCATAACCACAATACAAAATGTAGACTCCAACTATTGGAAGATTGACCTTTAGTACTGTTACTTATATAATGGTAAAGGGATGGATCTTGATGCTTGTGTCAGATTGTTCAAATGAAAACAAAATAGATTTCATGTAGTATTATTGGACTTCCATCTGTAAGCAATCCTCCTCAATCATATCTGCTCCAGAAGCATGTGGTTCCTTCCCCTTGGCTTGGTGAGGTGGATCAACATCTAGACAAAATAATGAAATTTAACAAATTATAACAGGCATAAAACATTATACATTAATTTAACTGTTTAACTAAGAATAAGTTCAAATAGTTGTCGATTCATCCTGCTGGTTATTATTTTATTATTCACTGAGGAACCTTGATGATATTGGGATGAATTATTCAATTTTTGGGTAGAGATTTCTATCAATGGTGAAAAAATAGAACCTTCATTATCATCATGATTAATCAATATAATGTATATTATGTTACAGATTGAATTGTAATCTGTTACCTTTAAATAAACAAGCATCGGGTAAGGTTTCTCTAAATGCATCTGAAAATGTTGCTTAAAAGTTGTCCTCCTCACTATCCTCAATCCTGCAACATGATTGGTACATGATTGTCCAAACCTATATTAGAGAGCAGAAAAAAGCATTAATTAAAAATACAGTTTTACAAGAAGAAGGATCCAAAATTGAAAGTATTTTAAATTATTTTTATTAGTTTTAAAATATTGATGGAGATTCTGTGAGATAAAGAGCTAGTGACCATGCAACCCCATTGCAAGGTAAACCCAAAAGTATTGAATACATGTCATATTATTACGCATTCAACTATCAACTGAGAAACAATAATATACTTTTTTCTCCAGCAAATCACTGTGTCTTTGAGTAGCTAAAACAAACAGATGGTCAATATCAATTTTTAATAAACATGTATGAACTGAATTGAACCTGTACTTTAACATGTTATAAGAGAAAAATATAACTCTACTGGTATTTCAACCCTGAGGAAATAATAAGCATTTCGCTAACGACTTGTATATAAATGACCTTTATGTGTAATAGCGAGGAGGCGCAAAGCACCACCATATGTCAATATATGTCATGCTCACCATGCTGTACAAGTACAGCAGCATGGTGTGCATGACATATATTGACTTAACTTCCCCCGAGTTTTTAACACAACACAGCACAGCAAGCCCACATAGATAGAACGTTCTATTGTTAAAATGATATTGTCCTTCGCACCCAATGTGGTGAGTGCTTGTACAGAGAAACAGATTAATTTAACTACAAACATACAATGTATCCGCCAGGCTCAGAACACAGGCTCTGTGAAGGGTACATGCGGCACGCAGAAAGCAATATGGGCTGGTTCTGTCAATTAGGGTGGTAAAACACTTCTTTCAGTGACAGTCACTGGCTCTGGAAGTACTGGTAGGCCTTCCCAACTTCATACTGGTTTAAATGTTTCTTTGCCCTCTTTTCTGTCTCATGCTTTACCAAAATAATCACTCATATAAAATTATGTGCACAAGTACATATCTTCAGAAGTGATAAAAAAAACAAATGAAACCATAATTAAGCTTGATTACTGATCATACTGTTAGTAATATATTACAGCTCATTAAATTTATACTTTATTATAATTTGCTACAAAACCATCTTGACACATGTAGTCACATTTTCTGTGTTATGTGTATTCATAGTCAAAGTTGATGTATATCTTTTTTTGTAATTTTGTCTATTAAATAATTTTTATTTACTGGATCTATGTACCTCATTAAAAACACTGTTAAATCGGTGATTAAAGGTGATGGCCAATTCTCCATTCCAAGCTTTTAATCTTACCAGGCAGTTTTCATACAGGCCCTAACTCGCGAGGCTCATATACAGTCAGGTTATGTTTATATTGGTTTATTGATAAAACTGCCGAGTCTTCATGCCAATCATGGTCCTGTGAATCACTCAATCAGTCTTGTCCTCCGTGTCCATGATGTGGAAAAATTGTGTCAAAATATGTGTGTAAAACGTATCAAAAGTCCAGTAAAATATCGAAAAAGGTAACAGAAACAGAAAGGTAACATCAACAAGTGGCATCCATATAATTGTTTACGCTGGTTTTTCCCCTATGACCTTTGACACGCATACATAAATAGGTATATAAAATACATGGTTACTGTCTTGAAATATAAGCGATATTTGGGCGAGGGTAAGAAAACATGATAGAGGGCGAGGCTTGCCGAGCCCTCTTACGTTTTCGACCCGAGCCCAAATATCGCTTATATTTCAAGACAGTTATCATGTATTTTGTTTATCCTGCAACATATTTTTACCATTTGAACGTCCAAAACAAGCTATTTCCGACAGATTTAGGCACTTCTCTGCAGTTGAAACTATGACGCCATGGCGTAAACATTGCAGTATACGTGACGTCACAATGCTTTTAGAACGTCGGAATACATGCACGAGGCTTTATTAGGGCAGTGACTGGATAAAGCTTTGGTTTATTAGGTTACCTTTATTAGGTCAATGTAGGGGGTAGTTGCAGGATAAAAATCAATACTGCGGCTCTCTGTGTGCAATAGAACTATGCTGGCGTCTGATGCAGCGCATGTTTGCAGCAGCAACTTAAATATTTCGTATTAATTGTCCATCCGGCCAAGAGCACATTGTAAGTTTATATGTTTGCAAATGTTTAATATGATTATAGTATTTGATTTTGCTTAAATGTTGGCATAAGTGTCTTGCATTGAATTTGTGTATTTTCTAGTCATTTCTAAAAATAGCAGATACCGCCAAATTTATAGTGTACAATTTTGCATTGATATATTTGCATAGTTTGCTCAATGACATATTGTGAGATATTGCGAGATATTATGAGATATTATTACTATGAATTTAAGTGGAATTTATCTAAATCTATTCCTGTAATTTTCAAAATGTATGTAAATCAGATTAATGGCAATTTATTGGTAATCTAGTCAGTATGATTGTTGCATGTATGATTGTCTGTTATTTGATTACATTTTTAGTACAAATTCATTTTTGTATGTTTCAGCCTTTCACCACGTTCTTCAATAAACTTGAAACACAGTTTGATTGGGTGGTTTATCTGCTTATACGCAGTGACATACATCTAGATCATGATTTGCCATTTATATCAACCATTCTGCTTCTCAGACCTTACAATCACTGTGGAATGAGGGATGAAGTGGTTTTTTGCCTTTATTGGTAGCAGTGCAACTGTGGGTGTGTAGGTCTGAAAAACAAAGGCAAACTCAATGATGTCACGTGTAAACGATTGAGAACGGTTTGGGAGGGCTTTGCTCTACTTCCTCTTTGCACTATAGATATAAAGATAATTCAGAAGACTGTGGTTATAAGCTGCATCACAAACCAAAGGAAATAGGACTCTGTCATGCAGCGCATTTTGATATTCATTATTTCTTGGTGTTTGATAAATTATTTAAAGTAAGTAATAATTTATGTTTGAAATTTGAATTTAGTTTTTGTAAGTGTGATTACTACATAGTATTTTCAAAAATATTAGGTATATTTTATAATAATATTTTATAAGGAACAAGAGAGAAGACTGATTAATTTGTAAATTTGTGAGTGGAAGAGAGAGAGAGAGGGGGGGGGGGCTTTATTATTTTTTTCAATAAATACAACTTATTTTATTGAAAAGAATTATCAAATACTATATTTCAATAAGAGTATTATTATAAAGTGAAACATGTCTAATCCAACCTGCACCCGGAGACGAATTTTGAGTCGGATTGCAGTGTAAAAACATAGAAAATAGTACGAAAAGGAACGAAATCAAACGTCGGAATTTACAGTGTGATGGATTGCACAGGTGTCAGATTAGACAGTTTTCACTGTAGTTTTTTTTTTAATTTTAATTGTATCCGTCTTTGTATTTTATTCATATCTGGTTTAAATGTACGCAATCACCTTATTTAACATGACTAAGTGCGAGCAATAATAGCTTTCGACTGCAATAACTTCGTATCGGCATGCACTCCATTGAATATATATATACTAGATCATGTATGCAAGTCGAAAATGTAAGTCTGGGTTTGCATTGTTCGCCGTACTCCTTGATTTTAGGCATACCTGATTTAAAAGGTATAGGTGAACCATAATTTTTTATACTGTAGATTCCTAATTATACGCGAGGAATTAATTTCCGCGTAATTTCACGAGAAGCGTCACTCGCGAAAAAATATTACTCGCTTTTATTTTTATGGTGCTGAAATCTATGTAAATTCTGTTGATCATCCGTCCATTCGCGAAATATAATTCTCGCGATTTGACATGAAAGACCCAGTTCGCGATAAAAAGTACTCGCGAAAAAATAAGGAATCTACAGTATTGATTTTCAACTTCTCTTCTTTAAGTTTGAAATTCATAAATTAATTGTTTTTCATACTAGTTGTTAGTTCATTATTTACACACTGAATTGGCGACGGATTTTCCCCTTATTTCCCCATCATGACAAGGAGAACACGGTGGGTGTGATTTGTCGGCAGAGGATACTCACTCCTCCATGGCACCTGATCCCACCTCTGATGTTTTGGAGGTCTGTGTTTGCTCTGCTCCTATTGTTTATTGTTTTATTGACTTTTGACCTTGAATACTGTTTGTAATCTCCATATATTCCATCTTTATGACTCATGGGCCATTGCAATTTGGCAATTTCTTCATTCGTCGACCTGAAGAATTTATGTAATTTGTTTCACAGTAGGAAAACCTATCACAAGATCTGCTGGGAAGTTCCGTACTCTTTTTATATGGAATTGATGGTTGAAATATTCGATCGGGTCAAAGACATCTGTAATACCTAGTTATTGGTATAACTTTTGGTGCGTCTTACAAATGAATGGAGCTAGTGATTTATAAAATGAATTTGAAGTTAACGTAATTTTTGACTTGACAGGGAACAAAAAAAATTTTCTTTTGCCTCTTTTATCGTCATTCCGTCTATTGTATTGACTGATTAATTTGTAAATGTGTGAGTGTATGTGTGTCTGTGTGTATGTGAGAAAGAAAGAGAGAGAGAGCTTTATTTTTTAAAAATAAATACAAGTTATTTTATTGACAAGAATTAGTAAATACTTAATTTCAATAAGAGTATTGTTATACAGTGAAACATGTCTTATTCGACATGCACTGAAAGACAGACGAATTTTGAGTCGGATTGCAGTGTAAAAACATTAAAATAGTACAAAAAGGAACGAAATCATACGTCGGAATTCACAGTGTGATGGATTACAGGGTGTTTGATTACACTGTTTTCACTATAGTTTTTTTATATTTTAATTGTATCGCTTATTTTGTTCAAATCTAGTTTAAATACTAAGTATATGCAATCACCTATATTTAACATGACTCAGTTCGAGCAATTTTAACTTTCGACTGCAATAATTTTGTAATGGCATGCACTCCTTTGTTTACTGAGTATAGATTTACAAGAATATGTAGGCAAGTTTGGGTTTCCAGGGTTTGCAGCGTTCGGCGTAGTCCTTGATTTAAGGGATGGCTGATCTAAAAGATTTAGATGAACCATAATTCTTTATCATTTATTCTGAACTTCTCTTCTTTTAGTTTAAAATATTTATGACTAATGAGTTTTGCAATTTGGTAATTTTTTCATTTGTCGACCTGAAGAATTTTTTTGATTTGTTCAACAGTAGGAAAACCTATCACAAGATATACTGGGTAGTTCCATGTTCTTTTATATGGAATTGATGGTTGAACTGTCCTATCGGGTCAAAGACGTCTGTAATACCTAGTTACTGAGATAACTTTTGGTGCGTCTTACAAATGAATGGAGCTAGTGATTAATAAAATGAATTTGGAATTATTGATTTATGAATTGAAGGGAACAAATATTTTCTTTTGCCTCCTTTATTGTTTAGAGGCTATATAATTAAACATGTCATCAGAAAAGTTACTGAGACTTTATGTGTCTAGATACTAGTTAGTGTATTGGAGTAGGATGCAAAGTTCAGACTCCGAAGCGATGTTTATATGTATTTTTTAAAACGTAATATAAACGATGCCGTTTATGGTAACCATATTTAAAAAAGTGTTCTAGAAAGATGGAGGATGGTTGGTTATGCTTCACAAAAATTGTTGCATGTAAACATCATACTATCGTCGGAAATCCACGGTCCATCTCGTATGATCAATAATTAAGCGTATGGGAGATTGGCCGTGTGTTTCAAACAATTATAGATTATACATGTAACTGCAATTGCAGCAGAGCTACGCTGAGGCGTGCTTTACTCATTGGTTGTTCATCAAAAATTTAGTTATGATGGCCAATTTTAAGCGCAAAGAAGAAATATCTTTCGTTTTTCTTTTGTAGTTCTCTTTTCTTTATGGAGACCGATGAAAAATTTCCCTACAAAGGTTATCGAAATCAAGTCAAATATTACCCACAATGCCAGCCTAGGTCCCATACTTTTTCCAGCCTAGGTCCTATACTTTTTCCTGCCCAGTGACGTATCACATTTCAATTATACTGGTTACATTCCAGTAACTCATGTCAGTCTCCATTGTTCCTAACAAGTGAACCTTGTCATTCTCTACTGAAAGAACACACGGCGGGTGACCGGTCAGCAGGAGATGCTAACTCCTCCATGGCACCTGATCCCACCTCTGATGTTTTGGAGGTCTTTTTTTGCTTTACTTCTGTTTTGTATTGTTTTATGGACTCCTGATGTTGAATACTGTTCGTTATCTCCATATGTTTCATTGTTACTGCTGCAAAATTTGTCCTTTACTCGGAATCATAGGGTTATTGAGCATGAGGCATCTTTTTCATACCGCAATTAGTACGACACGGGACCTCTGTTTAAAAACGGTATCATCCGAAGGACCGGTCTCCACGTCCCTCAGTGGAATTAACTCCTTACTTCGCAACTCTAGAGCAGTCACTCTGACCTTTGCGCCACGCGGGCGACCATGATGTTCGATAAAAAAATACACACAAAGTAATAAGAGCTCTTTGATAAGTTGGATATGGTAAACTGGAATGTTGTTCACTTTAGAAAAGCTCATTAAATAAAGTCATATACATTACATATGAGATTGAACTCTCCTCTGTTTACAGAATCACTCTAACTGCAATCTCTACTTTTTAGCATTTTAGCCAGTCCTTGTAAAACCACTACTAGGAGAGTTGAGTCATTTCGGAAAAGGGAATGCACACGATGGTTTTTGGGATGGTGGTACGTGAGATTAGATTTGGTATAATATGAAAATAATATTAAGTGTCATACATATTTATTCATATTAGTCAACATAATAAAGGGTTGATTTTTAAAACAGAGTTTAATCACATTGTTTTCGTGTGTAAAAATGCATTCATCTAAAAAAATAACTATTTTTCTTCAAAATATTTTAATAGATGATATTTAGTTTGAAAATACAGCATCTAATAATTGAAATGTGCACCCTAAAAAAACGCACCTTCTTAATTCTGTACTTTTAGTGAAAACCATCATTGAAGAAATAATATATGTTTATCAATGAAGGGCAAGTTAAATGGTCTCTGAAAGGCTATTATTGGAAGCATGAAATGTATAAAGACAAGACCCCTATAAAATCCGCCATTTGCAATGTACTTTCTGTTTCATATCTTAACATTTGGACAAAAACAAAAAAAAACAAAAAAACAAAAACAGGGAAAACAACTTTCCAGAGGCTATCGAAGTCCAACTTGCCCTTCATTGATAAACATATATTGTTTCTGCAATTATGTCTTTCACTAAAATTACGGAATTAATTAGGTGTGTTTAAAGGAAATATATGCATTTTTCTCAAGATTTTTTTAAAGTATTTATTATCAAGTAATACTTTCTGTCTGTAAATCAATGATATATTTATAAACTGAGAAAGTTTTTAATTTATCAACCACATAGTTCTGGAACTATTGTAAAAATAAATTTTTGGACAAGTTGACCTTTGGTGAAACCTTAAAACTCTTTATTGAGTAAGATCTATTTCCTGCAGTACCCAGTATACGTGGATGTGGCGATATAGGGAGACTTACTCACAAACCTGTTGTCCTGGATACGGCGGAAGTGACTGTCAACGTAAGTATAGTAACAAATTGCTGTTCTTTCACAAATGACTGCAATACGTGGACTACATATGTATATATGCATGGTTATATGTGTTTCTAAAGACGAAATCCAGAGAAAAATTATCGATTTATTGAATTTACATGTAGGTGTAATTAGACTTTTTTTTTTATCTTGAATTGTAAAATTGTCATCGTAATTAAAGACAGTCTAATTGCTAAATCAAATTGTAATAAAAATATGTATAATGTGACCTTAAAGCTGAACACGACTATAAATATAGAGGATTAGGTCCTATTAGGAACTAATGCTTTTAATCGCAATAATTATTACGTTTCAACACAGTCTTTTTAAATCAAACGCAATAATTCTGCGATTTAACGCAATTCTTTCTGCGTTTAATCTGAATAATATTTTTGCTTTCTAGGGTAATCTTTTTTGCGTTTAATCGCAATTATTTTGACGGATAATCGCAATAATACTTTTTGCGTTTAATCGCAGTAATCATTTGCGTTTAAAAGCAATAATATCAAGATTAATCGCAATGTTTTGTGTACATAAAAGGCAATGATTATTACTACTTAATAAAAAACAATTTTTTCGCAACAAAATGTATTAAAACGCAGAACAATTTGCATTTATTCCCAAAAGATCGCGCTTTTTGCAATAATTTTGCGGTTAAACGCAATGACATACTTTTTTTTGTCACAAATGGTGCTTTGAATTCTATAACTAATCAACTATAATTCTTTAATTCTTGCAGAATCTCTCCTATCTCTTTTTTCTTAAAAGTTAAAGAATAATGACTTCGTTTTTGCACCTTTTTATATCAGTCAAAAAGGTATTAAAACAAAAATTTCGATGTTGTGTCTTGAATGTTTTTTCCGAAGGTTCTACGATTACGATATATTATATTTATAATTGAGTATTGCATATAAAGCTCAGCGAACGGAAGCAATTGCAGTGGCGTAAACTCTACATAAAACTATTACAGCATTAGGATTTTAAATTCATTGTTTTTTTCGTCAGCACTATTGTTGCTTCACAGAAGAACGTTTTCAATTTTAGAAACAGCAGGTTTATAAATTTAATAGAAACATCCAGTCTGTAACACTTTTTATACTTGATCAATTGATCCAGTTTGAGCCAATCAGATAGTTGGAACAATACAGAAAAATAATAAATATAAAATACATGGTTACTGTCTTGAAATATAAGCGATATTTGGGCGAGGGTAAGAAAACGTGATAGAGGGCGAGGCTTGCCGAGCCCTCTTACGTTTTTGACCCGAGCCCAAATATCGCTTATATTTCAAGACAGTTATCATGTATTTTGTTTATCCTGCAACAAAATTTTACACTTGAGCGTCCAAAACAAGCTAATTCCGACAGATTTAGGCACGTCTCTGCAGTAGAAACTATGACGCCATGGCGTAAACATTGCTTTTAGAACGTCGGAATACATGCACGAGGCTTTATTAGGGCAGTGACCGGATAAAGCTTTGGTTTATTAGGTTACCTTTATTAGGTCAATGCAAGGGGTAGTTGCAGGATAAAATGCAGAAATGACAACTTAAAAAAAAGAAACCGCGCTTTTGTGGACTCTATTAAAAAACACATTAATTGAAGTCTGGAATCAATAGATGCAAATCAAGTAAAATAACACTGATAAATTGAATTGTATTACGAATAAACATTTCAATTTTCTAAGCTTTTGTGTCTTTAAGATACTGAGACATAAACGACTATTGACACTCTATGCGTAGATTTTATTAAATTTTCTTAATCTGCATTCATTAATTGAATTTAGGATAACCGTTCAAGAATACGATGCATTAATGTTTTTGTATCACTACACCACGTAGAGTTACTACATTTCTTAAAAAGATCAAGTACGCAGTCTTTTATGCAATCTAATGCATTGACAATTCCTTGCTTTAAATTCATATTTAGAATTGGAACAAAACGTCACTTCACGGTCAGATAAGCATAATTTTCTGAGAACTACCTGTACAATCATGCGTAAAGAATTACTTACAGATAAAGATCGCCTTTAAGTTAAATTTGTGCATTTTTATTTATAAACTTTAAACATGAGAAGGGAGGCTAATACTAAACTTCGGCCATGCAAAAATGACGTGGTAAAATCATAATTTAGAAAAAGACTCAATTAAACTGTATATTTGAAAGTAAATGTAGCGTCAAATTTATACAGCAACGAAAAATTCTACATAGTACCCTGTAAATCTAAAGTCAATCCCCTCTTATTTCTTTGTCTTAATATTCAACTTTGAGGAATGAAACGATTCGCGAGAAAGCAGTCCTTTCCTACACAAGACAACAAGCGCGACATCTATGCGAAATTTAGAATCACCAGTAATTTATTTAATGATATATATTTGTAGCTCTCTGTAACGGGAATTGTCGTGGACGCGGCACGTGTATTGCACCAGACAAGTGCAGCTGTCGAGGGGGTTACACGGGAAATGCCTGCCAAACCCGTAAGATTATACCAATCAGATATAATTAAAAGACAGAATGAAGTAATATTTGAAAGAGACAACTAGAGGATAACTATTCAAAGCTTAGTACCAAACCTTTGTTTCAGCTGCATGTAGTCCTCCATGTCAACACGGATCCTGCACTCGGCCTGGTATCTGTACATGTTATGGAGGGTACACCGGATGGAGCTGTGAAAACCGTAAGCTTCTCGTTCATCTGGCTATACTGTTCTTGAACCGATTTTTTCCTATATATTCCTTTGTAAAAATTTCATCCCCGTTGTGGCCCTCTCTACCTTCTGGGATCATGCATGAATTAATTGAACAAATGTAAATCAACACTAACTAACAATGCTTCCATATAAATATGATACATGGCTTTTCTGTTCTTGAGAAGATTTTTCCTGTATATTCCTATGTAAAACTTATCATCCATAATGACCCCACCCTTCCCCGAGGGTAATGGTCTGAACAAACTGTAATCTTTACCACCCAAGGATGATTCCATATTAAAATGACTAACTGTGGCTTTGTTGTTCTTGAGAAGAACATTTTTAAAAGGTTTTTCTTTATATTCCTATGAACAATTTTGATCCTGGTTGTTTTCCAACCCAGTATCCCAGGGAATCATGATTTGAATAAACTTTAATATAAACTTCCTGAGGATGCTTCGATATAAATATGACTTATCATGGCTTTGTTAAGAAGATTTTTAAAGAAAATTCCTACATGTATATATTCCAATGTAAAACTTTGATTGTTCATTATGGCCCCAACCTTTCCCAAGGGCCATGATTTAAACAACTGGAATCTTCACTATTTAAGGATGATTTCATATTAATATGACTATTTGTGGCTTTGTTGTTCTTGAGAATTTTTTTAAAAAGATTTTTCCAATAAATTACTAATCATCCCCCGATAAAGGATTTAAAGGTCTGGGCATTTTAAAAAAATTATGTAACGTTTAACAATGTTAAACTTTTTTCAGGTGAGTTTAATGTATGTACAACCTTGATCCCCTACTTTAATTTGGTCCTACCCTACCTGTTTGTGACCCTTTTGGGTCATGATTTGAACAAATTGGAGTCTTCGCTACCCAAGGATACTTCCATATCAATACGAACAATCATGACGTTGTTGTTGTTGAGAAGAATATTTTTTCCATTGTATTCCTATGTAAAACTTTGATCGTCCATTGTGGCCTCACCTTACCCCTGGGGTCATGTTTTGAACAAACTTGAATTTACACTACCTAAGGATTATTCACTTTGAGTTTCATCTTTCCTGGTCCAGTGGTTCTTGAGAAGAAAAATTTTAAAGGATGCCATTTATTTTTCACTTACATGTTTTTGTAATTATCTCCCATTTGAAAAGGTTGTGGCCCTTCATTTTAAAAATCTTGAGTTCCCATCACCCAGGAATACTTTGTGGCAAGTTCGATGGAAAATGGCCAGGTGGTGTTTGAGAAGAGGTCGAAAATGTAAAAGGTTTTCATACAGACGAACAGACAGATAGACAGCTAGATAAGCGGACGGCGGACAAAATGTTATCAGAAATTTTTTTAAAATTTGGTGAAATTAATGTACTCAATGAATCAATTTTAATGATTTTATGTCAATTATTACAGCCGTATGTAATCCAACTTGTCAGCATGGGGGCGTCTGCGTGAGTCCAAATACATGTCGCTGTCCATCACGCCAATACACGGGCCCCAACTGCAATATACGTAAGTCAATTATCCATTCCTCATGTGGAATACTTTTATATGAAAATGGTATCTCTGATACAATGTCTTGGAAATAAAAAATTTGTTCAACTATTATCCAGTAGGGCTGTATTTCAATTTCAAATGTTTCAAACAATAAAATCGTAATATTAGGTGACATTTCAATAAATATAAACAAAACGAGCGGGGGGAAAAACACGTAAATAAATGAATTTTATTCAAGAAAATAAAAGAAACATTGATGATATGGTAGAACAAATTATAATAAATTATATATTTGCGTTACTAAAGTGTTTGCTGAATAATCCTCAATTTAAAAATATATTAACTTTTAGCTGTTTGTGATCCACCATGTTTAAATGGGGGAACTTGTTCAAGTTCAAGAAGATGCCAATGTCCCAATACCTACACAGGAACAACTTGTCAAACACGTATGTATTTAATTTGTTGATGAAGATTACGCCAAATTCTTCTTTGTTAAAGAAAATCATCTTATTCTTCACTAAGAAATATCATCTTACTATTCACTAAGGAATATCTTACTCTTCACTAAGGAATATCATCTTTCTCTTCACTAAGGAATATCATCTTACTCTTCACTAAGGAATATCATCTTTCTCTTCATTAAGGAATATCATCTTAATCTTAATCTTATGTATATATACCGTAAATCTGGAAATTTTTACGTCGATTTTATTTTGCGAATTCGGATCAAAATGGTGTTGATAAATTTTTATGTTTCAAAATTTTGCGAATTACCACTGCTTTGTTTACAATTTCTTATTGGTAATTTATTTTTAAGAAAAATATTTTTGCGAATGCAATGAACACGCAAAGAACTTTATTCGGTTATAACCAATATTTGCCCCCCATATCACACTTTGATGGAGATATATTTAATTAAGTTCTTAAACAGGGGAGTATATGCTGGCTTCAAAGCACTGAATATTTTCATAAATAATGACGCCATATGTACGTAATGACGTCACAAACATGACGTAAATTTCAGTTTTTAATGAATTTTACAGAAAAATGTACAGGTTTTGTCGATATTTTGAGTAAAAGTCACCGAGCGCATGTGTGTTCAGGATCAATATTTTGATATAATGTGTAGAATGATAATATCAATGAAATATGTCAATATTGTTCCTGAACAAACTTGCGCTCTATAAATTTTAAAGCTAACATTGTTGAAATTTTGTCCATTTTGTCCTCTTTCTGAAAAAGGATATAAAATCGGACTAGTTTGTGACGTCATAAAAACAAAAATTGTGAATACACTGCTTTGACACTATAATATTTTCTGTTAATTCATATTGCTCATACAATTTATTGAATTCAGCACATTTCAGGAAGTCTTCAAAATTTGACTTTTGTGGGGGCAAATATATGCAATATACCGCATATAGTTCTTTGCTAAAAATTTATCTACAGCAAAACTTCAGTAAGGAATATCTTACTCTTCACTTTGGAATATCATTTTGCCCTTCTTTAAGGAATGCAATCTTACTCTTCACTAAGGAATATTATCTTTCTTTTCATTAAAGAATATCATCTTGCTCTTCACTAAGGAATATAATCTTACTCTTCATTAAAGCAAATAAAATCATCTAACATCCACTATGGAATATCATCTTACCTCCACTATTGAATATCATCTTACTCTTCACTAAGGAATATCTTACTCTTCACTAAGGAATATCTTACTCTTCACTAAGGAATATCTTACTCTTCACTAAGGAATATCATCTTATTCCTCATCAAGGAATATCGTCTTACTCTTCATTAAAGAATATCATCTTACTCTTCACTATGGAATATAATCTTATTCTTCACTAAGGAATATCATCTTACCCGTTAATTTGTTGCATTGTAGAAGTATCTCGTTATAACGAGTTAATTATCTCGTTATAACGAGTTGATTTTCTCGTTTTAACGAGTTAATTTTCTCGTTATAACGACTTAGCTTTATCTCGTTATTACGGAAGCGTAAATGGCTCTACACTTGTTGTGTTATAACTTTGCATATTGTCTTATATTTTATCGACTTACCAATATATAAAGTGTTATACCTCCTTATTTATGTACATATTTTAAATTGTTTTAAGATTTCTTAACATAATAGAAGGCAACTTCTTTTGTTCAACAGATTTTATTGCTACAAGTTTTATCGACTGAAATAATATACTGATTTTCAGATATTGATTAAAACAAGATATTTAATCATATCGATATAATATTGTTGACATGATAAAATAAAGTTATAGTTATATCACTTTTAATTTATGAATATTTGCGATAAAGAAGTCAGAATAAAGTGTTTTTGAATTATTTTGGCGGGGGCGGGAATTCCAATGAACCTTCACTTCACTCGGGATTCAGTGAAAGCTTACATGTATTTATCATGTCAGCATGTACGATAAAAGGCTGAATCAAATTAAAAAGTATATTAAAAAAGGGAGATGGAGACAAATTGAAAGTTATAATCCATAGTGGGTTATTGCACCGATCACCACTTTTGAAGAGGGGGAGACAAGAGTATCTTTGTGCCTCTCATCCAGCTATAAAAAAAACCTCAAAAACTGAGTACAGCAGAGATCCACTGATGTGTCCCCAAATTTAAGAAAATTCTCGCAGTTAGATTATTAAATCCCTGGGGTGTTTTTCTTGTTATCAATCTAATTTGGCTGACACTACACTTTCCTCCTTTAAACTTTGTGACTAAGGTTATACAGATTGGCTGAAGTCACAAATTATTTTATATTATTTAAAGCAATAAGAAGTTAGATCTGGTGTTATTATATTTTTATGCAGGTGGGCGGGAGGTTTCAAGACTGGTGGTTCGCATTCATGAGTCAGATCCTATGTATACCACAGAGTGGAACAACATCAAATATTTACATAGTACATATATAAACAGTGTTACTTTTATAATAGTGTTAGGTACTTTCTATTTTCGCATCATTAGCGATTTACAATCCCCATTGAACTCAAGAGATATAAGCAGTGAACCATGATAGAATATATCAGATTCCCTCTTCAAAATGATGGGTATGATAATGTCCTATGACAATGCATATAATTTAATTTTGATGTCTCTCCATCTCCACTTTTCAAATATTTTTGAATTTTGTTTCAGCCTATAATCGTGCAAAATAGCAAATACATGGTACATAAGCTTCCCAAGCGAAGTGAAGATTTATTAGAATTCCCGCCCCCGCCAAGTTAATTCAAAAACACCTTTTTCTGACTTCTCTTGAAAATATTCATATATCTATATCGATATAACTTCATTTTTATTTCTTCATATCGACAATACTATATTGACATGAATAGATATTTTGTTTAGATCGATATTTAAAAATTAGTATAATATTTCAGTCGATAAAAGTTAAAGCAATAAGATCTATTGAACAAAAGAAGTTGCCTTCAATTATGTAAATACACTTCAATACAATTCAAACTAGTGCTAATTGTAACGGGGACCGTTACAGATGTTCCCCAAACGCTCCCCAAATCCCTTTTGGTGCCATATTCCCTGTAAGCTTCATTAAATAAGACAAACTCTATGCATTTGAGACTTTAACATTGTTTACCCAGAAGTGTACCAAGATCATTCAAATTTTAGCATTGCACGCGTGCGCATGTGAATGCATGTGCGTAATGACCATTTAATCTTGTCTACACAATCTTTATATTAAATGTACTAAATATTAAAGTATTAAATCCAAAAGTATTAAAAAATACGCTCATTCAAGTGTATTTTTGATTTTACTCATTTCACGTGCACGCACATGCATACATGAGCATGGTGCCATACCTTCTTGTAGAAGTCCATTACATCTATCTATGTTCTAAATTCCACCCGTTTGGTTGAAAACCAAGGGAGTTATACCTGTTTAAATTTTAAGCCAATCATATTGCAGCGCATGTACACGCACGTGTATGCATGTGCATGGTGACCATACCTTCTTGTAGAAGTTCATTATATCTATCTATGTTCTAAATGCCATACTGTTTGGTTGAAAACCAAGGAAGTTATAGCTATTTAAAGTTTAAGCCAATCAGAGTGCAGCGCACGTATATATTTTCATATAATTGCTATATATCATATATATATATATATTCAAAATTTCAAAGGATTTTGTCATATATATATATATATATATATATATATATATATATATATATATATATAATATATACATTATATTTCAAAGCATTTCATCAAAAAATAGAAAAGTTGCGGCTCTATCTATTATATTGGTCATTTCACGTGTTGCACGTGCGCTCTCTTGTAAGCACGTGCGCGCAAAATGACCTTGATTCCGCAAATCTACATAATATGTCTACTGACCCTAAAAAGGTTTTACCTACATCGGACGAACAGTTTACTAGATCATTCCCGGACAAAAAAGTACCCAGGAAGAAGAAGAAGAAAAATAATAATAATAATAATAATAATAATAATAATAAGAAACAGAGTAAAAACAATATGTTCCCCAACTTCGTTTGGGGAACATAAATATGGGCATAAATAAGGAGGTATAACACTTTTTATTACATTTTTACCAGTGAAATACTGTAATTTATTCATTGAATAAAAATGATATCCTGTCACAGTGTGAAAGGATATCAAAATGATATCCTGTCACAGTGTGACAGATATCAAAAGGGCGTTAAAACTCTCGATTTTCCTTCCCATAACGGAGAGTGTTGTAAAAATAATCTTCCTTGACCTGATATAAGATATAGAAAAAGAAACAAATCATTCTGACATTGAATTTAACTGTAAAAATTACCCAAAATATGTTGATAAATCCATGTTTACAATGTTTTCACCTCACTTGGCTATGACGTCTCAACCGCTCAACTATGACGTCATGTAGCCTATGACTGTATTACAAACAGATAGATGCAGAGGAAAAATCGAAGAAACTTTTTAAAAATGTAATAAACAGAAAATTCAATGTTTTGTAGTTGAATATGGAATTTATTTCACTCGTGAGACAGGATTTTTTGATATTTTCACTCGTGCTTCGCACTCGTGAAAATATCAAAAAATCCTGTCCCACTTGTGAAATAAATTCCATATTCAACTACAAAACATTGAATATCCTCTATATATGTTGATAAGTCGATAAAATATAAGACAATATACAAAGTTATAACACAACAAGTGTAGAGCCATTTACGCTTCCGTACGTTATAACGAGTTATTATCTCGTAATAACGAGTTAATCATCCCCTTATAGCGAATTGATTATCTCGTTAAAAAGAGTAAGTCATCTCGTTAAAACGAATTAGTTATCTCGTTATAACGATTAAATTATCTCGTTTTAATGAATTAGTTATCTCGTTATAACGAATTAGATATCTCGTTATAACGAGTTAATTATCTCGTTATAACGAAATAATTATCTCTTTATAACGAATTAGTTATCTCATTATAACGATTTGATTATCTCGTTATAATGAATTAGTTAACTCGTTATAACGAGTTAGTTATCTCGCTATAACGAGTTAGTTATCTCGATTTAGTTTTCTTGTTATAACGAGTTAGTTATTTCGTTATAAAGAATTAGTTATCTCGTTATAACGAATTAGTTTTTCTCGTTATAACGAGATAGTTATCTCGTTATAACAAAATAATAAGTTGCCCCTTTAATTCCAAATTTAATAGCAATTTAGGAGTTAAAAATGGCTGTAGTCTTAATGCCATTGAAGTTTAGTTGATAATTACATGTATCAGTCGTACTTAACTTAAGAATTGATAAAAAGTTGCCAATTTAAGGTAGTCCGATCCTCAGGTTTATAAAATTAGCAGTTAAGTAATCAAAAATACTCATAAAAGTATCTCTGAATCCACAAAATTATGTAAATTTGTCCACAGTATTTCTTTAAAGTTAAAGATTAAAGTTAATCATATTATATAGGGGAAATTGCCAAATCTCCAATATTTTTGCAGAAAAAGCGAATTGTAATATCTGCAATGTATTTTCTAATTGCAAATTGATCAACAAATATATTTTAGGTTTAAAAACGATAGGTATCCAGGCATGCAGAGAAATTGTCATGATTTTTATACTTATTTGGTATTTTTTGTCTTCTATTTCCATCATATATTCTATAGTAAATAGTGTAAAAGGCTTTTGCTATCATTGCAAGACACCACAAATCACTTCTTATTTCATATCATGCTAATAAGCATTGGTATCTAAGCCTGGATTCAAGAAAATCTTATTTCTCTAAAACTGTATTAATTTTTTTTTCTTTTATAGGGTACAAATATCAACTTTCATAAGTCCTTTTCTAAGATATCCAAAACCCTTGAATCTTATAAAGATTAATAAAATGAAAATTGTTGCATGAAAAAATTACATTTTCAAGCTTCATTTTAATGCATTTCAAATTAATTATTAATTTTTGGAGTTATCCTTCCTGGCTGAGGATCGGATATCCTTAATTTGCGATATGGTTTGAATAATATTAATATCGAACTATCTTGCTGTCAATAATTACAATTTGATAAGAATAGCAATCTTTCTTCGAACACATTTACACATTTACAGGTGAACGTCTCCAAGAACACAAATATAAAAAAATAAATTGCCAAATGTACATGCTTCAAAGTTTGGCAATTTATGTATGACAACTTTCTCCGATAAAAGACACTAATTTTTTTAATCTATTCTGGATGACTTATTAGGCTTTCATAATCAATGTCTATGACTTCTTATCTTTCATTATCAATGTCTAAGTACCTAAATTAATATATTATAATAGCAAGCTAGTGCAGGCGTTAATGCAACATATATTATATACACTTACAGTGTGTTATATATTATTTTGAGAGTCGGAAATGTTTTGAAGAAGGGGGATATGGAGACATCAGCAGTTAGGTCTTGAGCGTCAAATTCGGGGGCTAGTGGCCACTCATAACACAACATCACGAGGCAGTCATAACTGCATCTTTTGTACATAAACGAGCTACAATCACAGGCACAACTACGAAAGCCATGAAGGGACACGTCGATTTCTCAAAAAAGTAAAAATTAATTTGAGATCTCGAATTACAAAAACCGTTCCACGAGATCTCGAAATACACAAAGCGTTCCCATGGATTATCAATTCGTTCCCTCGATTGATAATTCGAGATCTCGAATTACATAATTCGTTTTCACAGATTATTAATTCGAGATCTCGATTTGTAACATCAGTCTAATGATTTTGGCAATCCGTGCTATTGAATCCATTTAATATATATACGAATACATCCAACTATTTGAATCAATGGTTGCTTTCTGTGTATTTGTTTCAGCAACCGGTCGTTCCGAACCTCTTTTATAATTAAGTCAACGTATATTTTTCATATTTTTAGCAGAAGAAAATACATATTTACTTTCAATAATTCTAATATATAAATATCAAAGACTTTCATGCAATTTTCTCATTTTGGACCGTAACATGTAATAAAAGGTAGAATGTAAACTACTACAATATTCTATTCATATCTGATATTATGTACAGATATATAATAGTAATGAAATCATTGGAATGGTTTAAGGGAACGAATTGTTTAAACTGAGAGAATGAATTACAATCCGAGATAACGGATTTTGTAATTTGAGGGAACGAATTGATAATCTGTGAAAACGAATTGGCAATTCGTTATAACAGATTTTCAATCCGAGAGAACAGATTGTAAAATTCGAGAACTCGGTTTACTTTTATACATTTTTTAGAAATCCTATGTCCCTTCATGACTTTCGTACACAACGCCTCGAAAAACAAAAAAAAAATAGTTTGCTGTTTTTCAATAAAATCTTTATCACACACACTTTAAACAAACTTAATCGACTCGGTTTTGTATGCTATACTTCCTATCACTTAGATATATCAACTTTAGACCAGTTTTTATCTCGTCAGAACGAGATAAATTGATTCGTTATATCGAGATAACTAACTCGATATAACGAGATACTAACTCGTTATAACGAGATAACTAACTCGTTATAACGAGTTAAAAAAATTATCATCTCAGAAATGAGCTTATTCAGCTTTCGTATATATCTGCAATCTGTAACAAAACAAGGTTTTCTAATGCTATAAAATATTTTATCAGCGATCTGTCAGTCACCATGCCAAAATGGCGGTAAATGTGTATACCCGGATGTGTGTGTATGCACCAGTACACATACAGGAGACAGTTGTGAGACGCGTAAGTATAACTGCAGTAAATTAGAAATGAAATCTTCACACCAAACACTGTCTTCAAATATGGCAAGCCCTTTTGCTATTTTTTTGGAAAACAAAATTTATCTTAAAATTGCAGAGATACCTCTCATTTTAGAGAGATATCTCCAAACTTAAAGAGATATCTCTCATTTTTAAGAGAATCTCTGTGTGAAAGCAATATCTCGTATACTTAGAGAGATATCTCTTTACTGAGAGAGATATCTATTTTAATGAGAGATATCTCTTCCACTTGACGAGATATCTCTTTCTCCTTGAGAGATATCTCTTTCGTGAAAAGAGATATCTATGAACGTTAAAGAGATATCTCTTTAACCTAGAGAGATATCCCTTTTACTTCTGGAGATATCTTTCTAAGTTAAAGAGATATCTCTTAAAGTAAAAGAGATATCTCTATTGATTTATCTTAAGAGATATCTCTCAAAGTGAAAGAGATATCTTTCAAAAGTTTCGAAAAGGGATGTCTCTAATGCAAAAAGAGATATCTCTTTATTGAAAAGAGATATCTTTCTTCATTATTTTTATATAAATTCCATTTGAAATGGCTTCTCCCTTTACCGGACGTAAGCTTTTTATTCACGGAAGTACATGAAAGCATTTTTAAATTTCGACATATTCATGATATTCTACATTATTATAGCTTTACTAAACATGAAAAGTAATTCAGTGTTGTCTAAAGTTGATTTCAAATGAGAAATAGTTGATTATTTCATAAGCTGAGAAAATTCGGTCCATTGCATTTGAGATTTCATGCTTACTTTCGTTTTCCTAGATATTAAACTTTTAGCATTTTTTTATCAACGAAGTTGATTATATTATTTATTGTTTCAAACAAGGGATTTATAGCATTTTTGTTTACATAGTACATATATTATTCTGAGTATTGCATGCTTTTCTTGAAAAGCGAAATTATTACTTCCTGTTTTGCTTTCGTTTTAAAGGGAGAATTAATTATTTTATTTAAAGGATGACTGGAAAAGAGATATCTCTTTCATCAAAAGAGAATTCTCTTTAACTTAAAAAGATATCTGTTTTTGAAAATCTAAAGAGAATAACTGAGATATCTGTTTAACTAAGAAAATCTCTTTTAATGTTGCCTCTCTCGCTTGAAGAGATATCTCTCTAGCTTATAAAGATATCTCTCTAAGTAAAAGAGATATCTCTCTTACAAAAAGAGATATCTCTTGTTTCAAGAGATATCTCTCTAAGTTGTAAAGATATCTCTATTGGTCAAAGAGATATATCTATAAGCTAAAGAGATATCTGTCTATGCTAGAGAAATACCGTATCTCTCTTATTGAAAGAAAATTTTTGTTTTACGAATAAATAGTAAAAGGGCTTGCCATATTCAAAGGCTCACATAAACAAAATAACATTTTATGATCTAGCATCATAAGCCCATTTTTTAAATTCTAATGCTTAAAAATTTCAAATGCATTTAAATGTATTTCCCCATGTTTGGAGCAAAAGGACTCTGAGATCTAAACATTTTAAAATGCTTGTAAGTTGTTGCTATCAAAGTACACGCATTTAAAAATGAAAATCTTATAAGACGAAACTTTATGTTTTGTGTTACAGCTCTGTGTTCCTACCAATCGCCCTGCTTCCCCGGCACGTGTAATAACTCGGTAAATTGTCAATGTCATCAAGGGTTTACTGGGAGGGATGGAACTGAACGCTGTAAAACAAGTAAGCTACTGTAGTTAAGGTGCATAATTTATATATGTCCGCACATTTACATCATCTCTAAGTTAACTCCATTAATTTTACAAAAGTTTAAGCACACTAAGCTAAAGGCAATGTTAACTTTTCTGACCAAAAAGTATTCTTCATATATGATCCATGAGGATCTATGTTTACAGTGACGTCAGAGATGAGTCCAATTATTACGCAATGTACCTCCATTCTCGCTTATGTGGAAAGAACTGGTAAGAGGAGGGAACTGTACCGATTTGTAACAGATTCCTCTGAACCAAACTCTACAAAAGTGGATACAATGTGGGTCAACCAAAATGATTACAACTATATCAACGTCACTTTTGCGGCCATTTCCTCGGCACCAGACAACGTTGCGGTTCCTAAATATGTCAAACAGTTTAAAATGGGAATCATTTCCGGAGGAATAAACCTTACTCTTCATAAAGTAGGAAGAACAGGTGAATTTATGATAATTAACATCTTTTGAAATGACAAAAAGGTGGATAATATGATGTGTTATAAATTATCTTAGAAACAGGAGTTAATTTTGTACTCTAATCTGTCTTACTAGATAAGAACAAACCCTTTATAAGTCGGAATGATACCATAGTCTGTGAAAGCAAACCGGGTCAGCTCAGTCCCAATGATGATGTATTTCACTGTAACTACACAGATGTAAACTTTGACAGACAGCTAGAAAATGGAGACAAGTAAAACACAAATTTTTCTTTACAATTTGTGTGAAAATCCGTGAAAATATTGTATAATTGATCCGTTCGTTACAATTATTAAAAAGCCTACTTTTTAGGAATGTTTTTTTAAATAGACTGCTTTTTTTTTTAAATCGTTTTGATTGGTTTTAAGTTTATTGCTTTATTAACAAAATTTTGTTTCATTGCATCTAGGGATAAATACTAGTTTAGGTTACATCTAAACTTTTTCATAATGTTTGAGTGACCAAAATTTTAAGTGTATATTAGTATATCTAACATTTATTTGTATTTTGCTTAGTTTAACCCTGACCGTTTTTACTGAGAACGGGGGCTTTAGAGAATTGATAGGGTCATCTTTAAACAAGGACTTCTTTATCGGGCGGATGTCTACAAAATCTACAATGTTTCGGTTTGATTTGGTGAAGCCATATCATTGTCTTCTAGACCGGGCTTGTGAGACAACAGCTTTTGATGTATCAGAGGATATTACAAAGGTACCATGGTCTTACCCAACTCAAAGAAGTAATTCAATGTATGCAAATCAACAAGAAAGTACAGCGAAACTATTCATAAAGCCTTACTAACTGTAAAAATATGAATTGAACTAATATCTCTTTCTTTATTTTTTTTTAATAAGTCACCTTTGGAATTATCATGGCAAAACTGGGAAGATGAGCTTTCTGGAATCCAAGAATACAAAATACAGGTGTATCAGCTAAAGCTGAACACAACCAACCTAGCAGAACCGAATCCCTGGCGTCCAGATGAGGAAATATCCCTGACGCCATTGGAAACAAGTTACACCTATACCCCTAAGAGGGCAGGGATGTATTCCTTGGTACTTAATGTAATAGACAAAGCCAACAATACACAGTACGCCCGCACCTTGGTCTTATATGATCCCAGTTCAAATATTACTCTGTCTGAACTACCATTCAAGGCAGAAAGTGCAGCATCTGAAACTAACTATCAGTGGCAGAATAATCTCAGCAACAACATAATTATGTCGTGGAAAGGACACTTCCAAAACAAATTCCATGACGACAATAAACTTTTAAATCCAGTAACACATTATAGACATTTCCATTATGAAGCAAAATATGAAAAACAAGTTCCATACCAACTTGATGATAACTCAGGGAAAAGAACACTTGCGGAGATCCGGAATGTTCACGGCATCGTGAAATTTGAATATTTCTACAGACATGGCAATCAGGGAGATAAAACCCCACAAACCTGGTATAGGGTGAATGATACATTTTCTGAAACACAGACGTTCAACATTGAAAGAAAAGATGGCGATACCATTAATTTCTGGGTCAAAGCCACTGACATCATGGGGAATACGAAAGTCGACTTGTCAAAGATATTCTTCGATTCAAGCTCACCAAAGAGTTTAAAACCCTCTGATGTTACATTTACAAAGAACGTCAAAAATGCCACCTTCGCCTTCTCCAGTCGGTAAGAAATAAAACTTTTCATTTTTCTGAATTGATTCTTCTGAAATCAGTGAAATTAAAAGGATAAATTTCTAAGTCTTTTGAAAATTGACATGAGAGATCACCATTTGTAGCCCAATTGTTTTCTCAGCCTACAGGTAGACGCATTTGACAGACAGAGTGGTATACATAAAATACATGTGGAACTAAGATCTAACAGTACTAACAAATTATTCCATGAAAGCGATATTCCAGGAAATAAAACGGAAGTGAGGAATTTTTTGTTTGAATATTTGTTTTATATTTTATATTAAATATGATAGAAAAAACTAAGACTAAATGATTTCTGGTGGTTTATTGTTACTGTAGGTGGATCCTGGATTTAAGACCGGATACACGACGTCCGTAGGAAGCTTCTTTTATTACCGTCATGATGTGGACATCAATAACTGCTGGATGGTTGTGTCGAAGGAAAAATTCGCCCAGGAGTTTGTCTTACTAAATCTTACCGTTTACAACATGGCAATGTTACCAACTTCCTACATCAAAACCGTGAGAAGATTAAACAACCTTCGATACTAATAATCTTTTATGTACTCTGTTCAATGTGTTTTTGCTCTGACCTCATTTCAATTCCTTTTTCAGATAACAGATGTAGCTTCCCTTAACGGCATGGATGAATGTAAGGCATATATATGTATAATCCTCAGAGTTTAATATGTAAACGAAACGGTGTTCAGATCCAAAATATAGTGCATGTTATTTGCATTAACCTCATGTTTACGTTTCTGGTTCTTTATATCAGTACCTCATCTCTTTAGACTCTGGTCCAATAAATTTAACTATAACTGCAACCTATGACAACGGCGTTCGTCTGAATTGGATCGTACCTCCAACTTGTTACGAAAGGTCAAAGGTTATAGTACAGTTCCGGTCATCCAGTGGTCAAGTTCACGTCCGGTTTGTAGATAAGGACGCCGACTGGTTTGATTTGACAGGACTGGATCCAGAAACGAGTTACAACCTGTCCTTTGTAACAGAATATGGCCCTCAGAGGAGTGATCCAGTATTTCTACACTTCAAAACAGCCGAAGCACCAGCTGCTCTGACCGGTGGAGCGATAGCAGGAATTTCTCTTAGTAATAAAAAATATAATTATACATCCCCTCTCTCTCTCTCCCTCTCTCTCTCTCTCTTAAACAAAACAGTATGGTTACTTTATAAGTTTTTGGAATATGCCATAGTATAGCTTAAGAGCTTCCATTTTAGCGTTTTTAATCATGTTGGGTGTGATTGCCGCCATGGTCGTTCTTTGGCGCCTTGGACGTTTAACTGTTGTAAGAGAAGACATTCAACGCAGGGTAACAGTGGTCAGAAAGAACATTGCAAATAGATTAACAGCCCATGTAAGTGATAACTGTCTAGTCTTTGGGTTTTTATATGATAAGATCATTCAGTTTTCTCGCGGGATATTGCCGAAATTGTCGGTGATAAATGTAAAATATATATGTTTAAGTCTTTAAGGTAATGAAATTTTAATTGATTTTTTTCTCAATGTGTTTATAATGTAAAATCCTTGTCTGCAGAATCCTGGCTATGATTGTGATGATATATACGTATATGGTCAAATGGATTTCAATAAAACGGACAATTGGATATTACCCAGTTCTGAAATTGTGCTGGATGCCATGTTGACGAGTGGAAGATTTGCAGACATCTATAAAGCCAGATACCAACCACAAAATAACATGTCCAAACAAATAGTCGTTGCAAAGACTTTGAAAAGTAAGACTTTTACATAAAAATATATACAAGTAGCCATATGCCCAATCAGTAGCAAATAATTCATAATAATATAATTTTAATTATATTGATTATTTAAAACAAAAGAAAACATGAGCTCACTTTTGAATGTGATTACATGTAACACAGTAAGACACAAAGATGTATAAAAATTGAAAAGTATGTTAAATCAAAGCTTCCTGGACTGCTCATGTTGCTTTTCATTATTAAAGTAATGCAAGGTCTTCCACAGTCCCAATTAGAGTATATACTATGCGTAATATATTAAAGATCTTAAGACTATATCCAAAGCACAGTCAGTTAAAGAAATATGAGCTGCATGTTTGACATATGAAAATTTTTTTGCAAATTTGTAATTAACAATTTCAGAGAGAGAAAAATAGAACATTTATAAACTTCTGTTGTTCATATTTTCTACGAAAGAACTTTTTATACGCTTTGATTGAAGCAAAATTGAATTATTGTCGTCCTGTACAATAAAGATTTCTTATATAATTCTGTATATTCACTTGTACAGAAATATTTCTTCTGAAACATTTTCAAACTTTATTTTTGGTTTTATTGATTATAAGGGTTTAGATTACATACAGATTAATGATAAAAACACATTTTACCAGCAAAATAAAATTCTCAAAAATGCAGCTCATATTGCTTTAAGTACAATAAGCATTTCTCTCGTTCAGAGGTTAAATGCTATTTAATTCAAAAAGTTATACTATATGATGTATATATTCATGTTATGTTTACTAAATGCTTCGTCCATTCATCGTTTAAGGCCCAATTTACCTTTGAGATTTAGATATATCTGTTTTTCTTTGTTTCCATTCCTATATTAGTGAAGGCTGAACACGATTTCAAGTACAGAAGACATGCGACTGAAGATAAATGCTCAATGAGGAATCATGTTCTCTCTCTTGTTTTTTAGGTGGCTACAGTGAAGAAAATATGCTGATGATGAAAGCAAAGATCAACTTTTTTGGGAAAGAAGTTGGAGAACACCCAAATATTGTTCATTTCCTCGGCGCTGTCGTTGATAATGAAGCATGTTGGTTATCACTATTTACTGTATTTCAAAAAATTAATTGTCATTGACATGAAATGTCATTTTTCATTGCTGTTTTATAAAAGAATCTTAAAGTTTCTACATACATTCTGAAGTGCCTTTCAAAAGCAGCTTCTGACACATCATTTCATTTTGATGTTGGTAATGGTAAATGTCTACTTACGTTTTGCAGTTGGACCATTCATGGTTCTAGAATACTGTGAGAAGGGACAACTCCGAGATTGGTTGTTACAAAAGAAAAATGCCTGGGCAGAAGACACAGAGGAACAACTATATCGTATTGTCTATGGAATCTCTAAGGGAATGGCATTCCTCGAATCCAAAAAGGTTCTGTCTTGATTGGTGTCTTTTATAGACATGTATATAAATTGTAAACGGTTTTAAAATTAGTAGACCACTAAGTCAGTTATTTTTACATATTTTAGCTTGTGCACAAAAGACTTGCTGCACGAAACATTCTGTTGACTGAAGATCTGGAGCCTAAGATCTATGGATTCGGACCTGAACCACCACAACAACAGGGCAACGAGGAAGAAAAGGATGCAACATCTGACGAAAAGGTTAAAGACCAGTAGCATCTTAGTTGTACAATAATAGTCTTAATAGATCTTTATGATATAATCTGGATGACTGTATCGAGTATGTTTATGATTCTAGGAAGTGAACAAGGTGTATTTGTGTGTTTGAGGGTGTGTGTGTGAATGTGAATGTTTGTAGAATACACCTTTGAAAATCTTTAATTTGCTCATGGACACGACAAATTATTTACATGATTGTACTAAGCAGCTAGCTTCATTATGAAAATTTATTGTACAATCACAGGATGAAAAGCCAGGTTTCCCAAATTTGGAAACCCGATGGAAACATATGGGAATCGTGACATCAGTAGTTTCCATATAGTTTCCATTTTATGGAAACCACATAGTGGTTTCCACATAGATTCCCGACATGGAAACAATCAACCTGTGGTTTCCCGTAAGTTTCCCAAGATAGGAAACCATGGAAACATACCCCGGTGGTTTCCACATAGATTCCCGACATGGAAACAATCAACCTGTGGTTTCCCGTAAGTTTCCCAAGATAGAAACCATGGAAACATGCCCCGGTGGTTTCCATGTAGATTACCGATATGGAAACAACCAACCTGTGGTTTCCCGTAAATTTCCCAAGATAGGAAACCATGTAAACAAGCCTTAGTGGATTCCATACAGATTCCCGACATGGAAGCCACCAATGTGTAGTTTTCTTCATGTTTCCCAGGCAGGGAAACTTTGAAAGTATATCTCAATACTAACCCACCTACCTTTTATTTTACAAAAAGTTAAATATTTAATTATGTTACCATATTTTTACCAATTATAGAAATATTTGAAAAGTGTTTACATGCTGTATCAAAATAATTAACTTCAAACAGTTAAAATAACTAGATGTGTATTTCTGTGTGATTAATTTAATATTTCAGCACCGTGAACGCAATTCAAATTTAGTTTAATTTTATTTAACTGAATTAATTTAATTTAATTTAATTTTGAATTTGATTTATCACATAAGTTTTGGTAAACTCGTATAGAATGCGTGAAGTGGAATAGAAAAAAGTAAGTGCATGCAGTTATGTAGAAATCAATCATTTCCGATCCCACTTTCTTGAAGCTGTCTATGATGAATGTTCCTTTGAAAAAATGGAAGAGCTACATTGTAAGGAAGGGTACATTTAATGAAATTATTTACAGAAAATGTTTACTAAAAAGATCGATTAAAAAGTAAATAAAGAAATATGTCAAGTTACGATTACTGATTAAGGACAGGTCAATAAAATAACTAAATTTTTTTCCAATATTTTGCAATTGACATTGAAGGATTATTTTTACATAATTACATGTATTCACAAGACATCAAGGTACCTTACCAGGTATATGTGTTAGATACCAGAGGTTGGCATTTCTTATATACCGGGGTAATCCGTCAGGAAAAAAATACTTCAGTTGGTTTGTCAAAATTACATTTTTAGTGTTTCAAGTTTTTAAATACAAGTTTAGAAAGTGATAAAGATTTTGTTTTAATTAATTAATATATTAATATAAACTGGTCAGATAAGAATCATTCATCGAATTGACTGGGGTTGAGTATTATCATACTAGTATTTTACTATTAATAGTGAATATTGTCTTTTTTTTAATTCATTAAATTATTATTTTTATTATTGGGGGTGGGTGGGTTGCTTTTCATTTTTTCCTTGAGAAGCTCCCCCCCCCCCCCCCCCCCCCCCCCAAAAAAACGCTTTGAAAAAGTCACTATGGTCGGCCTGTGTAATTAGGGACACCTGTCCTCACGTGCCATTTCATGTGGAGACACGTGCCGCGAAGACACCTGTCACTGTGTATTTTTTGTATATTCTATGTGAATTGAGACGGTTTTGTACGTAAAGGGAACAATGGGCTGTTGTCGAGCATGTACACACACAGTCTCCGGCCGAAAATTCTTTTAAATTAAGATGATGATTCGTGTTTCTTTTATTATTTAAAAAATTGTATATTCCATAAATAAAGTTATACAAGAGAACATATTTATAAAATAACCTACATTTAAGAAGTTCAATGAAAGAACAAACTATTTAGAATTTTTATTTCAATTTTCATTACTGATTTAAAATAAAACTATCCTCTTTAGAAATTAAATAATTTTCTATAGGTATTGAATAGATCTTAATTCTCGTCGTGTATAATTATATTAAATCAGAATGACGTGAATAGATCAATGTGAAATCAAAACTGTATTTAATATTGTTGATGGGGTTTTGTGTGAAATTTGTAATCTAACGTACTACAAAGACTTTATCAGATAAATGTTTATAATATAATTCATCGTTTTTTCTTTCCTTTTTTTGTTTAAATATGTACGCAGATTTTTTTTTTCTGAAATTACAATGTAGGGTCCTAAATGCACATACATTATATTGAACGAAGTAGAGGATGAACTTCACTTTCTTCTTAAATGTGATCTATATAAATTCTGTAGACAGGACTTTCTAGGAAATATTGGAATTTCAACTTTACAATATAATGATTTAAATGTTCTCTTTAAATATCTGTTAACTCACTTCCCTCGTCAATCTGCAAATTTTATTTATAAAGCCTATAATTTAAGACAAAGAAAAATCACACGCATGTAAATTGTAATGTATATAAATTGTTAAAAGTGACTTATAGGTCCGATGGGCCGGGTGTTGTGAACATATATTATGTTTAATTGTATAACGAATAACTGTATATACACATGTCACTATAATAAAATATTTACTTACTTACTTACTTACTTACTATATTCAACAAACTTTAAAATTTTCAGCCATTTTTTTTCTCCAAAAGCCATTGCTCTAGGTAAAGAAAAGTCTATATATGTAGAATATTTTGCATGATTTTGTTTTCCTTAAGAACAATGGCTTTTAAAGTAGTACATGCTAAGGCAATCTATTAAAAGAATTAATTGTATAATTAATTCATTGTATAATTGTCACGATTGTATTTTTGTGCAGTTTTTGTTGATTTCATTCTATAAAGGTATGAAGTTTGTCAATACTCTTTATCTATGTTGTACACTACTTTATTTTTATTCGCCGACATGCTACTCTTTTTAAAAAAAAACTTGCGTGACTATAGACTCAATCTTCAGGAATCTTGTAGGAAAGTAATTTCCGTTAGAGTAATAAACTAACCGGTATTTATTTTTACTAGCATACCTTACCAAAAAAAAAAAAAAAAAAAAAAAAAAAAAAAACATTAAAGAAATACAGGGCGGGACCAGCTAAAGCTGTATGCATAAGTACAGCCCTGCACATCAACGAGTATAGATGACTTTCGACATAATCTTTCCCATGACTTAATTCACTTATACCCATCACGACTAAAATACTGAATTAAAATACTGTTATATTTTCCTGCCTTTGATAAGATGTTAGTTTTGTTCCACCTAGAGATATAAGTCTCCTACACTGTAAGGAAAAGGTTTTCAACATTCTGATTCATTTAACAATTTTACGTGTTAAAATTATGTGGGAATTTTTTTTAGCTAAAGGCCAAGGAGTTTAAAGTACAATGTACATACATGTAGCAATTAGAGAAAAGTCTAGCAGGTCCACCAGTAATATTGATATCAGGCTCAAAATCTAATTAAACCCCGAAAAGGAGGGAGTTCAATTAGTAATTTAATATCCCCCCCCCAAAAAAAACACAACAATTTATTAGCAATGAATTATTAATCACCGAACTTTTCAATCATCACTATTGAAATAAAAAAAAACTGTGTTTGATAATCATATTATAATTGCAGATCATTTTCATGCCTTTTAGGATTCCTGTGGAAAGTTCACAATAAAAAAAAATGTGCTTTTAAAAATTTAACATCTTTTGGTGTGACATTATAAATTCATAATCATACATGTAACAGTTAAAAGAAGCGGGGAGATGGGGGGGGGGTACTTTCAGCAAGGACGGCCACTACCAACAACCAAGCCCCGAAACCCATATCCCGAAGGCAAATAAATTGAGGTGTCAAGCAAGCAACATTTTTTTTTCTGCTCTTGCCTCATGTATTTAACCGCTTTTTTTTCTAAATATACTAGGCCTACACATCATATCGGCAAAAATATTTAGGAGTCCCTCTTTTTATTCCATGAAAAGGGGAAAACTAAATTAAATTCTAATATAAGATCTCATAATCACACTTAATCATAGTGAATGTAAACAGTTTATATTTCCCATCCTGCATCGCTCTGTAGGCGCTTTATTTCATTGGTCAATTTCCCGAGGCGCCATTTTTGGAGGATCGAGAAGGACGAAGAAGAAGGTGTAAGCAGCTGGTAAATTTGAAAAGTTAAGATGGTTTCACCACCCAGTGTCTTTAAGACTGTGATAAAGGCAATAGCCAACGATGAAGGATTAGTGTATGTATATTTTTGTTAACTTTTTACGGTAAATAGTTGTAATATTATTATTTGGCAACAACAAATCTTCACTATCGGAGGCAACTTTTGTTCTGACGCCATTTTGAAAAGTTGGATACCTAAGTTTTAAATTGTTAAGTGTATATATTGCAGAGAGAAAGAGAGAGAGAGAGAAAAAAAAATTTGAGACAGTGATATAGCATAACTTAGATTATGGAGGCCCCATTTGAAGGCACCGTGCATGTGCATGCTGTATGTTGTAAAATGGCAACATTTCACCTTTTATCATGTTTATTAAAATGTATGCTCCATATGTATGTTCTCTCTCTCTATATATAAATGAATACTTTTCGGACTTAAAAAAATATTTTTAACCCCGCTCAAATTATCCGGATGATAATAGTTACACCGAGCATGGTTTCGTAGCTAAATTCATACTGTAGAACATCCGGTTTGAATACATGTGTTTTCTGATTTTTCGGATAGCCAACTCTTGTTTTTGGGAACTTACGACTTATGGCAAGGTATAAATTAAATATTTTTGGTTCAAAACTTTGATAAAAGCATCGATATTTTTACAAAAAGTGTCTTCAATCTCAGCTTATCCGATTATTCATGAAGGATATCCTCATCAGAACAGTTGGAATAGATTGTAGCGAATAGCATAACCCTTAATCATATGCATTACGATGATACGGAGGGAAAATATACATAAAAAAATGAATGTAGGTGAAAGCCTGTCCACTTTTCTGAAGAGACTAGGTTTGTTTTATTGTTATTGAAATAGTTTACTGCTCAAAAGATTTTTTTTTTGTAATGTCTAACCTGTTGAGATGAAGATGTAAAGAAAGAAAAGGCCCATACATGTTAACCTATTGTGATGAAAAAGAGGGAGATTCAGACCTCAAAAGCGGTAGCATTGCGCGCGTGTTGTTTAACGCTTGGATTATCGATATCTTTCATGTAATATACATGTATATTATAAGCCTTAAATGAAATCAGGTACCTACACTAATTAATCTTAAATATCAACAGCAAAGAAGAAGACAGAAACACCTTAAGTTTGACATAAATTGTACAAATTCAAATATTTTTCAGGCTCATCATTTTGCTTGGATTGGCTGCTTTACTTAGCCTTGTGAAGAGTGATCTTTGCTGAGATAGCCTAGAAGCAATAATTCAAAATATTCATTCAGTTTTTAAACAAAACAAATGATAAAATGGTTTAATCTAGATCTAAAACTAGTTATTATCTTTCGTTATATAAATCAGATTTCCCGCGATGATCGAAAACGAAAGTAGAGATGTGCCACATGGCTTGGTCTATCGAGTGATTTCTATTGACTTTATTGATAAAGTTGTGAGCTTCTGTGCTTTTAAAGACGATGTCAAATGTTTTCATCTAATTCTTAAAAGCTGTATCTCCTTTTTCATGGCAGGGATGTTGATTAATTTATCGTAACCAATGTAATCACTGGTAGTCTTGTGTTGTTGTCGTTGTCAAATCCGTGCTTGAAATCTAAGTACAAAAAAGCGTTTGTATGATTCCGAGTCAAATCACGCGATATCTAGCGAGATTTTGTGAGAGTGGCTTCAAAAATGGATACCCAAGCGAACCAAAAATACTTTAGACGCAGCTTTTGTAGAAAAGTGGTAGATTTCTGCATTAAATCGGTAGGCGGGAGATGGAGTGAAAAAGCGGTAGACTCCCGCCTAAATCGGGAGAGTTAACATGTATGGAAAAGCCTAATAGTGAATTAATATTGATAGTATGTCAAGAAATGCAAATGAATCATCGGCTTGAATTATCAGTTTTTTCACAATTATTGACCTGAGTAGGTCAATGTATAGCGAATAATACATACTCTTTTTCCATATCACATCCTAGCCAGAAACACCAATATCAGCCAGAGGGACAGAGGCCCTAGGGCTGATATTGGTCGAAGGTCTGATACAGGATGGGATATGGAAAAGGGTATGTTTCATTATGTTTATTACAAACTTGGTTATTAAATACAGAACACTTCAAGTTGAGAAGATCAAGAAAATAAGTAAATAATCATGCACAATAAAACTACTTACATACATGTAAACGGTATTGTATTGCTGAACAGATTTAGCTGTCATTAGGTCAAAATTGCAAATAATAACATGCTTCTAATCTTATATCTGTATATACAGGTAACTCTTGATGGCTTGAACTTCGATTTCTCGGAAGTTCTTGATCCCTTGAAGTGAGTCTCCGGTCCTGATTTTTTTCACTATATAACTTAGCAGATTTGTTCTTGATTTCTTGAACTCCTGATCTCTCGAAACCCTTGATCCCACGAAGTCAAAATGCAGTCCTGCTGTGCTGTGAATTTTACGCTTGATACCTCGAAGTGGCTGTGTGTATACCAAGTTATAAGGCCATCCTTAAAAAATTTTTTTTTTGCGGTAACGCGACCGACTCACCAAAATCCACCCTACTGGATTTTTTTTATTGGTTCAAAAAAAAAATTTTTTTTTTTAAGTATCCATTTTCCATTTTTATCCGATTGATATTTTTTTTACGTCTCCATTGCACCTACGCTGTTTTTAAAAAAAGAACTGATGTGTTCTGATATATGAGCAATAAAAGATTGAATTCATTAAGAATGCTTTAATTTTCTTGTTTGACTAGTAAGGTGAAATCTAAGACATAGTTAATACCTCTATGTAATCTAAATTTATTTCTGCTGTGTGTACCTACCACACCTAAAATGTTTTTTAAGGATGGCCTAATGTTCAAACTTTTGCCATAACTGTATATCTGTGTGTCTGTCTGAGTGTCTGTTGTCAACTTAAACCTTCACCATAACTTTAGAACTATACGAGATAGTGGCTTCATATTTAGTATGCATACTCCACTAAAGAAGTGCTTTCAAATGGCAACAAGGACAATGATTAAATGTGATCTTGACTGTGACCTGTATGCTAAAAAAAATTGCATTTTCGAACTTTGTTGCTGTGTTTCACAAGCGCATCTTGTTTTTAGCTCTACTGGTCAGAGACCAGAAGAGCTTATGCGATAGTAATGCGTCCGGCGTCCGTCTGTCTGTCCATCTGTCTGCAAACACTACTCCTCCTTAAATTTTAGTCTGATTTCTATATAACTTGGCACACAAGTAGACTATACTAAGATACATAATTCTGTGCATCAGTTTTTGATAAGTACAAACCAGTAGAGCTACAGTCTCGACAGAGACTTCTGGTTATTTTTTCTTCCATCCCGGTTGTTGCTAATGCTATTACATAATTAGTTTAAATTAGAATGCAATAGTACCTGGACATAATTTATCATTTCAGAGAGAAGAAAACTGTGTGACTTTAAAAGAAAACCAGTGAGATAAAATCATAGAAAATGTATGATGATTCAGGATGTGGTTATTTGGTAAGTGGTAAATCATTCATGATTAGTATGTATATGACAATTGCCTGAAAAAAAAAAGATTCTAAATTTTATTTAAATACTGAACTGTGGTATATCAGCTGTGAGCTACAAGAAGTTTTATGTAAAAGCTAGGGCTGAAACAATTTGCCTCCATGTTATGTGTGCATCGCTATGATTGACACAATCAGTTCTCTAATACATACACTTCAATAAAACTTTGTCGTCTTGAACCTGAATTGAACAGGAAAAAACTCTGAGATCTCTCCAAAAATTTGAATGAAAAAAAGGAAATGCTTATTAACTGATTTCTTGCTGGTCAGTATTTTGATTACTTAAAGGAAGCTCTAAAAACTGCACACTAAAGAGTTCTACTTTAATCTCAGGTAGTTTTATGAAGTTAGAGTGATCTGCCCATAGATTAAGATTATGAAAAATGTTATTTTACAGTCAGTTAGATTATTTTTAATAGATTAAATTATTTTTAGCATTATTTAAAATAAAAAAAAATAGGAAATTAATTATTTTCATAAATTTTACCAATGTAAGTAAACAGCAATGATTTCTGCTTACAGATAGTCCATTGTCTTTGAAAATTTCTTGGGGAAATGAGGCACATACCACATGTTCTAAATGCATAAAAAAGGCTCATTATGCACATATTTATATGAAATATGATAGATTTTTTTCTCTTCAAGGAATAATTCCTGCAAGTCATTAAGTTTTTAGAGTTTCATTTATTTTATAGATATAATGAAATTATTTGAAGTACATGTATTAAATTTTAGTAAATTTTATGATACTAAAAGGTTATATGGATGAAAAAACAGCATGCGTGTATGACAATAGGGCTTAAATTTTTAATGTCTCTTAATTTTTCAGTGACATTAAAACAGGAATTGTTATCACCAATAGACGAATTTCTCATTCCTAAGAGTTTTCTCCAATTGTCGGCGTATCGCTCATTTTTCCCACTTAAATTTGTCCTTTGTAAGTTACTTGTTAATATTTTCAATCTTCAAAAATATTGGACAATTACAATCTGTATCTGTATTGCCAGAGTATGGGGGCAACATGAAAATCATAATGAATATGTTCATACAGATTTTATTTCTAAGATATTGTCCCTCAAAGTCGATACGGTTAAAGAGGGAAAACAGCGTCTTAAGCCGGTTGACCCCAGATCGACCCTGCGAAGGGGAATAACTTTTGTAAATGTGAAAGTCCTTTATGGTATATCATATAGATTTAAAACTGACTGAATTTTGATCAGCCAATTCATGAACATGATGAATGGATGTAAATATTGTTGGTCAATATATGTAAAAAAAAATTAAATTACTTGTTTATATATACATGTACATTTGTGGTATCTCTCCCATTGAAGTTTATAAACTTGTTATTTATTTCTTAAATAAACTGAGCGTACATGCAATACCGGTATAAAATTACTCATAAGATACATGTATACTTAAACCATGATAAAATCATATGTGTCCAATGCAGCATATGATAAATCATTAACATATGTGGTAGGATTGGATTGTACATAGTAAGTAAATAACGATAATTCTTATTGGTTACGATCGTTTGTTTTACATTCGGAAACTTTCTAGCTTTATACAGTGATTTGGGTAACGCCCTTGTCTGGGTTATACATAGGACATAGATTTTGATTGGTTAAGAGAGACACACCTTTAGACCGCGGTGTATTTAAAGTAAAGCATTTCACGATTAGATCAGTTGGCTTGGAACCTTCTCAAAGGTTCGTGCCAGCTCACTTTTTGATAAGATGGGTAATTGGGTTGATCCCGGTGTCTGTCTCTGTTTCGTTCAATATGATTATCTCGTTCATTCGTTCATCATTATCCATTTTGTTTTCCTTATTTTTTCGTCGATTTTCTAGTTCCTTATTTCTATTTTTGGTAAACCGGCTAGGTTAGGCATAGTAGACTTTTCATGCTGGGGTGGGTCACTTCTCTTTGGACTTAGCATTGGGTAGGACGGGCTAGCTCTGGACTTCGTACAATTGTTAGGTAGGCACTTATTTTTATTGAGGCTCGTGAGTGAAAGGTCGTTAGTACATCAGTTTTTCGTTGTAAATATATAATGTAAATATTTTTGTGCTCTTAATAAAATACATTTGTGGCTATAATAAATATTTGTTAATTTGCAAACTCTTGTTATTAAAATTTTTGGGTTAGTAAGTCACTTTCGTGACAATTTGAAAATCAAGAGGTTTATTGGTTAGTAAGAAATTGGAATAAAACGCCAAGTACTATTATTGATAAAGAAAGTGTGTGTTATTAAAGAGGTATTTTCATACGATGATCATTTCGCTACACTGGTATCGTGGAATTTCCTAAATTGCATTGATACCATGTAGCGAATTCCAGTTACATTGGTGCTGTGAGTGGTACCTTAGTTTGAGGGTAAAACCAAATCCTGTCACACATACAAGTACATGTGTATATATACTGTAATACATATAAAATTGCATTATTTTTAGGTCCTGTTCTGTGGATGCCCTAAGACAGTGTCTACCCATCACTCCATCTGAAATCACTTGTTCTGTGCATATTTCTCTCTCAAACTTAAACTACAAAGAGCCTGTGGATAGAGGATGAAGAGTGACCTTGGACTAATTTTCTAGGTCAAAGGTCAGTATCAAAATCTACTGTATATCTTTATTTAAAATTGTAGTCCAGAGTATATTTCTCCCCTGGTGTAATCTAGCTTTTGTGCAATGGGGTGGAGGGTCTGCAATGATCTTCAACCAATTTCTAGGTCGAATATCAAAATTTAAAAAAAATCTCTCCCTAATATTTTTGTTATCATAAAGGGTATGTTTTTTCTCAAACTAATCAAACTTAAAGCAGGGTTCTTAGTATGCGATACATGTAGTAATATATCCTCAATGACATAATAAGGCTGAAAATATTATTTATATTATGTTATTTTTTTCACTTATCATACAGCATTAAATTTTAAGAGATACATTAAATGCTGAAATCATATGTATCATGGTCATGGAAAGTAATTATTGATATTGGTATATTAAAGGACATTGGCTAATCTTTCAGATTTCTAAGTTATATTCAAGCATTATAATTCTGACATCATATAATAATTTTGTATGAATATTACAGATCATAGGTGATGTGAAGAAAACCAGGAAACTGATGTTGAAAGAAGTACTTAATGACCCGTATGAATGGACTTAAATGTGAAAGACTGTTCCATTGTTTATCTAAGATATATGAATTTATTTAATATTTTGATATCATTGAAAAATTCAGTTACAGTTTTTGTACATCAAATGAATTATTAAACATATAAAACGGTAATGCTTTTTCTTTTACATGTTATAAATTTTTTTGATAGATTTTAAAAAGAATACGCATTATTTCACATTGCTTCCTTTAGAAAAGTTAGGGAATCTTGAAGTTTCCCAGTAATTTCCACCAGGAATGGGACTCCAGATAATTCCACCAAGTTTCCGCCACACAGAAAGTGCTACACAAGTTCCATATAGTTTCCTGAGTCAAGGAAACTTCAGGAATCATAAGGTTTCACGAGGTTCCATGTAGTTTCCCATAAAAGAAAACCTTAAGATTCCATCAAGTTTCCATTCCACGGAAACCACTACGCTCATATTCCATATGGTTTCCTGAGTCAAGGAAACTTTAGGAATCCTGAGGTTTCCCGAGCTTCCATGTAGTTTCCCGTATAAGGAAACCTAAAGATTCCATCAAGTTTCCATTCCACGGAAACCCCCTACGCTCCGATTCCATATGGTTTCCTGAGTCAAGGAAACTTTAGGAATCGTGAGGTTTCCCGAGCTTCCATGTAGTTTCCCATAAAAGGAAACCTAAAGATTCCACCAAGTTTCCATTCCACGGAAACCCCCTACGCTCCGATTCCATCAAGTTTCCTGATTCTGGAAACCAGTGGAATATTCAGGTTTCCCATTATGGGAAACTACATGTGTGTTCAGGTTTACAGAGGTTTCCGTGGTTCGGGATACCTTATGGAATCGGAGCGTAGGGGGTTTCCGTGTCACGGAAACTTGGCGGAATAACCTAGCATCCGCTATGGAAACCACTGGGAAACATGATGTAAACTTGAGGTTTCCATGTGGTTTCCATAAAGTTTCCCATGATGGGAAACTGCTTTTTTCACCCAGTGAATGTACATTGTCAAATTGATTTTTTAGAGACAAAAATATGATGTAATAACTAGTTGATAGTGCCAAACAAATTGTTTAGTGTTTATCATGAGTCGAGATAATTTTCATTTCCAATGGTCATCGCCTGATAACATCTGGATAAAAATTAACGTCAAAGTCCATGGGCCTCTTTTACCCTCTGTACCAGTCTTTTGAGAGTAAACTTAAATGTAATGAATATATTACTTTAGGAAAGAATACCTGTAAAATGGGCGGCCCCGGAATGTTTAGTTTCACTGAAATCCGCCACAATTAAGAGTGATGTCTGGTCCTTTGGAGTTGTTTTGTGGGAAGTTTTTAGTTTGGGTACGTAAAAATTGTAATTGTAAGTTAAATGTGCAACTTAGCATGACGTGTTTGTTTTCAGATTGAGAAATCATACAGGTCCCTTATCTTAATTTTTTTTCCTTGATCTTTGAAAAAGCTCAAGTTTCTTTTAAATTTCGAAGTATCTGCATAAAGCTCTGTTAATTGGAAAATACTCGTGATCTAGACCTTTATTTTTCATTCAGGTGACACTCCGTATCCAGGCATGCGCAGTAGAGATGTACAGACTGAAGTCAGAAATGGCCATCGAATGAAGAGACCAGAATTTGCAAATGATTTGTAAGGCCAGAAAATTGCTATCTTAAGTTTATGTATATTTTTTAAAGCAAGCCATTGGAAATCAACTTGTACTTGTTTATAATTATTCCTTTTTCTTTTAACTGCTTTATAATTATCTAGTACTCTTTTGTTTTCTCTCCAAATAGCTTCTACGGAGTCATGACGAGATGCTGGAAGTCGAAGCCGAAAAACAGACCCAGTTTTAGTGATCTGTCATCTGAGATCGGGAACACCTTCAACGCTGCTCCCTCAGACGATTGCTACTACTATTCCAGACAATAAAGAAGTCTTAACTACTGCTTGCATATATAGGCATATTGTCTGGGGGTGGTTATTAAAATTTCATTTCACCATAATAAGGACTTAAGAAGGAAGAGTTGTCTAAAATATAAAATATATCATAAAAACATGTGTGAAAACAAAAGAAAAAACATTTTACAGTGATAAAACCTTCAGCATTTTATTGTGGACTTTGATTTAAATTGTTGTGTATTAAATGACGAGGCTTTATAGTCTCTGAAAACTTCTATCAACTGCCGTGTACATTTGATAAAATACATAACATACCGGGGGTATAAATCCGCATTCTATTGTAATTATTAAACTAATTTGTTGTGTATTAAATGACGAGATTTAATAGTCTCTGAAAACTTCTATCAACTGCCGTGTACATTTGATAAAATACATAACATACCGGGGGTATAAATCCGCATTCTATTGTAATTATTAAACTAATTTGTTGTGTATTAAATGACGAGATTTAATAGTCTCTGAAAAGTTGCATCAAATGTTGTGTACATTTGATAAAATACATAACATATAGATATAAATAAATGAAACTAGAGACAACTTCTTTTCTTTCTTATCTTATGATAATATGAAAGCATCTATAAATGGTTGATGTAGTCATTAATTATGTAATTTTTAACTCTACTGAAGAGCTTATGCAATGCATGGTAATGTGCCCGTCGTCCGTACATCTGTCACAAGAATTACAGATGTGAAGTATGAAAGCCCTAGCCCTAACCGTTCAAAAGTTATGGCCAAGGTTAAAGTTTTTTAAAAAGTAGGTCAAACTCCAAGGTCAAAGGGTCAAAGTTCTTGATATTCCATGAAAGATCTTATCACAAGGATTAAATAGTGAAGTATGAAAGCCTTAACCCTAGCCCTTTAAAAGTTATAGTCTAGGTTTGTTTTTCAAAAGTAGGTCAAACTCCAAGGATCAAGTTAAAGGGTCAATGTTATTGGTATCAAATGAAAGATCTTTCCACAAGGATTACAGATACAGGTATGAAGTATAAAAGCCCTAGCCCTTACTGTTCAAAATTATGGTCAAGGTTAAAGTTTTTTTCATACGTACGGAAATCTCCAAGTTCAAATTGTTGGTATCCAATGAAAGGTATTGCCAGAAAGAATATAGACTTGAAATATGAAAGTCTTAGTATCTACCGTTTGAAAGTTATGACCAAAGTAAAAGTTTGGAATTTTTGTGGAAAAGTGGGTCAAACACCAAGGTCAATGTCAAAAGGTCAAATTTAGTAGTACCCATAGAAAGGTCTTGTCACAAGGAATACACATGTGAAATATGAAAGTCGTAGCTCCACTAAATCGAAAGTTATGGACAAGGTTAAAGAGTTTTTGTGGACAAACAGACGGGCACGATAAAAACTATATACCCTCGAATCTTCGATTACGGGGGCATAAAAATACTTACTGGTCACTCACTTAAAATAAAATTCTGCATCACAATCAATGCATTGTTCGTTTGCGTATTTAATCAAGAAGAACTGTATATGCTTGAAGAACAATATTTATATCCTTACTAACATGCAAGAGAATGTTATGTACATGTAAGCTTGAAGTCTCAGTTGGATATTATTTGTTGTATCGTTATCAAAATTAGATGTGCAGCTAATGCCCTAAATTAATTAATTATTGTACCCCGTTTCCGCGAAAGCAAGGGGACATTAAATCTCATTCGTCTGTCACTCTGTACATTCTGTCACAAAAACTTTAACCTTGGTCAGAAATCCTGAATGAGAAGAGATAGGATTTTCATATTTCACATGAATATTCCCAGTAACAAGACCCTTCCAAATTAATATGCCATGATTTTTTTTATCCTCGACCTTGTCCTTGAAGTTTGACTTACTTTTCAAAAATTTAAACATTACTTTAAAGGTGCATAGACACAGATTTGAAGTTAATATTTTCCATATAATATCACGACTTATATATCATGAAAGCATTTCACACGAAAATATATTAAAAATCTAATTTCATCTAAAAGTTTTTGAAACTTCAAATTTTTGAACGGGTTTGATTGACACATCCTTCCACTTTCACAAGTTTTTTTCTTATTCTTAATACTTAGGAAAATTGGCGATCTTGTGTATTAATGAAAAATATTAAAACTATAATCCAGAAAATTCAGAGTAAAAGCAAAACATGCACACAGTATATTGTCAGTCCGTGTAGTTGTGGTGAGCAGGCTTTGACGATTGAACACACCCGGTGAATCGAAAACATTAACAATACGTTTCACGGGTGTGTTCAATTGCTAAACTCTGTACACAACACTAAGCAAGGAATGACGATACTTGTGAAGGGATTTTGCTTTCAAACATTTCTACTCTGAATATAATTATTTTTCTGAATTAAAGTTTTAAAAATTTTATTGATACACAACAAGATTGCAACTTTTACTAAGTATTAAGAATAAAATTTAAAATTTTCAAAGTTCAAGGATGTGACTTCAAAATGTTGTTTCTTTCTTATGACTTTTGAATTAGAAGAGATAGGGCTTTTATATTTGGTAACTTAAATTATTTTTTTTTAATTCGTGACCATCTGAACGTCGTAGGTCCTGTTCTTGACGGAAAAATCCTTATAAATTATTGTCTATTACCAGTATTTATATGTATCAAGGTACATGTACTTACAAAAGTAAAAAAATAAATAACAGATAAATAGGACTAAAAAAGAAAAGAAAAGTGTAAAAATTTTAAATTCTGGAAAAGCAACGATGGGTTGTAAGACGAAGGATTGATTTGAATTTATAGTGTTGGAAACGCCCGTATTTCGATTACAAACCGTGATCTTGCTGTGTGAATGGTGGTAATCTACACGATTAAATATGTATCAAATGCCACCTGACGTCACACTCCTGTAAAAATACAACGAAGGGGGTAGATTCTGTTATGTACAGTCCAAATTAACGATATATTATGTGTAAAACGGTCTTTACACAAACTACACACGCACATACCGAGATTTTTAGCAATTTTAATACAAAAACTTTTTTAAATGTTATAGTGGCTGATAAATAATACCTGCTCAAGTAATATTTCCCCAGGGGAAGTGTTTGTACTGATCAAGTAATTCTTCGCAAGGGGAAGTGTGCGTGAGATGAGGGGGTGATTAACATATTCACTATTAAAAAGACGCAGAAATGTTTTAAGAGAAATCAGAAATATTAAAACAAACTTATTTAGAGAAACCCTGTCCCCCATTTAACGCAAGAGAGAGAAAGAGAACTGAATGGTCTTTCAGTTTTGACCTTAATGACACACGTAACGTACATGTACTTTACAATATACTTTTCTTACTGATAATATTTCAAGTTTAAAATCATTATAACATCACATATTCGTGGACAAAACATCAGCATACATTTCCGGTAGTTTTGAACAGATATCTAATGATGAAAATTCTTGTATTTGAAAAAAAGAAAACAGAAGTGAAAAAATTTAAGCAGGTACTACTTCGAAATTTAAATCAGAAAAGATGTAAATTATAACAAGACATACAGTAATAAAATTGCGCAAAACGTCCCAAATTATTATAACTATTAAATTAGTTGGGAAAAAAGAAAATAAAGTTCAACAAAATATTGCGTTTGTCCCTAAGTCAACAAGGCTCTTTTATTTTAGTTAAAGAAACCTTTGACTCTAGGTTTAGTTTATAGTAAAAGACTACGTTCATGGACCTAAGACAACGCTTGAATGTTATACAAATTTCTGATTTAGGCCTTGACCTTTGACCTCAAATCAATAGGAGACTTTTTCAAGTCATATTGATTAAAGGAATGAAATTTTCATTGAAAAAAAAAAACCTGAAAAAGAACTAGAGTTTTCAACAGGAAACCATATTAAGCAAGATATAAAACGTTGACGTTTATCTTTTGACTTAAAAATCAAAAGAGGTCTTAAGGAGATACGAAACAAAATAAAAATACAGGGAGAAAGCTCATTGAAACTAAAGTTGTCATCTGGAAACTATTTTTAACAATATGAATGTTTGACCTTTACTTGACCTTTACCATGACTTTTTGACACTAAATAAAAATGGTCTTCTTAAAGTTATCCGAGAGCATTTTTTTTGCAATATATGATTTTACCGTGACATTTGACCTTTTATGATTCTTCTTTACGGCAAAAAGAGTTGCAATATAAAATTTCATTGAAAGCTCAAAGGCTTTGAAGACATCGCCTGAAAAAAAAAAATGCGCCACACAGAAAAAGTTTTTGATTTCTAATTTTAACTCTTTTTTTTTTTAGCTAAAATCAAAAGTAATCTTTTTAGACTATAAGAATTTGTAATAAAAAAAATCTTTTGTTAAAAAAATCTTTGGGTATCATATTAAAAATGGTATTTGAAATTAAATGTATGAAAAATTGACTTTAACTTTTGATCTTTTGACTTCAGAATCACTTACGTTCTCCTTGAGGCCATAAGAGGTTTTGCTATGTTATTTCATTGAAAAAGTTCAAAGGCTTCGATAAGATATTGAAACTGTAACACACAGGAGATTGTGATTTTTTTTCAAATTTAGCTTTTGACCTTTTGACACCAAAGTCAGAAGTGGACTTTTTCGGTTCAATAAAGTTATGTTATAGATTTCATCGCAAAATCTCGAATGCTTTTTAGCGACAAACAGAATAAGAGTGGAATGGACTTGGTCCGAAGGGGAGACGAATGAAGAAAATCTGTTTTAACTCAAAAAATAAACTTATTTTGTGTGATGCACATGGATGGAAGATGGCCTAAAGAGGTAAAGGAAGCCCTGATTTTTCAACCGTATCAAAATTTTATAAATAATAGTGTCAGGCAAAGGACCAAATCAGAAAATGATTTTGACACTGTACTTAAAGAATTAATTAAAAGTATGAATTACACATTGAACCTCCATGAAACGGTTAAAACGATATTTAAAAACCATATATCCTCCTGTCTTTAATAGTTTGCAAAAAAGCATAAGATAACACGATCAATATGTCTTTAAAGTACCCTTTCTATAAATTCTTCAAAATTATATGTCAGTTTTAAACATTTAAATGTAAAAGGCTCTAGTTCTACCTATAGTGTGTTTCATTACTCTTTTCCAAAAAACTAAGAGCAGTGGGGAAATTTCAGGAGTACTGCACAGCGTCCAGAAGAGGAGGTTTTATCAGACTGTGGATGTCTATAGAATACAAGCAATTTTAAGAAAATTGGAAATCGCAAAATTAAACCCAAATCAATAGTGTTAAAAAAGGTTTATTGTACAATCATTCCTTGAGAAAAATAAAAAGTCCAGAATTCTGACATCATAGACAATTAGAGTGCAATGAAAATTGATTAAGATTACAGACCTTGTCACTGGTCATCTTAAATGTGTTTCACATTGACAATATAGATATGAAGTATTTTGGGGGAGATCTTGAGTCTTCAAACAGTCTGTTAGATTTCCCATGGGAACTAATTGCGCTCTGTCATTAGCAGACCTTTTTTGTATTCATACGAAGCAGAATTTATTCAAAAACCTCTACATAGAGAGAAAAAGAAGTAGCTATCTTGTTGTGGCTTTTATTTCGACATTAAGATAGATATCAACATTTGTTTGTTTTTTTAAATAAATGAAATAACAATTTCCCAATTTCAACTTGCAAATTTTGATAATAAATGAAAATATAACTTGAAAATTTACGTAATCTATTATTTCCAAACTTTAAAACATTGTGTATATTAAAATGTTGAAATTACAGTAAAGTTTATTGAGCTGTTGTTATTTCCTTTCATATATATCTAATTATATATTATACGCTTTGAACAATTGAATCTACATGATAACTTCAATTAATCAAAAAAGACTATTTTTGAAAAAAAGGTCTTTTACCGAATAGCATGATAAAAACTATAGATGGATAAACATGCTTTATTCTGAGTTTTAAATGCTTTTCATTAGCATTTCTTTTATAAAACCTTTAGAAATACAAAATTGTGAGGGATGCACTTTAAAGGTTCAATAATTAGGGCAAGTTACATGCTTATTTAATTAAATTACACAAATTTTATGCATTAAATCAAATCCTAGCGATTCTGTAACAATTGCTAAATGTGAATCCTTGATGTAAGAAGATGGGCGAGCAGCTATGTTTACAATCATGTACATTTAATTTTGCAACAAACGACTCGTCCCTAATAAAATACGTAACAGTCGCCGATTCACTTCCGTTTAGAATCTGATTCATTTACATATTTACATATATCCTCAATATAACTACGATAGAAGTCGTTTACACAATAGAATAGATGTGCACGTCATTTCTGCATTTGGGGGTTAAAACAAGGATATTACGTAGTATACAAAGATTTATATTTCCTCAGTGAGGATACCTAAAGCACAGGTAGAGTTGTTTTCTTCTTGTTCTTTATTTTATTTAAAAATTCCTTTTACAGGTTATAATCATTCTAGTATTTTTGCTGTACTTATAACATTATGTAAACTAATTTATCCGAAGTAAAGATGCAGAAATCTCTTAATTAAATTTTACGTGTGAACAATCGGCAAATCAGTGCAGATTTAAGCATTTTTGAGGGGGGGGGATAATATACTAGTAGATTATTGAGCTATTGGATACCATAAATGAACATCATTACGATATTTCTGAAATTAAGTTGCATAATAATATAATATATATGTATGTTGCATATATTGTGATATTTTCTGATTATTCTCAACCCCTAGCATATAATTTCAGTAAAGAGTTTCTCTCTCTCTCTCTCTCTCTCTCTCTCTCTCTCTCTCTCTCCACGAAAGTACACGCATACTCTCTTTAGATTCTCTTGTGTACTTTTGAAAGTGAAGTTTCAGTTCAATGCCTGGCCCGTAAGAAGCAATTTCAGTTTGTGGGACAACGCCATATATTCTTAGTTTGGGGCACATCAGCTAACAAACATTCCTTGATAAGCAAAAAAAAAAAAAGAAAAGAGAGAAAAGAGAGCCCCCTCCCCTTTACACACACTCAAGACTAGGAAACAGGTTTTTGAGATTGGGGCTGTTGCATAATTAGATTTTAATCTGTGATTTAATACATACTAGTATATACATCATGTACAACATAAATCTACTCGAGTTATGTTTTATTTTTCATTCAAGTGGAAGTTTTGCAATTTTACCCCTTTTTTTCTTTATTCTTATAGTTTATCCCTATAACAGCTTAAGTCCCTTTTAAGCATATTTGATTGGGACATAGATTTGCAATTATGTAACAATCCCTACCGCTAAGAAGAATAAAGTTACAATTAAATGAATAAATAGATAAATAATTAAATACAGTATAAGAAAATAAAGAAATCAAAATTTATAAATAATAACCAAATAACAAAAAGTCGCATTTTCTTCATATAATTTATGTAAATTAGTTTTAAAACGAGATTTTATAGTTTCGTGCAGCCAATTTGGCCATATACTGAAAAAAAATCTCTTGGTGCACCTGGGGGGTATGGGGTTACAAATTCTTTTCATGTCACGTAATACACTCCAAAATATATTTGTTTATATTTTATAGGAGGTTGAAAAGGGCCCATGCATGACAAAATTTATTACTTTTAATCTTTAATGCTGAAATCTTAAAATTCTGAGAGATTTTTCACACGTATTTCAATTCAATTCATAAAAGTTTTTATTTCATAACGGTTACTTTTATAGTAGGATGTAGAATGTTGACTCGGTGAGATTGTTATCCATTTTATTTCCAGAAAAAGACATTTCTGTATGACCCTCGGCCTAAACTATCCCTCGGTCTTTCTGTCCCTCTATCCTACAAACCTCGACCTTCACTATCCCTCGGTCTTTCTGTCCCTCTATCCTACAAACCTCGACCTAAACCATCCCTCGGTCTGTCTGTCCCTCTATTCTACAAACCTCGACTTGCTTGTTTGTTTATTTGTGGTTTAACGTCCCTCTCGAGAATTTTTTCAATCACGTGGAGACACCACCACTTTCCCGTAGAGAGCTGAAAATTTTGAGCTATACTGGGGACTAAAGGCCATCGAGCAGTGAGGGATCTTTTTTTCGTGTCAGCATCTACTGCAACACGGGACCTCGGTTTATACGGTCTCATCCGAAGGACCAGTCTCCACGTCCCACAGTGGTATTCGAACCTCGACGTAAGGATCAACCCCTTACTTCGCGACTCTAAAGCAGACGAACCACTGAACCACGCAGCCGACCAAACCGCGACTAAAACCATCCCCTCTTTATCGTCTAACCGGTCTACAGACCTGTCTAGCACAGCTACAAACTGTGTGACTTAAACCATAAATTTTTCATCATCTAATCGGTCTATCTGCTATATTATACTACACAGCAACCTAAAACTGAAAAGTGTCTAGTTGTCTGCTACGCTATTTTAATATTTAACTACAAGGCACAACTAAATCATCATCTATCTGTCGTCAAACCGGTCTAATCCTTCACACTCTACTATATCCTTACCCTCAAACCGGTCTGCTTAAAAAATAGTGGTTAAAAAATAACGAATGAAAAAAAGAAGGGCGGGGTGTCTTTTTGTCCAATTAAAATGGAAAAACTAGCATATATAAACTTTGGAAATGTTTGAACAAGCAAGAGAGAGAAAAGTCTCCAGACTATCTTTGTTTTAACTAGAATATTAAATTTCAATATGCGAAATCAGTCTGAGTTTTTGAAAATTTAGATATTTGAACTAAAATATGTTAACATTCTAAAACTCGAAATCATTTTAGAAATTTGAATTGTTAAGTGTTACACGGACCGTAGTCCGAAATATCTGACGTTTACAAGGCTTTTTCACGAAACATAATATCAAATTCGTAATATTTTTTAACAAAAAGGGGGGGGGGGAACGTAAATATTCCGGACTTACGAAATTCCATATAGGACAACCAACTGCCATAAATGCTTCCTGCCAACTGCTCACTGCCTAAGGCCAACTGCCACAAATTTTCATATTTATATTGATATATACTAGCATGTGAATTACCCAAAAAAAAGGGGGCGCGGAGTGGTCCATCGCATTAAAAAAAATCCAACCCAGAAATTTCTTGACCAGAAATTTTCTTGACCAGATATTTCTTGACAATTAAAAAGAAGACAAAAAAAACACCTTTCCTATACGTGATTTTTTTTTGGGGTGGGGGGGGGCGAAGGGGGTTAATCTCTCTCTCTCTCTCTCTCTCTCTCTCTCTCTCTCTCTCTCTCTCTCTCTCTCTCTCTCTCTCTCTCTCTCTCTCTCTCTCTCTCTCTCTCTCTCTCTCTAAGGCCAACTGCCACAAATTTTCATATTTATATTGATATATACTAGCATGTGAATTACCCAAAAAAAGGGGGCGCGGAGTGGTCCATCGCATTAAAAAAAATCCAACCCAGAAATTTCTTGACCAGAAATTTTCTTGACCAGAAATTTCTTGACAATTAAAAAGAAGACAAAAAAAACACCTTTCCTATACGTGATTTTTTTGGGGGGGGGGGGCGCGAAGGGGGTTAATCTCTCTCTCTCTCTCTCTCTCTCTCTCTCTCTCTCTCTCTCTCTCTCTCTCTCTCTCTCTCTCTCTCTCTCTCTCTCTCTCTCTCTCTCTCTCTTTCTCTCTCTCCAACTGCCACAAATTTTCATATTTATATTGATATATACTAGCATGTGAATTACCCAAAAAAAAAGGGGGCGCGGAGTGGTCCATCGCATTAAAAAAAATCCAACCCAGAAATTTCTTGACCAGAAATTTTCTTGACCAGAAATTTCTTGACAATTAAAAAGAAGACAAAAAAAACACCTTTCCTATACGTGATTTTTTTTTTTGGGGGGGGGGGGCGAAGGGGGTTCTCTCTCTCTCTCTCTCTCTCTCTCTCTCTCGCTCTCGCTCTCTCTCTCTCTCTCTCTCTCTCTCTCTCTCTCTCTCTCTCTCTCTCTCTCTCTCTCTCTCTCTCTCTCTCTCTCTCTCTCTCTCTCTCTCTCTCTCTCTCTCTCTCTCTCTCTCTCTCTCTCTCTCTCTCTCTCTCGAGCTCTCTCTCTCTCTCTCTCTCTCGAGCTCTCTCTCGAGCTCTCTCTCTCTCGAGCTCTCTCTCTCGAGCTCTCTCTCTCTCTCTCTCTCTCTCTCTCTCTCTCTCTCCCGAGCTCTCTCGAGCTCTCTCGAGCTCTCTCTCTTGAGCTCTCGAGCTCTCTCGAGCTCTCTCGAGCTCTCTCGAGCTCTCTCGAGCTCTCTCTCTTGAGCTCTCTCTCTTGAGCTCTCTCTTGAGCTCTCTCTCTTCAGCTCTCTCTCTTGAACTCTCTCTCTCTCTTGAGCTCTCTCTCTCGAGCTCTCTCTCTCTCGAGCTCTCTCTCTCGAGATCTCGAGCCTCTTTTAAGCTCTCTCTCGAGCTCTCTCTCTCTCTCTCTCTTGAGCTCTCTCTCTCTCTTGAGCTCTCTCTCTCTCTCTCTCTCTCTCTCTCTCTCTCTCTCTCTCTCTCTCTCGAGCTCTCTCTCTCTCTCTCTCTCTCTCTCTCTCTCTCTCGAGCTCTCTCTCTCGAGCTCTCTTGAGCTCTCTCGAGCTCTCTCGAGCTCTCTCTCTTGAGCTCTCTCTTGAGCTCTCTCTCTTGAGCTCTCTCTCTTGAGCTCTCTCTTGAGCTCTCTCTCTTCAGCTCTCTCTCTTGAACTCTCTCTCTCTCTTGAGCTCTCTCTCTCGAGCTCTCTCTCTCGAGATCTCGAGCTCTTTTAAGCTCTCTCTCGAGCTCTTTCGAGCGAGCGCTCTCGAGTTTTCTCGAGTTTCAGAGAGTCATCTTCTCCCCACTCCAACCAGGAGAAGAAAGTCGAGGAAGCATAGGATAGTATGCCAGGTAAACAGAAAGAGAATAATATCCCTTTCGTGATTTCCCTATCCTATGTCTACCTCTCCCAAGATTTTCTCTCGCACAACTCTCTCTTTCTTACCCTCTCTTTCTTTTTTCTTTTTTTTTGTATTTCGCTGCTCTAGAACATATTGCAACTCAATTGTCGTGGAAAAGTTTATAAAGGAAAACTTGTTTGAAAAGTAATAGTGTTTTAGGTCTGGCATAACTATTATCGCCAAAATTTACGGTACTGGTTAGGTAGATTCAAACTAAATTACAACCAATAATTTCTAATTATGATTTTGAACATTCTTGTAAAATTTATTTTCCAAATAAACATATCTAATCATTTATAATCACGAAATAAACCACTGAAAGAAATTTGCAACGCATACAAAACGTTTACGCTAACTAAAGAATAGAGCAATTGAACCACTAAAAGTGCCATGGGCACTTCCTATTCTTATTTATACATTGTGTGTATTTTTCAGATTTTCGGTTTAAATTTTGTTTTGCAACTTTAATTGGCAATTGAAAAGACTTTGTACATGATAAAAACCTACATGATTATTCATGTATAGGTTGTAAATTCTATTTAACTGTAATTTAATTAATTTATATGATATGACAGTGAAAATAAAACTAAATTAAAAGACTTATATCGATAGTGAACATGTTCACTAAATGATTATAATTACTTTTTGGCCATAAAGGATTTGGTTAATGTAATACTAGTATTTGGTTTACTCTACTGATGATTTGTTGTTCACTATTCAATCGCCTCTGGTGTAACACTGCCGCCTGTATACGGATCTGTCTGAAAAGGGTGTCAATTGGTTGATAATGGAGCAATCAATTATAGAGTTTTTTTTAATTTTAAGTCGTTCTGTTAAGTACTAAAGTTATGGAGACGGCGGGGGTCAACATATTTTTTTCATATTTAAATGTTTTATTGTATACTAGCATTCCGGATGTAGTTGCTTGGAAGAGGGGGTAAAGAGGGGGGGGGGGGTATTCAGTCGACATAAAATTAATGTGCATGAAACTAAGACTGCATTTCATTATATTCTAAAAATATGAATTATCTATAAAGATTACAGGACAGGTGATAAAATTAAAAATCACCTTAAAAGCCGAGGTACATGCAAAGTCTAATTATACAATGTATTTATTACCCCTATAAATATAAAATAAAGAGAGGTAATTTTTATAATGTGTCGGATTTCAAAGTGATTTTTTGATCAGGAAGGAGTGAATGAAGTATAGTACGAGATAGAAAAAGAAAGAAAATCATATTAAAATTATACTTAAACAAGATGTGTTTGTGAAACACTATGCGCCCGGTGGCAACAAAGTTCAAGTAAACTATTTTTAGCATATCACAGTCAAGGTCACAAGGTCATCGACCTTGGGGTCACAAGGTCATCGACCTTGGTGTCATTTGAACGAGCTTAATTAGTATTGCATGCATACCAAATACGATGTCTCTATCTCTCATGGTTTAAAAGTTATGGCCAAATTTCGAAAAAACTATTTTTAGCATATAGGTCATAGTCAAGGTCACAAGGTCAATGACCTTGATGTCAATTGAAAGAGCTTAATTAGTGGAGTAAGCATACCAAATATGAAGTCTTTGTCTTTCATGGTTCAATAGTTATGGCAAAAGTTCGGAAAAGCTATTTTTAGCATATAGGTCACAGGTAAGGTCATAAGGTCATTGACCTTGATATCATTTGAAAGAACTTGGAGTAGTAATACCTAATATGAAGTCTCTATCTCTCATGGTTCGAAAGTTATTGTGAAGGTTAAAGTTGTCAACAGACAGACAGACAAACAGACAAACGGATAAACAGACAAACAGATAAACAGACAAACAGACAGGAAAAAACAATATACGCCTCGGATCTATCGATCCGGGCGCATAAAAATCATAGAAGTTGGGTGCATCGTAAAAGGAGGGTCCTGTCCAGAAACACCTGTGGTTTACAGGCCCAGAGATTTCAATTACGACAACCTCGCCTCTCTTTTCCTGCTTTTGAATCAATTTTTCAGTTAGTATCAAATTAGGCGCTCTCAACTGTTGCTGACTATAAAATCTAAACCTTTTAAAAAGGCCTAATAACGCCTTTTTGAATGGAATGGAACGTATATAATGCCTTTCGATTATTTATCTTTTTTACGCGTTATAACTCCTTTTAATTTTTTTTCTCTATTGATTGGTCCTATAATAGGCTTTCGTAGGAATTAGATATATTGGAATATTCTTTCCTCCTATTTATTCCTTCCTTTCCTCCACTGTTAAAAATTCCTGAATCCGCCAAATGGAATTTGTGTTATTATTGTACTCTATCATAAGGTTTAATCAGGGCATGCTTATTAAAATATATATTAAAGAAAACAAAACAAGCAATATCATTTTTGAGCAGTGGCAGTTTGCAGTGAGCAGTTGGTATATAACCAGTGAGCAGCTGGTATATAACCAGTGAGCAGTTGGTATATAACCAGTGAGCAGCTGGTATATAACCAGTGAGCAGTTGGTATATAACCAGTGAGCAGTTGGTATATAACCAGTGAGCAGCTGGTATATAACCAGCGAGCAGTTGGTATATAACCAGCGAGCAGTTGGTATATAACCAGTGAGCAGCTGGTATATAACCAGTGAGCAGCTGGTATATAACCAGTGAGCAGTTGGCAGTAAGCAGCTGGCTGTGGTATTTGACTAGGGTTTGTTATGTGTTTTAGTCGAATCTTGATTGATCAGCAAGCAAACTTACGATGACTTTTTCCCCTTATTATCTTTAAAAGCACAGTAAAAGCACATAGATACTTGTTTTATCCTCGGTTGACGAACTTCTCGATGACCCTTTGGTATATATCAAATATATACTTTTAGTTATAAATCACAAAATAATTTCTGTTGCAAATGCAATAAATTTGCATTGAGATTGACAGGGTTTTAATGGCTAGATTGTTGAGACTGTAGAAAAATCCACCCACTTATGTCGACTATACCCTCTTCTCTCTCTCATTCTTTCCGCTTTTCACTGATAGAAAGGCTATTTCTGTTGGTTTCTCTATCGATCGCTTTTAATTGTCCGGATAAATTAACCTGTCTATATTCTCATCAATAATGTAATATTATTGTGAACAACAGGATAATTATTAGGAATCTATTTTGATAATTCCTCTGTTTTGTTGCAGTGACCGCGGGTATATTGACAGGAGGAATCAGGGGCCATAACTCCGGCTCAGTATGGACCCAGCGCTCGTCCAGAGGACGGTGGGGATTTTTGTCATATTCCTCGTGACAGCTGGAGGTACAGTAGTTTGCATTCAAGTTTTCTAAACCATATATAACTTTAAAAAATCAAAATGCCATCCCTGTTATACTTTTTTAAGTACATCGGTAAACTTTACTGTGTTTTACTATATAGTTGTAAATCATCATTTCAGAATTTCAGAACTAAATCCAACACATCTTGGCATGTCTAACTTACCTGTTTTATACCAATGCCTAGTGTGTAATTCGTAGACTCGCCACTTTGTAAAATATAAGATAAATATAATGTTGTCTACTTTTAAACATTTTTCTGTTATTTGTTAAAAAAAAAAATTAATGTGTTGATACACTATGCATATTTTGAGTGTTTATATTTGTTGAAATAAGACAGTGCCAAAAACGTTGCTTAATTTTCTTTTAATAAAAGATATACCCCTACCTAATAATAATTTAATATTAATACCAGGAATATAATATAATTTATTATTAGGTAGGGGTATATTTTTATTAAAAGAAAAATAAATAACGTCAGGTGCCTGTGGTCAAAAATTATAGAAGTATAAAATTCCTCGTCATTTGATATTTAACGGTTATTGACTTGAATTCTGTACACTATAAGGATTATACGGATCTGGTCCGGTTTATTCGGCATCGGTCAACCAATACCTATCCAGGTCCGTACAGTCACGATAGATGATTGTATATAATTATATAGATTTAAATGTTTAACCAACAACACTGTATATCCTACTGTGTCAAATTTAGTCAATATTATATACAAGAATAGAAATCAAACAGCGAAACCCGGACTCCATAAATTGTTAAATTTTCGGAACGATCTTGGCGGGAAAATCTTGCTTATGGGACCGAAGGCTCAAGTGAACTTTTCTGATCACATTTTGTCCAGCGTCCGTCTGTTTAGCTGTCTGTCCGTCTGTCTCTAAACTTGTTGTTTTACATTTTCAACTTCTCAAGAACCACTGGATCAATTTTAACCTAACTTGCCACAAAGTACTAGTATCTTTGGGGAAAGGGGAATCAACTTTCTTCAAATGAAGGGCCACATCCAATTTAATACAAACTAGTAAAAAATTAATGGCATCTTTTAAAAATCTTCTGAAAACCCTCTGAGCCTGAAAAAAAAAGAAACTCATGTGAAAGTATCCTCAGTTGGTGTAGACTTAATTTTTTTCATATCTGACATGACCCACGGGGGTAGGGTGGGGCCCACAATGGCCATTCAGAGTTTTACAAATGAATATGTAGAAAAAATTCTGTAAAAATTTTCTCATGAACTACGATGTCACGATTGGTATTAAATAAATGGAAGCATCCTTAGGTAGTGTAGATTCGAGTTTGTTCAAATCGTGACACCGGGGATAGGGTGGGGCCACAATGGACGATCAAAGTTTTACAGAGGAATATACTAGAATATAGGAAAAATCTTTTAAAATCTTCTTCTCAAGAAAAACAGTGTCATGATTAGTAATATTTATAAGGAAGCCTCGGGTAGTATAGATTTCAGTTCGTTCAAATCGGGACCCTGGGGTACGGTGGGGGCAATAATAGATGAGCAATGTTTACATAGGGGTCTAAATGGAAAATCTTCTTTTCAGCAAATCCATGATTATTTATTACATGTATTTATTTGGAAGTATCCTATGGCATTTTAGATTCAAGAATGTTCAAATCATTAACCCGGAGTTTGGGTGGGACCAAAAATGATGAGCAAAGTTATACATAGGAATACATAAGGATTTTTTAAAAACCCTTTTCTCCTGTCCAAACAGCAAAGACATGATTGGTCCAATTCATATCGAAGCATAGTCAGTTAGTATAGTTTCAGATTTGTTCAAACTATGACCCCCCTGGTGATATGATAGCACCAAAATGAAAGTTTAATTGGATAGGAAAAAAAACACAGATTAGTGAAAGAAATATAAAAGCATCCTTGATTAGTGTAAATTCAACTCAAGTTTGTTCAAATTATATTCCCCTCCATTTAGGGGTAGAATGGGACCACTTTTCATTGCTGAACTGATTTCTGCTTTTTTACTTGCCACGGTGCTCAGGTGAGTGATATAGTCCATGGGCTTCTTGTCGGAGAATTAATGTAGCACTTTTTCCCGTCAGAAATCAGCAATATTCATGAATCTTATTGATAACATGAATGATCCTTGTTAAAGGGGTCAAAAATTTCTATAGAACATTATAGAAAATGGTACAGACAGACACCGCCTACCCCTCATAAAAAGAAACATGTCTTTTTATTCTATTTTTAAGGTATGCATGAATATTTCTGTCAATTCTTTTAAGCAGGCTGAGAGGTCAACAAATAAACCGTCAAATATAAATTAATCATTTTTGTATATCTTTATATGGAAGCTCAGCCTCTTCTTCTAAAGGAGATCAATATATATATATAGTCTAAAAATGGCTACAACCACCCGCCCCTCCTAAAAATCATAGGCGCTCCCCATATAATTCTGTAAATGACGTATGATAAGTATATATAGGTCTACCCCTCTATACTATAAATAATTTATAGTATAGAGGGGTAGACCTATAATATACTTATAATACGTCATGTACAGAATTACATGGGGAGCGCCTATGCTAAAAATCAGTCTTATTTCAATCCGTGACTTACATACCCACTGTCATTATGAAACTTTTAGGCCTAACAGGATGTAAGTTTAGGTTTGTCTGAAGTTTGTCGCATGATTATATCCCATAAAGCCCGAAAGGCTATTATGGTAGATTTGGTCACATGCCAACCTGTATTAATTAACATATCCCAGCTAAAAAAAAATACCATGTACATGTAATGACTTATTAAATTACTAATCCGTGTATTCAACTTTATGACTTATTTATAACAGATTTTTGCATGCTATAATTTTCCAAAAATTAAAAAAAAAATTAATATGTTTTATAACATTTCAAGTTTTTTTCTTCTTAAAATGAATAATTTGGACTGGAGGCTTATTAGTTGAATCCATATCGGGCTCGTAATCCTAATATTTTGATTGACTATGGCGCCAAATCAGAACTGAAACACAGGGAGAAATAAACACTGTTTTATTTACGATTAGGACGTTAAGGTACTTGATAGGGGAAAATCCAAAGGTAATCCTTTTAAGAAATAAATTTGAGGCTTGTTACTTTAATTCTATATATCATGATGACCAAGAGAAATTGCTTAAGTCGGCTTCCGTTTTTAAAATCAAAACTGACAAATTCTGCAAGGTTGGAAGTCGGTGGTCCTAAGCGCCTAACCGTTGAATATCGCTCTCCGACTGTTCAGATATTCTCACATGCCAATATTGAGAGAAATATTCAATTTTTTAAGTACATTGATCCAATAATACTCGGGTCCAGGAAAATCACTACATGTGTAGATTATATAGCTAATTTTTTAAACCCATCACATATAGAGCGTAATCTACCTATATCTGCAGCTGACAAAAAATGAGACCTTTACTTCTTTAAAAAAAAAAAGAAGATGAATTAAAAACATTTTGAAGAAAATAAATGGACTTTGTAATATTATGCATTGTACTGAATTACATATTTCCTATACACACAGGTGTTAAGGTAAACAGAGTCACTCCCAATCATGGGAGTCTTTGTGGAGAGACAAGACTTCTCATCACCGGGACGGGCTTCTCCAGGGACAACATTAACGAGGGCAACAAGGTGCGCCTGGTGTCCTCCTCAACATCCTACGACTGCCCGGTCCTCAAGGACGGAACCACGGAGGAGGACATCACCTGCTATACACCGTAAGATTCCTATAGTTATTGTAACCTACAGCTAGTATACTTAAGGAATCACTGTCTAGTTAGTATAGTATGCCAGGGCATCAACAATAGTGGGAAACATGGGATAATTTGCATAACAGGCAAAGCCCGTCTTGCATAAATTATCCCATGTTCCTAACTATCGTTGATGTCCCTGGTATGATATACTATACTAACTAGACAGTGATTTCTTATATTTCCATTTCATTGTAAAATAAAATTGTAGATTTATATTTTAAAAATGTAGACATAGATTTACATCACACGAGGACTCCCATGGCAATTTTAATAGTCCTCGCCCACTGACGTCAAACACAAAGGCAGCCGCACAAGAATTACATGCATATTTGGCCTCTTTAGCATCAGACACAGAGACAGATTCGCATGAGATTTGCATGTACATTAGGACTCCTTAGCTCCTGAGCTATCGACCTGCCTAATTTACATTCCAGTAGAATTATCAAGATATCAACTCTGATAACTTTCAAAGAGTTATCACAGAGAAAAAAATTAGAAATGGAAATACAGCTAGTATACATGTATATAACCACGGAGGAAAACATCACCTGCTACACTGTGTAAGATTCCTATAGTTATAGTAACCTACAACTAGTACACTTAACAAAACTTCTAAGTGTTCACTCTAATTAATATATTTTTTTAAAAACTACTTAAAAACTGTTATGATATTTTCAAATTATTACAACAAGTGTGTCTTCTCAACAATTATTGAAAGAAAATTAAATACTGTAGACGTATTTTTCAAATCCCCTTGAACACATTTGGGATTTTTATAAGGAATCTAAAAGCCCCCCCCCCCTTCACACAATTTCAACTGTTTGGAAAGATCCATGCAGTAGGTGTGGCAGATGATAGGTCAATCTCCTATTTAGGGGTACATGATATCCAACAGTAAAGGATGCCCTGCAGTAATTAGAGCTAGTGATGGTCTTACTCCATAGAGATTATTTTATGTGAATTTTTATTTTGAGGGTACATCATTTTCTTGACGCTTTGCTTAAAATTCTGACTAGATACTTATATGAAATTTATGCAACATTTAACATTTAAACATTTAAAAACATTTATTTTTAAATGTCAAATATTAGTTGCAAGGCAATAATTAAGATGTTATAATCCGACTAATTTCTTTTCTAAAAGTTTGTTATATTATTCTGTAACTTTGTCACCATGTCCCGAAGAAAAGCGACATGTACAGGTTTGTCTTATAAATGAATATAAATTTTCACTTGACTCCTGAACAATGTTACAAAACTTACAATGTTGTCATACTTATAAAAAGAATTATATATTAAATTCCATGATACTTCAAACATGGGTCAGTTTTGTTAAAAATGGTTGAATAAATGTATGTTAACTCATGCTTTGACAAATTAAAATCATCGATTGTAATCGTGAAGTGAAATCCCTCCTTTTCAAATTAAAATAAGAAAATATATTAAATTGTTAGACTGGAATATTTCTTATTTTTCAGACCTGGGATGAAGGAGGATAATTATTATGTCAGGCTGAATGTAGACGGGAATGACATACCAGTCGGGGACCATTGTCGCTCCGCCTCAGACTGGCGATGTAGAGTCACTGTAAGAACTTTAATTATTATTTATACATTTATTGACTAAGTTCGATATGCATTTAATATGTTGGACCCAAGAACCAAACTGTCTGCCTGAGGCTGCTAGGCTGAGGGCAGACAGTTTGGTTCGAGGGTCGACAAAACGTATTATGCCCAAGAACATAGTCAATAAATGTTTTGTTATACCTTTTTTTTATGTTTTTAGCTCACCTGAGCTGAAGGCTCAAGTGAGCTTTTCTGATCACATTTTGTCTGGCGTCCGTCTGTCTGTCTGTCTAGCTGTCCGTCTGTCTGTCTGTCTGTCTGTAAACTTTTCACATTTTCGACTTTTCAAGAACTGCTGGGCCAATTTCAACCAAACTTGCCACAAAGCATCCTTGGGTGAAGGGGATTCAAGTTTGTTCAAATGAAGGGCCACGCCCTCATTCAAGGGGAGATAATTGCAAATTAATAAAAAATTTGGTGGTATGTTTTAAAAATCTTCTTCTCAAGAACCACTGTGCCAGGAAAGATGAAACTTACGGGGAAACATCCTCAGGTAGTGTAGATTCAAATTTGTTCAAATCATGACCCCCGGGGGCAAGGCCGGGCCACAATGGCCGACCAAATTTTTACATAGAAATATACAGGAAAATTCTTTAAAAAATCTTCTTCTCAAGAATTACAAAGCCATAATTGATCGTATTTATACAGAAGCATTCTCAGGTAGTGTAGATTCAAATTTGTTCAAATCATGACTCCCGGGGGTAGGGCAGGGCCACAATGGCCGACCAGAGTTTTACATAGAAATATAAAGGAAAATTCTTTAAAAATCTTCTTCTCAAGAATAGCAAAGCCATAATTGATCATATTTATATGGAAGCATTCTCAGGTAGTGTAGATTCAAATTTGTTCAAATCATGACCCCAGAGGGCAGGGCGGGGCCACAATGGCCAACAAAAGTTTTACATAGAAATATAAAGGAAAATTCTTTACAAATCATCTTCTCAAGAATAGCAAAGCCATAATTGATCAAATATGTTTTAGTTTGTTCATAGAAATTTTATAGAAATTTATAGGAAAATTCTTTACAAATCATCTTCTCAAGAATAGCAAAGCCATAATTGATCATATTTATATGGAAGCATCCTCAGGTAGTTTGTTCAAATCATGACCCCCAGGAGTAGGGCGGGGCCACAATGGCCAACCAAAGTTTTACATAGAAATTTATAGGAAAATTCTTTAAAAATCTTCTTCATAAGAATAACAAAGCCATAATTGATCATATTTATATGGAAGCATCGTCAGGTAGTGTAGATTCAAGTTTGTTCAAATCATGACCCCCGGGGGTAGGGCGGGGCCACAATGGCCAAACACAAAGTTTTACATAGAAATATATTGGAACATTCTTTACAAATCATCTTCTTCAGAATAGCAAAGCAGTGATTGGTCATGAGACTACTTTTGGATTTAAACTTTTCAATAATATACAATTTCTACTTTTTCCTAGCCACAGTGCTCAGGTGAGCGATGTGGCCCATGGGCCTCTTGTTTTTAACATACATGTATTTCTATCTGTCTTCCGTGATGTAACCTCAGGTCTACCGATGTTGACCACCAAAGAATGAAAATGACATTAAGCTCCGCACATTCTGTGACGTTAGCTGTCCAACATCTCACCGACTGGTCCAACATCTCACTCAGCAGTCAAACATTGATTTTTTAAAACAAAACAAAGCAAAACATTAGAAATACCGGTACTTTAGTTATTCTTTTTTCGTTTAGATTCGTAAAGGAACAAATTTTTAAAGGTATAACAATTCTCATTACCATACGATTTAAGATAAAAAAGAATGTTCTAAAAGGAAGCTCAATTAGAAGCAAATATCCAGTAATGCATGTCCATGTAGTTGTTTAGTTATTCAAATTTCAGGGACAAGTAGTATTTGGAATTTTAGCCTACATTAATAATGTCCTGTTGAGCTTCATGTTATCTTCTTTGAAATAATTTGTTAATAAGAAGGTTTAAATTTTTGAAAGGTAATGGGAGTTCAAGGTCGCAAAGTCAAAAATCAAAGTGCATTTGAATCTTTTGACCGGTAAATATAAAAGCTCTTTTCTCATTCAAAAGTTATTTACTACAACATTTCTGAAAAGTACGTCAGACATATACGGCGCGTCGATTTACCCAAATCGACCCAAATGGAAATACAAATGGACCCAAATGGAAATCAAATGGAATATTAAATATGTATTATCGTATTTTATTTATGAAATGAATTTAATTTTTGAAGATTCATGCTGTTATGAACTACGATGCTTCACGCCGGCATATTTCATGAAGCGCGTTAGCGCTTCATGATAAATATGCCGGCGTGAAGCGTTGTAGTTCATATACCTCATGAATCTTCAAAAATTAAATTCATTTCTTATATTTACATTATTTTTCTGATGACTTGCCATAAACTGACATTCAACTGTCCTTTTTAAAGTAAATTAGTGTGCACTATATTTTTTTTTACGTCAATGCGGTATTATGACGTAACAATGGAGATATTCATGCTTATGTAATGTAGTTCATGAGAAAATATACTGCATTTTATTTTGTAAAGAATCATAGGGGAAATTTATTGGAAATGTAAATATTACTTATTTAAAATGATGAAAATAAATGAACTTACAGTAAGAAAAGGAGTTTTATATTTATTATCTCTAATATTGTATTTTGAGACATGAAGTTTTGATAGTATTCTATTTACCGGCAAAATTATTTGGGGGGGGGGGGGGGGGGGGGTTGGCATGGCCTCTCCCCCCCATCCATTCCTACGACCATAGAAACTACCAAATACTTCAGTTTTGTATTCAATTATGTTCAATATAGTTATTACAAATAGAATTAAATCGCATTTTTTAAAATACAATTGAAGAAAATATTAAATGATATTTAAATATTCTCTTTTTGTTAACATGGTTAATTTCATTATTTTCTATATTTTAGATAAGCAAAAACTTGAGAATACGATATAATACATATATTTAATATTCCATTTGGGTCCATTTGAGTTTCCATTTGGGTTCCTTTGGGTCCATTTGTTTCCATTTGGGTAAATCGACGCACCCGACATATACTATACAATTATTGCTGGTTTTTGAGGTCAATACAATTCTTTAGCCATCTGTGGAGTCCACTATTCACCGAGCCCGAAGGGCGAGGTGAATATTGTACTTCGAAGATGGCTAAATCATTGTATTGACCTCAAAAACCAGCAATAATTGTTTTATTATATGATTCACTGATAAAATGATACAGTTCATTACTTGTTAACTTGCATTTAATTAAGTCCTAGCCAAATACAAGAGAGAAACAGAATTAAAATGTGAATAAACCTTACCAGTCGTATCAATTTGAAATGGTTTTTTTTTAAATCAATTTTAGTTGCCATGAAAAAAATAATATAATGTCAGTCTTTTTATAGGATAGATTTTGAAAGGAAGGAGTATTATCAGGGAAAACTGACTGCCAACAAGTAAAAAAAAAACAACATGTTGTTCAGTTAAAGTGTTGGAGGGGGGTCCCTGCATCCTCTCTTACCACTCTAACCCTAAAATATATATTCGCTTATGTTTTTTTTTCACATGAAAAAAAAATCAGTCGTTTAAATAGCTTCCAAAACAATTTGTATCAATTTGGAATTTCCCAATCTATTTTTAGATCAATGTAGAGGAAATAAATCCTTGTATTGACCTGGAACATCACGTGCAGGTCAATACAACGTAGTATTTTTCTAACATAGTTGGATCTCAGCCAATCAGAGAGATGGAAATTATTCAATCATATAATAAAGTGTATTATTCTTATGAGACTACATTTAGAACTATGTATTTAATTTCCTGTAGATAAGGTCACACAATACTCCCACGATAACCTCAGTTGAACCTCGCTCTGGCCCTCCGGAGAGTATTATCAAAATCGAGGGTAGAATCGTCACCGACAGGTTCGACACCAACGTGGAGAAAGCCTTAAATGGGAGAACAGAGAAAATAGCCCGAGTGTATGCTGGGCCTCAGCTTTGTAGCCTTAAGGCAGAAAATGATGTTTTGTGAGTACTGTAGTTGTGATAAATTTTTTGCTTCAAGTAACATAAACAAATCAAGAGGAATGCTTTAAAATTAACTGCAAACAAATTACTTTTTTTTATTTATTTGAAATAGTCAGGTAATGTGTAACAAATTGTAAGAGTTTTGGGGACATGGTGAAAATTCTGGATATTCATTTTACATAGAAACTGCATTGAGAATTGTAAAAACATAACTTTGCTAAATGTTAAAAGGAGGAGAGGGTAAAGAGAGCTATAATAATATATGATATGTACCATTACACCTTCACAATATTCCTTCTTTCAGTTATGGAAAAGCACTGAACAATGAGAATACCTGGAATGGATACATGAAGTGCAAAATGAATGGAAAATTTGTTGGTAAATAAATGATAAAACAAAATAATTTTTTTTTTTACTTTCAAGCATCTTTCTAGTTCAAAGGAGCACATATAATATTTGAAATATTCATTGTGTTATCTTAACCATATATGATAACTGCCATGTCTTTAATACTTCTATACACAGTAAAACCTGCTTATGAAGTGCCAGGAATGTTCATTTGTTCCTCAGAGATTATGATCAATGATTCACAAACTACTAATATGAACATTTGTTTTAGGGAACCAAAATGTGAGCTACATTATAAGTGGATCATTTGGCAGGTAAGTCTATCTTTATATTGACTAGATTTATATGTGACAAAGTCACATAGATCTTCAAAGGGGCAGAAGTAAGTATTTGATGTATCCTCCATGTCATTCCTGATTTACTTTCCTTTGTACAGATCTTGTAGACCCAAATCTCTGTTACTCAGCCGAACAAAACAACTGTACTTGTTCCAGACTTACGCTGAGGTAACTTCTGTATCGCCCAGTGTCGGCAGTATCCATGGCGATACCATGGTAACCATAACAGGAAAGAACTTTGACCAAACAAGATCTCCAGCAAAAGTAAAAATATCAGGTACTTAATTGTCTTCTGAGGTATTAAATTACTGTACTCTAGTCTAGACTCAAACCATCCAAATGAAACACACCTTGGATTTCTTTATTTAAACTGTTATTCGGTAATGTGATGATTTGTTTAATATACATGCTGAACATATGTACATTACATATGTACACAGGCATTTTGAAAGGGGACCGACAGAGGATGGAATCTTTACACCCCTCTTCCCTTTTTAGCTCACCTGAGCTGAAAGCTCAAGTGAGCTTTCCTGATCACATTTTGTCCGGCGTCCGTCTGTCTGTCTAGCTGTCCGTCTGTCTGTAAACTTTTCACATTTTCGACTTCTTCTCAAGAACCGCTGGGCCAATTTCAACCAAACTTGCCACAAAGCATCCTTGGGTAAAGGGGATTCAAGTTTGTTCAAATCAAGGGCCACGCCCTCATTCAAGGGGAGATAATTGGGAATTAGTGAAAATTTGGTGGCATATTTTAAAAATCTTCTTCTCAAGAACCACTGTGCCAGGAAAGATGAAACGTATGGGGAAACATCCTCAGGTAGTGTAGATTCAAGTTTGTTCAAATCATGACCCCCCGGGGTAGGTCGGGGCCAAATGGCTGACCAAAGTTTTACATAGAAATATATAGGAAAATTCTTTAAAAATCTTCTTCTCAAGAATGACAAAGCCATAATTCATCATATTTATATGGAAGCATGTTCAGGTAGTGTAGATTCAAATTTGTTCAAATCATGACCCCCGGGGGGTAGGGCGGGGCCAAAATGGCCGACCAAAGTTTTACATAGAAATATATATGAAAATTCTTTAAAAATCTTCTTCTCAAGAATGACAAAGCCATAATTCAACATATTTATATGGAAGCATGCTCAGGTAGTGTAGATTCAAGTTTGTTCAAATCATGACCCCCGGGGGTAGGGCGGGGCCAAAATGGCCGACCAAAGTTTTACATAGAAATATATAGGAAAATTCTTTAAACACCTTCTTCTCAAGAACGACAAAGCCATAATTCAACATATTTATATGGAAGCATGCTCAAGTAGTGTAGATTCAAATTTGTTCAAATCATGACCCCCAGGGGTAGGGCGTGACCAAAATGGCCGACCAAAGTTTTTAAAGATATACATGTATATAGGAAAATTCTTTAAAAATCATTTTCTAATAAATAGCAAATCCATGATTGGTCATGGGACTACTTTTGGATTTAAACTTTACAATAAAAAGCCATTTTCTACTTTTTCCTACCCTTAGTGCTCAGGTGAGCAATGTGGCCCATGGGCCTCTTGTATTGATATGTTCTAAATGAAGAGGAAGTGAACATTGAGTTAATTTGACACTTTTTCATTTGTTATCAATCAAATCCTTTGATGATTAATTAAAAGTTTGTCTGCTTGTAGTATCTTAGTAGATTGTCTATGCCCTGCTGATTTTAATTCTAAACCTACTACAAGAAGTGACACATTTCAACACACTCCATTTTTAGCTCAACTGAGCTGAAAGGTGAAAGCTCAGGTGAGCTTTTCTGATCACTCCTTGTCTGTTGCCCATGTCTTTGTTCATTCATCTTTAAACATTTTTAATATTTAACTTCTTTTCAAGAACAACTTTCTGCAAGTTTTATATTGAAATATAGGGTAAATATGTAAAATCCTTTGTTAGTATTTTGTTAAATTCCAAGACATAATATATCAGTATTAAAATGATACTGTGTTACTTTTGAATTGCTTTTCTATGGATCCTTTACAGATATATGGTATTGTATTTTTATTTTTACTCATTGAAATGTGACTCATATGGCTTGTATTTTTTATGCCCCTATTTGAAGAAGGGAGGGCACATTGCTTTGCTGCCGTCTGTCGGTCCATCTGTCTGTTGGTCCACCATCAGTTTTCGTTCATTATACCCCCGCAAACGAAGTTTAGGGGGGTATATTGGAATCAGCATGTCCGTCTGTCTGTCCATCTGTCTGTAGTCAAGATTTGTCCGGACCATTTCTCAGAAACTATTGAATGGATTTGTCTGAAAATTTGTACACTTATTATTCACCGTACGAAGTTGTGCACCTGGTATTTTCATCATGGTTTGATGATTTTTCTGCATTTTACAGGTGTTTTTTCTTTTTTATTTTATGGTTTTGTTTGGCTCATAACTAGAAAACTATTAGACTGACAATCATCAAACTTGGACAGTTTATGCATCTTGGATAGAAGGTGTGTCACGACCTATTTTAAGGTCACCGTGACCTTTAATTTAAGTGAAATTTTAAAAAGAAACCTGTCTTTTACTATTGAATCACACATTCCCAAAAATGTAAGAGTGTTTCTGTATCCCTGTTTAAAAAATGTTAAATTAAGAAAATAATATTTTTTCATTATATACTTTACAGCAATCCATATCAAATGTTATTTTATAAGAGATAATCTACCTCTCCCAAGGGTATAATTATCAAGCACTGGTCAAGGAGAATTTTGATAACAGAAAATTGCATCCCTTGGCATTTATCAGTGGACATGCATCCAGTCAAAGATTAATTAATGAGTTCAATGTAGGAAAGCTAGCTGTCTCAATTATTTCTGTTAGCTGTTATCTCTGATTAAGGTCCTTTGGGAATTAGAAAGAGGAACTGCTGGTCAGTTTAAATAGCATATGTCATTTGATGGCCAGCCTTCTATTTCTAAAATCAATTTGTTATAGATTAAGTTTTTAATACTAATTAGTTAAATTAATATATTTAAAAAAATAATTAAAATATCAAGTAACAAATTTCAGAGCGTCATGTCCCACATGAAAGATATATGCATATGTGTTTGTTTGTGGGGGAGGAGCATTTATCAAGCTATAATGCAACCATTTGATGATTATTTGTTATAATTAATGCTTACACCACAGGAGATGTTTAAACAAATATCAAAAGGAATAAAAAAAAATTATGGAAATCCTTTTAAAGGTTGCCATGATTTCCTCACACTCTAAACTGTTTATATTAATTGAATGAACAATATTTGACTGGAGTATCATGCTGTGATGGGGCACTTTATAATGAATTTGATATAAAGTTATAAAGATTAATTTGATTCTGTATAATATTTCTTTTTTCAACAAGTATTATTCAGAGTAGCATGACAAATAATTGCATTTCCTTTTTTTAATGAAATTTAAAAAAAAAAAATGTTATAGTGTATTAGTATTGATGTTTTATTTGGTTGCTTTTTAGATTCATAAATTGAAAAAAAATTAATGAGCATGCAATAATATTTTCACCCGATTTGTTTTAAGACAATAGTGAACACCTCTTAATAGATCCATAAAATATTTGTGAATTGGCATGTACTCTGAAAAAACACAGCGGGGGTATTTGTCCCTATGGGACAGTTCTAGTTTTCTTTGCAGAAGTTGCACATATTGAAAAGAAATTTGGTATACAGAATTATCATAAGAATATCTATGTCAAGTTCTGTTTTGGGTGTAATCGAGTCATTTTGGATAGAGCTATACCCCTTGGACTTAGAAAAATTCCAGTCATTTGAGGGAGGGGGGCATAAGTGTTTTACAAGCATCTCTTGTTTCTTTTAATTTGATTCACTTTGTACACAGGTCAAGATTGTGATGTGAAGTCAGTGACAGAAACACAGATAACATGTCTGACACCTCCCAAACCAGCCACTCTCCACAGCAAACTCCCAGGTATAGTTCTAATGGATTAAGTCTTCATATAGGCAAAGAATTAGTGTTTATTTCCCTAGGGTAAAAATAAATTTATTTAAGTAAATTGTACAATGTATAGTGTTTCCTTTTTTTTGTTCAAGGGAACCGTGGGTTATGGTTGGAAGTTTGGAATTCGACAAGTAGACATTTCGATCGAATTCATGAAGTTTTAACATTCAACAAGAGTTACCCTGACTACTCTAGATCGCACATAGACAATACCGATTTTGATTACAATTTACATAACAACTATGTCAACAGACTGAGTGGGTTTTTTATTCCCCCCTGGACGGGACATTACTCGTTTGCCATCAGGGCTGATGATGTAGGACAGCTCTACTTTAGTAACACCACTGACCCAGGAAATCTGGTAAAATAGAGGCACCGCCTTTACTCACTCAATTTTAGGGGCAAACGTCAAAAAACGATTTCCTCTTTTTTGGCAGAAAATTTTGTAGTGTCACAACTTTGTGATTTTGTTTTGTTTATTGTTTGGATTTTTTTTCAGGTAAAAATTGCTGAATGCAAGAGATATGTTACAACATTTACAAGATGGCCAGAGCAAATGTCTGAAAAGTTTACACTAAAAGCAGGAGAAGCGTACGTCACTCCTTTCTTTTTTAGCACGCCCGAGATTTAAGATCAAGTGATCTTTCTGATAAGCCATGCATAGTAAAACATCATTTACAGATCTTCAGAAGAAAAAACAACAGGATCGATATCAAATAAGTTAACCCAAATAAACGTTGAAGCCATTATGGACATTTAGTTACAAAGTTTAATGTTGCAAGATAAATTTGAAAAGTATTTAGTACAAACTATTAAGGAGTTAATTTTAACCATTCCTCAACAGATATCACATGGTGATAGTACACAGAGACTACTCCGGCCCCGAGAGAATAAGAGTTGCTGCCCGCTACTACCAAACTGAGCTGACCAATCAGAGCACAGCTTATGCTAAGCAGGAGCACCAGAAGATAGAAGTGAGGTCAACTGTTATCAGAGAGGTACAGAACATTTCATTGGTCACTGAAAGTGCTCAGACAGGAGTGAATGAGGTCCAGAAGGTACAGATCTGTGATACTGCTCAGAGTGGAGCTCAGCTGATGTTTAGACTGGGGCTTTATAACGTATACACAGGTAACACACATAACGTATACACAGGTAACACATATAACGTATACACAGGTAACACATATACTCTATAACACACATGTGTTGATAGCCATTCACACTTGAGAAGCACTAATACAATGTATTACACTTGCTAAATTTTGACAGTTTGACACTCAAAATGCCTTCTCTGACTCATTAAACACTTCAAAAAAAATTCCAGTGATCAGAGTATGTTTGACATCATTATGTGTGTCTGATCAAGTATGGTAGGCCACAGGTGTACACTTAGAAGATTATTAAAGAGAATTTTTAAGTTAATCATATCTTTGTGATTCTGTTTAGATTTCTTCATTTGAGTATAAATAAATATTTTTTTTCCTGTTTAACTGTTGTTTTAATTTTTTTTTTTTCGTCGTAGATATCCTGACCTCTCAAAGTTCAGTCAGTGAAATCAGAAATGCTTTGAAATCTCTGCCGATTTTTGACTCACATGAGTCGGTAAATCTCATCAATAAAACAATGAGTTCTGGCTGCTTGATCATTTTTGTGGAGTTCATGTCAAAAAGAGGTACAAAAAGGATTGGTCATTCTTTTTTATATTTTAACAATTTATTCAGGAAAACCTTAAATTCATTTGGTTATGTCTGTTTATCAATCTTTCTGTCATTCTGTCATTGTGTGACAGAACAATTTGTAGAGGTACATAAAATTAAATCAAATTGAATTTAGATATATTTCAAATTTATTAAAGAAAAATAAAAGATTGTTTGCTTCATAGGTGATTTTAAGAATAGTAAAAGCCTTATTAATTCTAGAAAGATCATTAAAAATGTAACAGTATATTTGTAGAGGTACATAAAAAGATTGTTTGTTTTGTAGGTGATTTTGAGGATTTGAAGGTTGTTATGAAGGGGACAGGGGTGATGGTGAATATTTCTGTACAGGAAGTCCAGGCAGGGGAGCCTACTGGGGAATACATTGCCTTAAGTATGGCAGGAGTTATCTCCCCTTTGTTTTCTGGAAAGCCAAGCAAATCACAGGTTACTGATACATCTCACAGTATGATTTTGTTGATTTGTGAATATATAGCAGTTCTTCACAGGAAGTTTAATTTTTCTTTCTTCAAGTGAGATGGAAGTTAGAATGAACTTCTCTGATTACAATTTAGCCATTTGTGATAATTTGCATAAACGCCGAAGGCGTTTATGCATAAAATTATCACACAAGCCAATCCATTGATCATCTTCATGAATTCGAAAAATAAGACAGTTATTCCTTATATTTACATGCTTTGATTCCGCCAATCCACGGGCTCCAAGCCTGCTTCTCTCTAGGTGTTGTCCCGCCCTGCACGTGATTTTTTTTTGGAACCGCGCAAAAACATTCATGAGGAAATAAATTACATTTACAATTGGTAATTTTATCTCGGACAAAGACATTGGAAATGTAAATATAAATTTCTCAATTCTGAAAATGAGTCATTATGATAATGGAACAATTTCCAACTGACAAACTGCCAATAAAAGTTATCACAAATAATAAGTTGGTTTACAGAATTGAGATTCAAGTTTGTTCAAATCATGACCACAAGGAGTAGTGTGGGCCAAGATTTGGAGATAAAATTTTAACATGGTAATAAATTAATAAAAAAAATATTCATTAAAAATCATCTTCTGAAGGAAAACGGGGTGATAATAAGTCATGCATTGCTATTTGGATCCATGTAACTAAATTAAATGTAGACTGAAGTATGTTTTCATCAAGGCCCTACTAGGCCTAGCTTAGAAAAAGGTGGAACCACAATGAAATTTCAAATTTTAATTGGAAATCATATCAATTTGTATAGAGGAAAAGTATTGACAATGTGTTTTGTTATATCATGTCAAATTATGGTTTACATTATATGACACATAGTTCTTTTAATCAAGCTTTATTTTGAAAAATATTTCAGCTTAAATTAAAAAAAATCCGTCAGAATTTAACCTGTACATTACTTGTTACAGATGGAAGAGGGCCTAGGTCAGATATTCATGAGTCGTTGTCCCAACGCCCTGGGTAATCCTACCAGTAAAGCTCTCCATTACGGCTTTGAGTTGGACGTCCGGCCCAATGGGATGTCAGTAGGCACTGTTGTATCAGACGTAGAGGCTTTTTGTGGAAAGAAATGTGTCAGAAGTCCTAATTTCCTGTACAATGACAAGAATAACCCCATCTCTCTAGGACAAAGTGTCAAAGTGGTGAGTAAAACATGTATAAAAGAAACATCGTTAACATATGTTGGAGAACAAAGGAGTAGTAATGTGTCATACAATTTGGCATGACATTGTGGTAAATTTAGTAAACCTTGAATCATAGTCTTGGCTTTGTTTTGTTTTTATAGGTTTGCTTTGCTTACCTTGGCAAGCTACAGAATTTTTTCAAGCTTGGATATACCTACAGAAACAGTAAAGGACAAACAATCAGTAACCAGTATGCTTATCCTTCCACTACATTCCAACAATCACCTGGGTAGGTATAATTACTCACACTTTCTGACCAGTAAACCATTGTAAATGACTAGCATTCCACAAAATATTTTAATATTGTACATGTGCTTACTGTGATGCATAAATTTTACTGTGGCCCAGGCATAGAATCTAAAATATTACTGTGGGAGGGGTACCACAGTTAAACAGCTCATGGACAGGGTGTTGATCCATATCTTGGACAAAATGAAGGTTATGTTAAAGATCATCAAACTAAAGTCAGTTGATGCTTTTTCATGTCTCTAGTCTGACTGTGAAAAAGTAGGTCACAGTGAACTACTTTGTGAATTCTTTGGCTTTTCAAGTGATCAAATCTTGTTAGTTGATACATCTTGGAACCTCAGGGCATTTTAACTTTAAGTAGGTCACCGTGATGTGTGAAGTTAAAAAAAGGTCATAGTGGCATACTGAAGCATCTTTGAATCTTGAAATACATGTAATATAGCACAAAAGTAGGTCACAGTGACCCACTTTTATCATCGTATATACATAAACCATTATATTTGTAATATTTTGAGGCTAAAGACAATCAAGCCTTGTTAGTTGATGCATCTTTGATCCTCAGGATATGGTGGCTAAAAGTAGGTCACAATGAAATTTTTTAGCTCACCTGAGCCGAAGGCTCAAGTGAGCTTTTCTGATCACATTTTGTCCGTCGTCCGTCCGTCCGTCTGTAAACTTTTCACATTTTCGACTTCTTCTCAAGAACCACTGGGCAAATTTTGACCAAACTTGGTACAAAGCATCCTTGGGTAAAGGGGAATTTAAATGATTAAAATGAAGGGCCAAGTCCCCTCACAAGGGGAGATAATCAAGAAAAGACAAAAATAGGGTGGGGTCATTAAAAAATCTTCTTCTCAAGAACCACTGGGCCAGAAAAGCTGAAACTTATGTGGAAGCATTCTAGGGTAGTGTAGATTCTAAATTGTTCAAATCATGACCCCTGGGGGAAGGGCGGGGCCACAATGGGGAATCAAAGTTTTACATAGAAATATATAGGAAAAATCTTTAAGAATTTTCTTCTCAAGAACCACTGGTCCAGAAAAGCTGATTCAGAAACTTATGTGGAAGCATTCTAAGGTTGTGTAGATTCTAAATTGTTCAAATCATGACCCCAGGGGGAAGGGCAGGGCCACAATGGGGAATCAAGTTTTACATAGAAATGTATAGGAAAAATCTTTGAAAATCTTCTTCTCAAGAACCACTGGGCCAGAAAAGCTGAAACTTATGTGGAAGCATTCTAGGGTAGTGTAGATTCTAAATTGTTCAAATCATGACCCCCGGGGGAAGGGCAGGGCCACAATGGGGAATCAAGTTTTACATAGAAATGTATAGGAAAAATCTTTGAAAATCTTCTTCTCAAGAACCACTGGGCCAGAAAAGCTGAAACTTATGTGCACATGGAAGGATCATGAGGTAGTGTAGATTTCAAAATGTTTAAATTATGATCAGTGGGGTAGGGTGGGGATGCATTATGTATTACAAGGGGGAAATCTGGTGAAGAACAGAATGGTCAAAGCTTCTCAGTGAGCGATGTGGCCCATGGGCCTCTTGTTTTTGTATTTTATCCTTATTCATTGTCAGATCTTTATAGTTTGATACAGAGAAGCTTAAGATATTCAAACATTGTCAATTGATGCAATACAAGACCTCAGTATGTGTTGAATCAAAAGTTGAACCAAAAGTAGATCATTGTGACCAAATTTTTGCATTTTATCACTATCTTTGATAAAACGAATGGTAGAACAGGTCATTCTTGACAATTATCGTTCTGTTTGAAATCTGACAGGTGGAACTACAAGTGTATTGACATGCTGGCTGTTGTACAAGATGGCAAGGTAGGAACAAGCTTCAAGATCTTCCTGATCGAGGTCAGGAGAGATGACTCGGAGGACTTCTATTACGTGGATGAAATCTATGTCGGAAGGGAGCCCACCAACTTAGATGAAGGTAATCTTGTGAGGTTGTAGTTTCTCTTTGAAGATGAGTTTATTTTGATTTTTTGTATATATCTAACTTGCTATGGACAACACTAGAAAACAAAATTGATGAGATGATCCTTTACACTGAAAAAGATAAAATGTAACACATCATTCTTCCTCTAAAAAAGATTTAGAAATTTCCGAGGAATACCTATTGAAGCTTATGATGTCACCTAGAAACATGACATAATTCAAATACCAGCTCTACATAACTTACTGACCAGTGATATCATGATAAATCATGAATAACAAGTTTCTGATATTTCACACACATTTTTCCTAATTATCATAATATTTAAAACCTGTTTTGGTCAGAAAATTAAATTTTTATGGTACAACAGGACAGATTATTTGAGATGGTCATTTCGTTTTTATTAGGTCAATATCCAGTATATATTTTACAAGACAATTTGAAATCAATTTTCAGCTAGTGTCAACCTAATGAGGTTAAGACCCGCCATGCCATCTGGTGGGTTGGTCAGCCATGTAAATGTGGCCCGGTCTGACAGAAATGACAGCACTGAGTACCAAGTGGAGTTTATACCCCATGCCTGCGCTTACAACTTCCCTTTACTGGCTGCAGTACCTGGACAGGTAAAATGAATCAAGATTATATTAAATAGGTATTAGCAGGTGCATGTTTGTTCCTATAAATGTAAGATTACATCAAGATTTACTTTTCTTTCATATGATACAACTAGTATATAGCATTTCAAACAATAATGATATAATGACAATTGTACTATTAAATACAGATATGTTGAGCCTTCGAGTACATTACACAACAAAAAGAGAATTTGCACATGTCACATGGGAGTAGTGATCTGAGCTGTGGAATTTCAAGAGTTTAAAAATTAATTCTTTGTTATGTTTCACGTACTCTTAATTTCTGACACAGATTTCTAATGGAACAATGTTAAGCATCTCTCAGGTGTCAGCAGCTTCTCCACCAGTAACTGGCAACTTCTCTGTGACTTTCCAGAATAAAACACTGGATGGTATGTACAAAATGACAATTACAGTCATCTCATCTTAATTTTCTTTTTTCAATGCTATACTTAATATCATTTGAAGTTTTCCAGCTAATTTTCATACAGACTTGATTTCAAAATATAAGATCAACATGTAAGACTTAAGAGACAGAGTCTATATAAAGACATACAATGTTGAGGATATACATGTATGTGTGGAATCACTTCAGGTATCCCGTTCACTATTGATGGGACGGGGCTTGCGGCTCTCTTACAGTCAGGTCTTCCAGAGATGGGGAATCTGTACACATACAAACATGGGGGATGTGCTGCATTTGACTTAAATATTGGATTCCACTCCAGAGCAGGAGACCAGGAAACCATACAGGTACCCACACATAGTACACGATTAGACAAAATGTGTAGGACAGCTGTATATCTCCTGTTGTTAAGGTTTCCACATAGAACTGACTAAATTATGTTCTAAGAATTAAAATCAGTTACAAGAGTTAGATTGAAAACATAGAATTTATTTTTAATGCTGTACAGTATTTAAGAGTTACTTTTTATCCATTAAGGTCACCAGTTATGCAGAAGGAGAAAATGTGACTGCAGAAGTCACCACGGTTACAGATGGCAATGTATGGCTGAACCCCATACCTGGAGACATGCTGGCAACACTGGAAGATAAACCCTCAGTCATGGCATACATTAATGATATCCCCACAAAATGTTCAGGGAGCTGCTCCTGGGAGTGGTCAGAATCGGCCACACCCACCATCATCTCAGTCTCCCCCAGCACAGGTAAGTGCTCGGCCATGGCCAAGATTGTAGACAGCATTACCGTAAATCTGGAAATTTTTGCTGTAGATAAATTTTTAGCAAATTTGCGAGTTCATTGCATTCGCAAAAATATTTTTCTGAAAAATTAAATTTCCAATAAGAAAATGTAAACAAAGCAGTGGTAATTCGCAAAATTTTGAAACGTAAAAATAAATCAACGCCATTTTGACCCGAATTCGCAAAATAAAATCGACGTAAAAATTTCTAGATTTACGGTATATCGCATATAAAAGTATGGATTATTGTTCTGCATCTGCTCTGAATTTAACTCGGTAAAATCAGACTTCAATGACATTGTATCAGATGAAAGTTTTGAAATATTCAAGCATTTTTTTCCAGGCTTCCCGACAACCACACTGATCACAATAAATGGCACAGGATTCCATGGCAACCACAGTCTGAACTCTGTCATGATTGGTGGAGTGCAGTGTGTGACTGTATCATCCAACAATACAGAGATCGTATGTAGGGTGGGGGACGGACCCACGGGGACGTATCCTGTGATGGTCAGTGTAGCGGGGCTGGGAAATGCTGAGAACACCAATAACAGTGTGACATTCAGCTATCAGTTCAGCATCCAGTCAATGGCACCGAGTTCTGTCTCACTGGGTGGTATGTACAGGGCTTTCCTTTGGTAAAAAGTAACACTAAATACAGAATTATTTGGCACTGCCACTTCACTCCAACTGTACTTTAAATACATTTTATATTTAAAAAAAATTATAGAATTGAATTTTCTTGTAGTGTTAACAATTTAATAAAATTCAATATTTTGTTTCTTGTACTACCCCTTGACATTGTGATTGTAGGTGGTTTGAATCTGACCCTGGGAGGGTATGGATTTTCCTCCAAAGACATGGTGTATGTGGGAGATGTGATATGTCCCATAATTTCAAGTACCTCAACCCAGACTGTGTGTCTAATACCCCCTTCTGTAAGTATAGTAATGATTTTCATCATCTCAAAATAAAGTGCAATAACACGGGAGAACTGCAAACCTAACAAGAGATCCCATCTTACTTTTTGCATGCACAGAATTCAAATTTGAAAATTTTCTATTCAAGTTCTTCAAAAGCACAGTAGATAAATAATTCATTACTTTTATACCAGTATCAGTTATTTACTTATATAATAACATGTGAAAAATATGTTTTGTTCAATTTATTGCTTTATTTTGTAGTCAGAGGATAAAAATGCCAGCGTTGTAGTTGAGCAGGGTTACACGGGTCTCAATGTTACCCATTCAGAGGCCCTGCTGTACTCCAGTACAGATATGATCATAGTCACCTCCGTGGAACCCAACTCCACTTTTGTAGCAGGTAAGCTAAATACATGTAAGTATAGCTTAAAATGCAGCAACAATGATATTATGTTTAATATTATTTTATCCATGGTGGGAGAGGCTAGGAGCAGTGGGATATCTTACTAATGGGAGCTTTTGCTACTTTTGTTAATGATAGATGTTGCAGTTTGGTTTAATTTTCCAAAAAACAGTATACATGTATTTCTTGAATTGTTTTAACCAGGAGGGACTGAGATAACAATACAAGGGGAGGGACTGAACCAAACGGAGTCTATAATGATAGGATACAAGCCTGTCAACCCTACAAACTCCTCCGACACCGAGATTAAACTTGTAGTACCCTCCATGCCTGCAGGGGAGTACCCCATCAAACTCTTAGGTGCCACGGGATTAGCTGTAGACAGGTAATTAGGAATTTATAGGAAAAATATTATGAAATGGCAATACCTGACATGACTTATAGGTCTGGTACATATATATGCTCTCTCTGGCAGAGAAACAATTGATCGCCCAAATGCACTGAGTAAAGAGCTATGTTCATTTTATGCATAAAATGGCCGTGTACTTATATCAATTCAATAACTATCACCCTCTTTCCCATTTCATATATCAAAATAAAGTAGACACTTGGTGCTTTTATTTTCTATAATAAAATTCCCTTTTGAGAATCCAGATATTGGAAAACAGGCTTCGAGAAATTACAATGTTCTTGAAATTTGCAGAAAACGTGCGTATTTGACTACATTCAGCAAAAAATTAAAATATGAGCACAGCCCACGATCCAAAAAATAAAACATGTTTATTGATCTTCAGAAACAGATCTTTCATTATGTTTTTGCATGTTTTGGATCAGAAGTTATGCTCTATAACACTCCAAGTGATAAATACTGCATTTGCAATCTAAACTGAGCGGCTTTGAATTTTCAGAAATGGTCAGGGCCAAACAAGGCCCAAAATGGCTCTTGCTCTTTTATCTAATACTTATCCTATGTTCTGTTTTCAGTCTACACTCTCTAAAAACATGCATACTTAATTCCCTCTTCTTTTTTCATGTTAATTAATCTTAGTCAGTTATTGATGAATTTAATGAAGCCCTACCATATATATCAATGCTATATTATATGTTGTCCTTGTTGAATGCATTAAATGTTTATTCTTGTAGAAGTACAAACTCACTGCCCTCAATGGAGTGGAGGTTGGTGGTGTCTGGTGTAACTCCCCTGATGGGGTCACTTAGAGGGGGGACCACCCTCACCATCACCGGGGACGGATTTTCCCCCAATAAGACCAGGAACTCTGTGATGGTGGGCGCCCACGTCTGTGACATACAGAGTTCCACCGTATCAGAACTGACATGTCAGATCACAGACACAGCCAGGGTACATTCTGTGGACAACTCAGGCATCCATCCTTGTAAGATATTCACTTTATTCACTAGCCACAGCATTAACACAAATCATATTAAACACCCTCAGTTATATGAACAAGAGATGTTAAACCACAAACCTTCAATCAATAAGACTGGTGTTTTCAGAAAATATCTCTATGGACTTGTCACTATGTTATGTTATTATTGTAAAATCAAAATCAACTCAAGACCAAGATTGATATTAGTTCCTCTTATCATCTGTTGATTATGTTTCCACAGCGTTTCAGCTGAGTGGGTATGCCTGGAATCCCCAGTATCTGACCGTTAAGGTGGGGGACACCGTGGAGTGGACCTGGAGCTTTGCTTCCTACATCTCGGGGATGCGACCTCGGGTCGTACAGGTCAAGGACGAGAGTTCCGAGGAGGAGGTGGAGGGTGGATTTAACAGTGGAGCACCTAGTGACTCCGGTAATACACAGAGGGGGCGTCATCTCCACTAAATTCCTGTATCTTAGTAAAGACTTACAAAAAGCAGTTTCCACTATGATGATTTTGAAGGCCTGTTTGGCATTTGAACTTATTTCAGTTTGCAAGATTGAAACATTTAAAAAAAATGTTAAAAATCTTCCTTTTTGGGTGATTCATATTAATTAAAGATAATATTTACAGGGGTTTTCCGACATCAGTTCACAGTCCCTGGGAAGTACTGCTATTGGAGTGACTATATTGACCAGTACAAGACTACATGGTTCAGAGGCTGCATCACAGTGGAGGATCTAAGTTCTTACGTGGCAGAAGTCAAGGTCAAGGTTAATGGATATGAAGCTCTATATCAGAAAATTACACCTTCAGGCAAGTTATCTTAGATATTGTTAGGTTCATTTTGAAAGTCTTGTGCTTTAATTCAGTAGTATGTATACAATCTCTCTAATATTTTTATGACTCTTGAGTCACTTAGATGACTTTTTGTCCATTAACATCTGGTTAAAGGTTACAATTTGTCTCAGTTTCATGCTGTCTGTCTCCATTTGACCAGAGGTGAACATTGTATATGTCTCAAAGCATTTCCAAGGAACTGCTGATAATTGTTAATTAATGATATCCACAATATCTGTATTTTGCATGACTTATCTATGTGAGTAAATGTATTTGTTTTTACAGCTCCCCTGCCCGCTGGTGCCCCGGGTGGTGTATGTATGGGGGACTCCTCTCCCTTATCTAACTGCTCTGTACCTCAGCCTACAGGGGGAGATCCCTCCAAGTTTTACTTTAAATTCTGGACGTGCACCACTCCAATCGTTACAGCGCTGTCTGAAAGTAATGGCACAGTAAATACAAACATTACCGTACAAGGTACAGGGTTCTCCAATAATGACTGCCAGAATGAGATCAGTTTTGGAGATGGGAAATGTGTCGATGACAAAGACAGTGGTCCTGATGTGGTCTGTAATATTGACAGTGCTAATTCTCCTTCTATTGGAGTCCTTCAACCAATCACAGTGAGGCATAATAACCTTGGATATGCTGTAGTGGCCATTACAGGTTTGAGGTCTAGGTCATTTGCCTTGATTCCAGTGGTGACTAAGGTTATGCCCTCTATGGGTTCACTCATAGGTGGATCAATTGTTATGATCCATGGATCTGGGTTTTCCACAATGATGGATTATGTGTCAGTTACCATTGGAGGGTACACTTGTGATGTAACAAATATGACTTACACTGAGATTAAGTGTCGAACAAAAGGAGGTCAAGGTGAACAAAATCTGGAGGTCAGGGTCAAGTCATCTCTAGGTCAGTGGGTCCCAGCTGTATGTGAAGGTGAATGTAAATTTACATATGATGCTGATTATACCCCTACTTTGACCTCTATATCACCAAATATGGTTAATGGAACTGAAGAGACAACAGTAACTATTGAAGGATCAGGTTTTGGGAATGAAACATCTGATATTTTTGTGAAGATAGGAGGAGAGACATGTCAGGTGGTATCTGTGTCTAATTCCTCTGTAGAGTGTATGCTGGGTAATCTGCCGGCGGGGCCAAATAATCAGGTGGTGCTGGAGGTGCTGGGGCGGGGCCTGGCCAGTGGAAACTTGATGATGACGGGGGCAGGGATAATCACCGACATTTCCCCTGCAGAGGGGAGCATTCATGGTGGCACTGTTATCCACATTTCTGGAAATGGGTTTATAGATAAGCTTACAACAGTTACAGTGAAAGGCAACCCATGTCCCATTGTGAACTTAAATTTATCCTCTATCAGTTGTATTACACCTCCAACTAACAGCGAGGAAACTGTCCAGGTCAGAGTAACATCCAATCAAATTTCCTACCCAGCAGTCAACTTTAACTACAGTAACCAGGCATCTCCAAACATTTCATACATCAGTCCAACCAATGGGTCTGCAGGCACCGAGGTTACCCTAACTGGGGTTAACTTTGATAGTCAGATGGAGAAAATCACTGTCAGTATAGGCAGTAATGAGTGTTCCGTCATTTCCTCGTCTGAGACGGAGATAAAGTGTACAGCAGGCCCCAGTCTGGTGGGCATGTTTCCAGTGATGGTTCATGTACAGGGGAAGGGAAAGTCCAACCAAGACTCAAGCTTTGAATATGAACTCCTCCTGACGTCCATTTCGCCTAACACAGGTCAGTATGACATTCTGTTTATAGAGAGAAATTATTCATTTTCTCCTGATTAGAATTCTGTCTTTTCTGTGAAGACATTACTGGTAAATTGAGAAATTGTGAGGTTTTGAACCAAATGTTGTATGATGTTTGTAGGAGGAATTGTTGGTGATCAGTTGGTGACTGTATCGGGATCCGGATTTGATAATAACACCTCTGTCTGGATCTGTGACAGAAGATGTGACAGTGTCAATCAGACAGCCTCTGAGTACAAATGTAGAACACCAGCACCTGCAGGTAGTAGCTTACAGTATATTTGTAAAATCTTTAAAATTGGAAGGAAAAAAGCCAACATTTTCAAGTATGGGTTGTATACTAAAATGAAAATAATCTGCAAAGCAAAAAATTTAAGGAAAAACTTTTACAGTTCTTGAAAATTTTGTGACATCTTTTTAAAAAATCTTTAAAAATCCATTGAACCAGAAAACATGAAACTTAACATAATAATTATATATGTATCATTCTGAAAATGTTTACATTAAATTCGTTTCAAATCATTCCCCTTTGGGACATTGGGGGGTCAATAGGGGCTCAAAGTTTAATGTATGAATTTCTAGGAAAACGTGTAAAAATCTCAAGTATAACAGGGTTGTGATTCGAGATATTAATAAATAAGCATTCTCAGGTAGAGCAAATTCAAGATTGTTCAAATCTTGATCCCATGGGGATAATGTGGGGCCACAATAGAGCCCAGATCTTTTCTGGAAAGTGCAGATCTACAGCTTTAATCTCTAACTGTGACTTCACCTTATCCCAATGTTCTGAACAAACTTCGTCTACACTACTGGAGGATGATTTAACTAAACAGAGAAGCATTCCTGTTTGTTTTGTTTTATTCTGGAAAGAGGTTCCTGAGTTTTAATTTGTGCCACTGAATTTTTACTATTGCTTGATTGTATGATTTTGAAATAATTAATGAGTTTACAATGACTTTTCAGATGGAAACTATACCTGCACCGTGAAGGTGACCAATAACGGTGTAACCAGGATGCTGAGTGACGCCTACACTTATGATGCTGCCCTGACTGCTAATGTTACCATGGTAACCCCAGCCAGAGGGGGCACAGCAGGGGGAACCACACTGACAATCCAAGGGACAGGATTTGGGTAACGAATCATAAAATCAAACAATTTATGAAAATGTGTTTACAGTATGATTTTTAGAAGTGAAATTGAGTTTAACAGATTGGGTATATTATGTTTTATAGAAGACAGTTTTGTACATGTAACAAAGTTTTCATCAAACCATTTTTTCTTATTAATAATCAAAAAGGTCTAAGCTAACTGGTACTGCTTCCAAGATAAACTGACACTAGTATTTCTGTGATCTCTGTAGATCTGTTATGGCTGATGTATCGGTCTCCATCGCTGGGACGGTCTGTGATGTCCAAACTGTGACCCCCACCGAGATTACCTGTGTCACAAATCAGCACACAGGGTCCCAGAAAGCTCTGGTCAGGGTAGAGGTGGCAGGGAATGGAAAAGCTGTACAGGTTTGTCTTCATGTTTTTGGGCTTGACCATTGTTTTTGTTTTGAGACAATCTTTGTAGTAATGCAATGAAATGTTCTTTTAAAAAGTTGAACTACACAGAATATAAGGGGAAAAAATTGATTTTGTAAGAGATTTAAGCATATTTTTAAATAGTCATACAATAAAGTGTTAAGATGTATCATTCTATTTCAGACATCAGCGGAATTTTTCTACATTGATGTGTGGTCGTCTCCCTTTACCTGGGGAGGAGGCCCCCTACCAAAGGAGGACGATTTTGTTGTCATCACCGCTGGACAAACCATCCTCCTAGATGTCAGTACCCCCAAACTAAGAGTGTTGCTAATTCAAGGTAGCTTTAATATTTTTTTTCTTTGTATGTAAAAAAAATCATTTTACTTTGACTGTATTTTCTGTTGAGTAAGGATTTCAGCTCCTAATCCAGCAACAACCTCTTAAAATAATTGTTTATGTAGGTCTAAAATGAAGATTTAAATTAAAGAATCTGGGGGGATTAGGCGAGTCATATGCCTATGCAAGGGCAGGTAAAATACTGATTAAAAAATTCTTGAAAATTCAACTTTTTGTTAAAGTTGGGAGTTATTTATAACCATATGCATACAGTAAAGATAAAACCTGAATCAAATGACTTACAAATTGATTGTAATTAACCCATCAAAATGGTAACATGCTTTAGAAACCATAAAACGATAGAAATGGAATGTTAAAACTGTTTTTTAAATAGAGTGGGTCTTCATACCATTTTTTTGTAAACAAATATTGAAAGGATGTGGAAGGATGTATCTCTCACCATTTTCAAAAAATTGGTACGAAGACCCACTCTATATAAAAAAGTTAGTTTACCTACTTAAATTTCAGAACATATTCTCAAAAACTCGAAGTCCAATTGTGCATTTGCTATACATATAGAACTGTTTGCTATTTAAAGGGCAGTGTATATGTGACTTCGTGGCTCAGTAGTCATAGCGGCGGTGTTGAAGCACCTAGTTATTTGTCGCGAGTGTTCGAATCAGGATTTTTTAAGGTTGAAATTTAGATAAATATATTTTTTCATAAAAACAAAATGAATAGATAAGATGAAGAATTTATTTACGGTCAATTAATATATTTCCTGTAATAAAAAAGTTTTCAAGATACATGTGTATATAATATTTTTAATGCATTCAGTTCAAGACTACTTAACACAATTGAAATGTAAACAATCATGGGTTGACCAGCACGATATGGCTGTATGCAAAAACAGTTAAAAGGAAAGGTAAAGCGTACCATATCCCAACCCCTGAAAACATATTTGATAGAACAATTAACACGCAGTATGAAAAGCATCACGTTAAAAAATACTACATGTATAACGATAACCGCAAGGTTTGAAAATATAGATATTGTCATTTTGACAATGCTGTACAAAGTTTAAATGTTTAGGTAAATTGTATCATACATCTATGAAATTTCCGATATGCTTACATAGCGACAAAATCCGTGTGGGCATATGACTTGCCTAATCCCCCCAGATTCTTTTATGACAGTTGAATTTTAATAGAAGAATTGGAGAACAGCAAGTTTTTAATGCACAACACATTTTTTCCAAATGTCTAGATACGTCTTTTATTCACATTTCCTTGGTTTATATTTGAGATTTGGCCATTTTGCAAATTTATTATTCATAATAATGACACATTAGAAGAAATAACATGGATGAATATATTACTTAGTTTTTTCTGTGAAATTTTTGAAACGCAATTTGACAGTTTTGCTGATTTCCATATAACTTGGCACACAAGTAGACTACACAAAGATCATAAGTTTTTGGTTTTTTTTCGGTGAACAGTGTATGCCATGGTTACTAAATATAGATTTTCTGTGAAATTCTTTAAAACACTACTCATTCTACAGTTTTGGCTTTTCAATATAACTTGGCACACAGGTAGACTTCTCTAAGATATATATATACATCGAATTTCAATAAACGGTGTTGCCATGGTTACTAAAAATAGAATTTTCTGTGAAATTCCATTAAAACGCTACTCCTTCTACAGTTTTGGTCTGATTTCAATATAACTTGGCACACAAGTAAACTACAATTGATAAAAATGTTAATGGTTTTTTATTTTGAACGGTGTTGTCATGGTTACTAAAAATAACTGTGAAATTCATTTAAAACACTACTCCTTCTACAGTTTTGGTCATTTCAATTAACTTGGCACACAAGTAGACTACACTAAATACAAGAATAGTTGCATTGGTTTGATTTCGATGAACGGCGTTACCATGGTTTAATCAAATAGAAATTTCTGGAAATTCCTTTGCGCTATTTTTAAAGTTTAGTTTGATTTCAAAATAAGTTGGCACACAAGTAGACTACACAAAGATACATAAACTAGTGCAATGGTTTTTGATTTCGATGAACGGTGTTGCCATGGTTATATATGATACCGTGAAATTCCTTTGAAACGTAATGAAGTGTATTTTGCATCTAATTTCAATATAGCTTGGCACACAAGTAGACTACACTAAGATACATAGAATAGTGCATTTGTTTTTGATTTCGATGAACGGTGTTACCATGGTTACTAAAAATAGAATTTTCTGTGAAATTCCTTTAAAACGCTACTCCTTCTACAGTTTTAGTTTGATTTCAGAATAAGTTGGCACACAAGTAGACTTAAAAGATACATAAAATAGTGCAATGTTTTTGTTAAACAAACCATTTTGGATTTCTACAGTCTCAAACTTGACTTCCGGTTATGTCTAGATACATCTTTTATTCACATTTCCTGGGTTTATATTTGAGATTTGTCCATTTTGCAAATCTAATATTCATAATAATGAACTTAGAAGAAATAACATGGATGAATATATTACTTAGTTTATGAATTCAGAGAAATTTTTGTGTGCAATTTGACTTAAATGCTGATTTTCTAAATATGAGGGACAGACTAGTTAAATCATAACTTTTAATTTTTTTTAGGTGGAACACTTATATTTGATGAAAAAGATTTAGAATTGAAAGCTGTAAACATTCTCATTTTGCAGAATGGGCTTTTACAAGTGAGTTCATCATTGTTTCTCTTGCAATATATGAAACGCAAAAGAAACGCAACAAGCAGTAATCTACAAACGTTTGCAGTAAGGCTAAACTCACTTTTCAGAACGTCAAAGATTTGATAAAAATGTTAAATGTTTATCTTTTAACTTTACTTTAAGTAACATATGACTGTTAAAACACTCCCTCCCAGCCATTCAATTACAGCGTGCAAGACTGCCCTAAACAACAATTGCAGCTTAATTTCTATGATACAATAGTTTAATCAATATCGAGATCTGAGCGAAGGAATTGTTCTTTGCCATTTTTAAATGCCTGTTTTTCAGATGATTAGGTCGAATTTTCTCTACCTTAGCGCATTGTAGTAACTCTTGGACTTCCAGTCCAAGGACTATCATTTATTCATATGATACGTAAGAACCCTTTGAGACATAATGAAGTGTATTTTTGCATCATCAACTCTCCATCACCTTTACCTTTAGATTTTCAGGTTAGAGCAATAGAAATGCGCACTTAAGCCATTTTCAAGAAGCCTTAGCATCGTTACGGGAAACAAAAGGAAATTTTATTTGTTGAAATATTACTTCATAACTTAAAATGAACAGTACAAACCCTTAAAAGTCCATAATATTGCCAAATGTTTTGTTAAACATGCAATTTTGGATTTCTGTTAAGCAGACTCAAACTTGACTTCCGGTTATGGTATGAAAATTGTTCAACCATTAATTTACCGATATTTACCAAATTGAAGATATCCATAATTTTAAGAAAAAAATTCTTTACTTTTACATAATTATTTCCCCCTAAAGTAGGGTCTTTTGCATTTCAGTATACATTATTCTGCATCAGATAATCTTTTTTCCTTGTGATATAGATGCAATGTTTTTTTTAACTCACCAGAGTTGAATTAAAGCTCAACATGCTTAAGTGAGCTTTTCTGATCACCCATTGTCCTTCTGCCCATTAACCTGTCCATCCATCCATCTGTAAACTTCACAAAGCATCCTTGATGGGACGGACGTGGATTTCCGAGCGGAGGTGGGAATGCTCTCTAGGAATATCATTGTGAGGGGAGACAGTAATCCGGAGTTTGTGGAGAAAATTTTCAATTTTGTCCTGATGGATTTGATAAACTTTGTAAGAAAGCATCTTGCCCTGAATCTTAATTTCCATTTTACCATTGTTAAAATGAAGTGCCAAGTCCCCTCACAAGGGGAGATAATCAAGAAAAGACAAAAATAGGGTGGGATCATTAAAATATCTTCTTCTCAAGAACCATTACTCAGAAACTATTGGAAGGATTTGGGGTAGTGTAAATTTGTACACATTGTTCAAATGAAGTTGTGCAAGGGATATTTTCATCTTGATTGGATTATTATTTTGAATTTTACAGGTGTTTTTTCATTTTTAAAATGTGGTTTTGTCTCAAGAACCACAGGGCCAGAAACTATTGCAAGGATTAATCCTGAAAATTTGTACACTTATTATTCACCATATGAAGTTGTGCACCAGGAATTTTCAACTCTTTTTGTTCATTTTTCTGCATTTATAGGTTTTTTAAAATTTTAATTGACTTGTTCATTTTGGGCTCATGTATATTTAAGGTTTGAACATTGTTCAATCTAGAATATCTGTACAAAAACGTGAACCACAATAAAACTATTTACATAAAAATATATATGAAAAATCTTTGAAAACTTCATCAAGTGTTAAAAACAGTTTTTACATTGCACAGAAGATAATGTAATTTCATTTGTCTCTTGGGAATAATGACTGGACATGCATCCAGTTAAAGATAAATTAATGAGTTTGGTGTTGGAAGTTGTTTAGGCATATCTGTGTGTTATCAAATCTCCAGGGAATAAGGCACAAGAATTAAAGATCTCTCTTCTCTTATCCTCTTAATTGTAATTTATTGTCTGTCAAAGCACTTCATTACAGGATGACCAGCTTTTATTTTCAAAATGCATTTCAAATTGATAATATATCAAGATTAATTTGATTTTGTATAATGGTTTTTTTTCAACAATCAGTTTGCAGAGTGACATATAACATAATTGCAATACATTTTTTTAATGCATTAATAAAAAAAAATTAAATGAAAAAAATTAAAAAAAAATGTTACAATGGAATTAATATTGATGTTTCATTTGGTTGAACCTCCGTTTCATTCATTAAGAAACATGATGAGCAATTATATTTCACTGCAAAGGACAAGATAGGGTAACAGCCGAATTTTTGATATAAAAATCAGAACACTATTAAAACTGTGATAGCTTGTATAGTTAAGAAGTTAAAATGATGCTTACTTTAAGACAAGCACTAATTTTGATTCAAAGGCTACATGGAAGCCACTAGAGGGCTCAGAAATCATAAGGACCCGGACCACAATTACCTTACATATAGACTTATATAATAAAAGCATGTGTTTTATTTTCTTTGTAACTTTTTTAAAAATCTTTACTTCCAATATATCTTTGACCAATGATAGAGCAATGTGTAAAGATAAATATTCACATCCAGAAATAGTTGTAATGAATGTGGCCAATTCCTCTTCAAAGGTTATTAAAAATTTACATTGATGACCTCAGGATAGCTCTCGCTTGGCATAAAAAGTGTAAACAAAGCAAAGATTTCTTCTTATTAAACAGGTTCATATTTCTAGGCATAATTTTTGCTTGAAATGCACCTTGCTGCATATCATTGTAAACTTTAGACACTACACTTTTATTCTATACCCAAAAAGTACTGGCAGTAAAACAGGTGAAATTCTTATTTTTATCGTTGGGGAGGCATATAATTTCCTAAATGTGCTACATTTTAGGCATTTATGTCACCCTTTAATTGTGGCATGTTGTAAATTAACATCTTTCTAAAATGAAAAAAAAAAAGCGAAGAAAAAAAATTAAGAGTGAAAAAAAATATGACATGGAGACAAATACATATGTCAGAAAATATTGCATGAGTCAACTTACATTTTTACACATATACTGCATCTGATATCAGTGTATAAAATATATAAACTTGGTACGATAGGCAAGCGTGAATTCTACCATTGTTCTGAGAGAAGCTGTCACATGGAAAGCTGGGGACAAAGTCGTCATAGCAACAACGAGCCACAGACATTCTCAAAAGGAGACAGAGTTGCGAGTCATTCAGTCTGTCGCCAGTGACAACAGAACTATAACCTTGACAGAACCACTGAAGTACGAGCATCTGGGGGTCACTGAAACGTTTGATGGGACGGACGTGGATTTCCGAGCGGAGGTGGGAATGCTCTCTAGGAATATCATTGTGAGGGGAGACAGTAATCCGGAGTTTGTGGAGAAAATAGAAGCTTGTCCTGATGGATTTGATACTGGTAAGAAATCATTTTACCCAACTCATCTTAACTTCCATCGTACCAGAGTATTATAAATTTAGGGCTGTTTACTCTTTAGGAAATTTCATATTTTATGGATTTTGAATTTACCTAAAGAAATCATGCTTAAATATGTTTAATTTTTTGGTATGCTGTATATATGTAATTGCTTTTTAGCAATCATAGCAGGAAGGTCTAAGAGATATATGTACTTTAATTATCAATAATCTTTCATTTTGATTGAATTAATAGAAAACTTCTAACATTGTAATAATGAAACAGGTTACTGCCATCATGAAATTACACATTTAAAGCTCAAATTATGGGTTTAAAAATTAATATTTACTTAAAACTGCAGAAAGGGTTAACATCTTTGTGATTTGTACACCCTTATTCAGTAAGCCAGATTCAAAATATTTGTATAAATCTCAAAAGCACTCGTGTTTCAAAGAGAGGAACATTCTTTTTCATTTTCAGGGGAGTTTGCAACTCAGACTTGTTTCCAGGGTCGGTTTGGAGAGGAGATGGGAAGTGACCAGTTTGGGGCCCAGATCATGATCCACTCCCCGGAACAGAGTGGGAGTATGTCACATGCTCGCCTGGAATATGTGGAGGTGACTCACGCTGGTCAGGCCTTCAGACTGGGGAGATATCCAATTCACTTCCATCTGAATGGTGATACCAATGGGTCCTATGTTAGAGGCTGTGGAATCTACAACACGTTCAACAGAGCGATCAATATTCACGGATCACACAACGTCCTTGTGGAACACAATGTGGCGTACAATGTGATGGGAGGAGCCTTTTTCTTTGAGGATGGAATAGAAACTGGCAGCACTGTACAATACAATTTGTTAATGTTTGTGAGGGAGTCCAGCAGCCTCCAGAATGATGATGTCACACCAGCAGCCTATTGGGTGACTAATCCAGATAACACCATTCAGCATAACCGAGCAGTGGGTGGCACACATTTTGGATTTTGGTACAGAATGCATGTTCATCCAGACGGTCCCTCCTTTGACAATAGCATTTGTCCACAACATATTCCTGTGCGAGCGTTCAGAAACAACACAGCTCATTCCAATGGGTGGTTTGGCCTGTGGGTTTTCACTACTATTAAGACTAGAGAGGGAGGTGGATGTGGATCAACCACACCTGCCATGTCCCTGTTTGAGTCCCTCACCTCTTGGAATAATGAGAAAGGAGCAGAAATTGTGAACGGTGGAGCGCTGGAGTGTAGGGATTTTGTGCTGGTAAATAACAAGTTAGCTGGTTACGAAGGCAAACTTATCATTGAGGGAGAACAACTTTTCAAGAATCTGCTGATTGTCGGACATGCTCCAAGCCTAACCCGAACAGAACAGGGCTGTACACGAGCTGCCATTATTCTGCCATATGGCAATGGAATTACCATTGATGGAGTCCGATTTGTAAACTTTGATGAGAGCAATTGTGTGGGTTTTGATTTTGCAAGGATTGCTGGCACTTGTGCTGTGCATTGTGGAGGATTTTATTATGAGACAAGAAATCTCAGGTGGGTGTCTGCTCCAAATAAAGGCACCTACCCCTGGCCCTGGGCTGGGGTAATCAGAGACCTGGATGGAACCCTGATAGGAGAGACAGGCGATGCTGCCTCCATCGCAGCCAATGCTGGGAAAAGTGTCAGTTCTGCATCAGATACCCTACCACCTACGTGTGTCTCCTTTGATAAATTCAGCAGTAACCTGAGTGGCAGTATTCCAGCTAAAGCTTGTCCCCCAGAAGTCAAATATCATCGCTTCTCTTTCAATAATATCAGTCCTGCTTCACTGAATTTCAAGGATTTTGTGATTGTCAATCGTCATGGAAACGACTCAATGCCTTGGAGGAAGAAGGCTATCACCCACAAGTTGGGGTGGATGACAGTACTTGTAGATGGAGAGGACTATTTCTATTATTTTAAGGATGCTGATCAGTTGACCAACATCAGTTATTCTGGAACATTTGATCGCTTTCAAAAGGTAAGTGGAGGAACCATTTTGTTCATGAAGTGTGAAGATTTTGCTTTTGAATTTAAACATTTACTTCAGAAAATTCTGTTTATCAAATGCAGTTCTTAAAAGTCTCAAAACTGCCTGTTTTTTCTTTTTTATTATAATATGAGCTTGTTACAGAATAATACGGGAGGTTATGAGTACGTAATCATGAGACAGAAGGTTTCGTACAGACCAGACAGGTTTATGTTGGATGGCAGCACAAACATCGAGCCAACCCGGAATATTGATGGCAATAGTTTTCATGGCCAGTGGGAGTACCTTAAAAATGATAATGAGATCAAATACATCAGTAAGTATTTCAAGTCTAGACATATAGTTCTACAAAAGTTTTTATAAAGTAGTAAATAAAAATAGTTTTTTTTTTGTCGGGGGGTTGTGGTATACATGTATATAAAATATTTTGTTCATCTGTTTATATGTTTGCATGTTTCCAAGAAATGATATCCGTGCACACTATATTTTTTGCATAGGAAGCTCATACTTTGTGCAGATATTATTTATGGCCTATTGGTGTGTATTGACCTTAACCCAAGGTCATTTAGTCAAGTTCAAGTTCACCTTTAACACAGAAATTCCTATCCTTATCATATCTAGCTCTGGAGAACATTAGAGACTCATACTTACACAAAAATTGCACAAATATTGCACACATCTTGAAAGAATATGTATTTTCCATGACCCAGGATAATTCTTTCAAGTTCATGGTCACTAGCTGAACAAGGCAGTTCAGAGATTCTGTGTTCCTCACTAAAGAAAAAAAGGAAAGCATGCCTGGATTGAGGGGGAGGAGGGGTAATTAAAGAAGGGCGGGCGGGTTTCAACAGTTTAAAGTCGCATATTGAACATATTAGAACTTTTTAAAAAATGTTCTTGTGGTTATAGATTTGTGGGCTCTTTCACAGATTCTCTAGTTTTACCTTCTTTTCAAATTTTAAAAAAATATCTCTTTTATGATATTCATTTACAAGTAAAGTGAAAAATTGAAGTTCATAACTGGAATTATAAAACATCCTATTTCTAATCAGTATCATCCAGGAAAGCCCCATCGAGACGTAAGCGCAGTGTTGATGATGACATCACCTACAGTGTAAATTTCCGGGCCTTTAAGTGTTTCTATCTGGACTGTAAGGCCCCCGTGGATCCTAACACTGTCCCTCCCGTCACCACCAGACCTTACGACTTCGAATATTGGTCCGACAAGGAGACGTGGAAAAACGCGGAGCCTGGCTGGGGTGGTTATATTAGTAATGGTACTTATGACCTTCCCAAAGACGGAGATGATGTGAAGATTAATAAAGGTATTTAACATTTTTTATTTATTAAGCTTTTTTGCCTCCCAGAGTTTATACAAGAGGAAAAGGAAAACTTTTTTTATATAAATTATTTTATAAATTGTAATTACATTGTATATGCTTAATGTAATCAATCATTCAAGATTTTATGCAATTGAAAGAATTTCAATTTTTAATGTAGGAATTAAAGTATACATTGATATTGAAATAAAACAGGTGCAATTATTGGTTGTGAGATTTCTTTTTTGTTGATTTTGTGAATTAGATCAGTGGGTGGTGGCAGACACAGATCTTCCTGCGATGGGTAAACTGGTTCTCTACGGTACGCTGGAACTAGACGATGCTAATGGAACCAGGAACTTTGTCCTGAACTGTACCTACATCATTATCCTAGGGGGGCGGTTAATTGTCGGATGGCCAGACAAGCCTTTCCTGGGTCAGGCTTTGATTCTGTTGAATGGAGAACATTCTACTCCGTCCTATCCTATAACTTCTGGACCACAAGTAGGATCTAAAGCTATAGGTCTGTAGATTTAAAGGTTACATGTATGCTCATTTGTTTAAAGTGACAAAAAACCTTGAATATATGTTTTTAAACAAATTGAAAATTGAAACCTATTTTAAAATAAAAAGACATCATAAGAGAAAATGCTATTCACTTAGAATCTACATTAGATTTTTAGCTCACCTCAATGAAGTTGGGGGAGCTTATGTAATACACTCGGTGTCCGTGTCAGCGTCGGCGTCCCAGGTTAAGGTTAAGTTTTTTTGAGCAGTTTTCTTTTTAAGTACTTCTGTGTCCTATATTGATTAGACATGCATGGAAGATGCTTCTAGTGTGTTTCATTGTACCAGTCAAAGGTTCAGATGCTGCAATTTCAGCAAAGGTATGACCAGGTTAATGTTTTTGGAGCAGGTTAACATTTTTGGTGCAGTTTTTGGTTTAAGTCTCATTTCCAAGTAAATATAGGCCCTATGTTGACCAAATTTGCATGGATGGTACATTTTAGAATGCACACTACCAGGCTTGCTTCGGATGCTGAATCTAACCTACATTTTCCGGTTGAGTGAACAGGTTTATGTTTTCGGTGCAGATTTCATTTCCAAGTAACTTAGAGCACTATTTTGACCAAACTTGCATGAATGATACATCTAAGGATGCATACTACCAGACTTGCTTCAGATGCTGAATCTGACCTACATTTTCCAGTTGAGTGAACAGGTTAAAGTTTTTGGTGCAGGTTTCATTTCCAAGGTACTAGGAGCCCAATACTGACTAAACTTGCATGGATGGTACATCTTAGGATGCATACTACCAGACTTGCTTCGGATGCTGAATCTGACCTACATTTTCCGGTTGAGTGAACAGGTTAAAGTTTTTGGTGCAGGTCTCATTTCCAAGTTACTATGAGCCATATAATGACTAAACTTGCATGGATGGTACATCTAAGGGTGCATTCTACTAGGCTGGCTTCAAATGCTGAATCTGACGTACATTTTCTGGTTGAGTGAAACAGGTTTATACAGGTTTCATTTCCAAGTAACTTCTAGCTCTATGTTGAGCAAACTTGCATGGATGGTACATCTTAGGATGCACACTAATGGACTTGCTTCAGATGCTGAATTCGACATACATTTTCCAGATAATGGACCTCGTGAAAGTTATGGGTGCATGTCTTTTACCAAGAAACGGTAAGGCTTATATAAACCAAAATTGCACAAATGATGCATCAAGGGATGAAAACTCTTAAACTTGCTTCAGATGCTGGATTTTAATTAAGTTTTCATGATGAAGAACTAGTTTGAAGTTTTTATATACATGTAGGTCTATTCCAAAGTATCAAATCAAAATTGCAATGTTGCATTTTTGGATACATGTACACTTTTTGTTGGTTAATTGTGTGACTTTGCCTTACTTTAAAGACAACATTCGTTGAGGTGAGCTCTGTATTCTCTGATTACCTATGTTTATTAATCAAAAGAATGCTGAAAAGCACCATTCTTATTGTGAATTGCCAACTCAACTTATGGATTCTGTCACACCTTAAAAGATAGTGCTATATTTTGTTTGTTGTATATTGATGAATGTTGTCTCTCATTATTCTTTGAGGCTCTTGAGCCAGCAATTGAAATGGATAAGAACTTTACCAACATTAGTGCTCTATACAAGCAAAAAAAATCATTTTGAATATATTCACAGAGAAACAAAAAAGAAATAAAGCCAATTAACAGAGAAAAATGGAGTGAAAAAAATTATTTATCTGTCTAATGTTTATGAACACAATCCAGTAAGGTGTGACTGAGTTCTAAAAATAAAAATTGTTAGATTTAAGTCCTGAACATTAAAAAACAATACCTGTAAAACTATAGGAACATTTGGTGGACTTGACTTACACGGGAAGGATGTTGGAACTTCCTGGACGATGTTGAAGGTTACAGCCAATCCGGGAGACAATCAGATCACCCTGGTCACACCCGTCACATGGAAAGTAGGCAACGAAATCGTCATAGCTCCCACAGATTTCTCCGTGTGGGAGACGGAAACATTCAAAATCACTGCCATATCCAGTAATGGCATGACCTTGACCCTCAATAGCACACTGATGTACAAACATATAGGTAGGGATAAAAGATCATACAGAGCTGTAGAAAAAAAATAGTGTATTAAACTGGACTATTTTAATGTTAGCTGACAAATACTTAACTGTATAAGTATTTGTAATAGAGAGATTCATACTTTTGTTAATCTTGGTAAAAACTCAAGTCTGCTTGTTTATAAACATACCATTTATAAAATGTACCTATCAAATTTTCATATTTAGCTCACCTGACCTTTTCTGATTACATTTTGGCTGGCATCCGTATGTGTGTCTGTAAGCTTTCCACATATTTGATTATCTTCTCAAGAACTATTGGGTCAATTTCAACTAATCTTGGCAAAGAGCATCTCCAATAGAAGAGGAAGCAAGTTTAATTTGTTCAAATGAAGAGGTCACATCCTCTCAAAAAGAGATAATTAAGAAATTATGAAAGTTTATCAGCAAGATTTCAGAAATCTTTTTCTCAAGAACAACTGGACCAGAATAGATGACAAAGTCAATTAAAATATTTATTACATACCGTACATTCAAATTTATTCAAATGATGGCCCCTGAATGTATGGCAGTGCCACAATGGGCAATCAATGTTTTACAGACTGAGGAATGTATTGGAAAAAGTCTGTGGAAAAAATTGAAAACAACAAAGTCATGATTAATCTTTTTAATTTTTTTTTTACATGGAAGCATCCTAAGATAGTGTAGCTTGGAATGTGTTCAAACCATGACCCCCATGGCTAGAGTGGGGCTTCAATAGACAATGAAACTTTTACTTTGGAATTTATTGGAACAAATCTTTAAAAAAACTCATCAAGAGCAGCAAAGCTGTAATTTATAGTCTTATTTGAAACAGCAAAGCATTTGTAAGCATTGGAAGCATTCTCAAATAGATTAAAATTCAAATTATTATTCTCATGGGTATGGTGGGACCATGATAGGAGAGAAGAATTTTACACAGGAACTCAATGATAAATCTGATAAAGAACAGCAGGGTCTTAGTGACACAGGTGAGCATTGTGACCCATGGACCTCTTGTTGGGAATAAAAACGGATTTGAGGTCTTAGCAAATACTTTTAAAGCACTCATTTTACAACTTTGAAGGGTTAAAGAATGTGTATGTATGAATGCTTATACATGTATACAGCTTAAATGTAAGATTTTTTGTTTCAGCCCACACAGAAACAGCTGGTAACAAGTCAATGACCATGGCAGCCGAGGTGGGGCTCCTGACAAGAAATATACGAGTGGAGGGGGCCGCCTATGACAAGTTATACACCGAGTCATTCGGAGCCAGAATTGTGGTGGGGCGGACACAAGACCCTAACAACACTAATCTTCTATATATAGGTGAGTGTTTGGGAGACAAAAACTGGCAAACTATTAGAGCTTGAACCTTTTTAAATCTTACATCCTTTCAAAGGCTTTACATTTAAAACCAGATTCAATTTATTTTTTGACTTGAGTTTTGTTTATATCCATCTATTCAGTATCCATATAATTGCTTAAACTTTTGAGAGAATATTATCATGATTATAGCTAATTTATACATTTCACACAAATAAAATGTTCATTTACTGAAAAAAAGCAATTTTTTTGCACATAAATGAAAAAAAAATGATGGAAAAGTCTCAATATTTTTAATTTGTTAGGTTTTGTGCATACATGTTTGATGGAAAAGTTTAAATATTTTAAATTTGTTAGGTTTTGCCCGTATTTCCAATGTCGAGTTTTACCACTCTGGTCCAATGATATTTGTGATTTTTAGGTTTTCACGTATTTCCAATGTGGAATTTTACCACTCTGGTCCAATGATATTTGTGATTTTTAGGTTTTCACGTATTTCCAATGTGGAGTTTTACCACTCTGGGCCAATGATATTTGTGATTTTTAGGTTTTCACGTATTTCAAATGTGAAGTTTTAATTACCACTCTGGGCTAATGATATTTTTAATTTAGGTTTTCACGTATTTCCAATGTGAAGTTTTACCACTCTGGGCCAATGATATTTTTAATTTTTAGGTTTTGCACGTATTTCCAATGTGGAGTTTTACCACTCTGGGCCAATGATATTTGTGATTTTTAGGTTTTTACGTATTTCCAATGTGAAGTTTTACCACTCTGGGCTAATGATATTTGTAATTTTTAGGTTTTCACGTATTTCCAATGTGAAGTTTTACCACTCTGGACTAATGATATTTTTAATTTTTAGGTTTTGCACGTATTTCCAATGTGGAGTTTTACCACTCTGGGCCAATGATATTTGTGATTTTTAGGTTTTCACGTATTTCAAATGTGAAGTTTTACCACTCTGGGCTAATGATATTTTTAATTTAGGTTTTCACGTATTTCCAATGTGAAGTTTTACCACTCTGGGCCAATGATATTTTTAATTTTTAGGTTTTGCACGTATTTCCAATGTGGAGTTTTACCACTCTGGACAGGAGGGATGGGTGGAACCCTTTGACGCCCGAGGCTCCATCGCCTACATAGATGCTGGGACAGTCTCCAATATTAAACCCTCCTACGTCAAGAAATGTGCCTTCCACAAAGGATTTTCTCCAGCCATTATGGCGTATGGAACTAATAATCTACCTATAGAGGACAATGTCATAGCAGACACAGTCTGGTATGGTGAGTAGCTTTTTCCTGTATTAAATTTTTATGCCCCATCATGAATATGGCCGGGGCATACAGAGTTTCCGAAAACCAAATATTTCTATCAGTCATTTGGACTGATGACTTAATGTGTTCTACCAGTCCGAAGCATATTCTATCAGTCCGAATAAATTTTAAAATATACAGTGTATATTTCATGTCAGATGTAATTCAAAGAAAATGGCATTGAATATGTAAAAAAAAATTGTGGCTCACAAACACTGCATTTTGTGATACCCCAGGGTTATGCAACTATAATTTATTCAAGCCTGGCACCAGCTCACACAGGCTTATGGCAGCAATAAAGTCATAGCCCCAAGTAAATGTTGGGGGAAAGTAACAACTAATTATTAAATAAAAGTTAATTCTTGAAAAAAAAAAACTTCTCAAGGTTTCTAGAATTCTTTTAAAAATTTAAAGTTTAATTCTCTGTCATGATCACTTGTAAAATTGAATCAAATATAAATAACAGTTATGATAGAAATTCAAAATAAAAATAAATTTTACATTATCTTTACTTTTTCTTGGTGGGCATTGCACTTCATGACCTATATACTGCATGTGTTTACATGTACCAATAACAGAGGAATGGAGGAAATTCGGATTAGGAAAAAGCAATCGTTTTTCGAAGTAAATAAGTCAAGTAGAACTGCAAAATGGATAAGATTATGGATATTTACGAAAAATAGGAGCTTGCTGCATTGAAAATTTTCATTTATGAAGATATTGCAATAGATTAGAGTACAATAACTTAATCAGGACAAGCCCTCACCACAATCGGTCACACTGACCGGTATTTTAGCGAATTTCATCGGACATTTCGATTTTCTATCGGTTTTGCCGGGAGGACCGATAGTTTTCGGAAACTCTGGCATACAGTGTTTGTCATGTCCATCTTCCGTCCTTCAATCCTTCCGTCTGTCCTTCCGTCACACTTTACGTTTAGCTCTGTTCAAAGCTAAGTTTCAAAGAAACTATCCAAGATATTTTCATCAAACTTCATATGCTGATAGATATTGAAGAGAGCTATGCAACTGCATCAACATTTTTTTTACATCGACCTTTCCTTTGACCTTGACCTTACTTTTCTTAAATAATAGTTTAGCTCAGTTTTAAACATACCATTTAAGATGGTGTTATCAAACTTCACATGTTGATACAAACTTGCACGGATGATGCATCTCGGGATGAACACTACCAGACTTGCTTCGGATGCTGGATCTGACCTACATTTTCCAGATGAGTGACCAGGTTAAAGTTTTTGGAGCAGCTCCATTTCTAAGGAATTATAAGCCCTACTTTGACCAATCTTGCATGGATGATGCATTTAGAGATGGACACTACCAGACTTGCTTCGGATGTTGGATCTGACCTATATTTTCATTCCCAAGTAACTATAAGCCCTACCTGAACCAAACTTGCATGGATGATGCATCTAGGGATGGACACTTCCAGATTTGCTTCGGATGCTGGATCTGACCTATATTTTCATCCCCAAGTAACTATAAGCCCTACCTGAACCAAACTTGCATGGATGATACATCTAGGGATAGACACTACCAGACATGCTTCGGATGCTGGATCTGACCTATATTTTCATTCCCAAGTAACTATAAGCCCTACCTGAACCAAACTTGCATGGATGATGCATCTAGGGATGGACACTACCAGACTTGCTTCGGATGCTGGATGTGACCTATATTTTCATCCCCAAGTAACTATAAGCCCTACCTGAACCAAACTTGCATGGATGATGCATCTAGGGATAGACACTACCAGACATGCTTCGGATGCTGGATCTGACCTATATTTTCATTCCCAAGTAACTATAAGCCCTACCTGAACCAAACTTGCATGGATGATGCATCTGGGGATGGACACTACCAGATATGCTTCGGATACTGGATCTGACCTATATTTTCATTCCCAAGTAACTATAAGCCCTACCTAAACCAAACTTGCATAGATGATGCATCTAGGGATGGACACTACCAGACTTGCTTTGAATGCTGGATCTGACCTACATTTTTATTCCCTAGTAACTATAAGTCCTACCTGAACCAAACTTGCATGGATGATGCATCTAGGGATGAGTACTACCAGACTTGATTCAGATGCTTGATCTGACCTATATTTTCATTCCCAAGTAACTATAAGTCCTACCTGAACCAAACTTGCATGGATGATGCATCTAGGGATGGACACTACCAGACATGCTTCGGATGCTAAATCTGACCTATATTTTCAAAACAAGCAATTCAGTTGCATCACTATTCAAGATATTCTGATCAAATTATATACACATACAAATTTTCATGTTGCTTTACTAAGATATCCTCAGGGGGGCATTCATGTCCTATGGGCATATTTCTAGTCAAAAATAATTCATAATCTTATGGTACATTCTAGATTTTGAGGTTAAACTTCATACTTTTCAATGAAAAAAAAATTTGGCTTAATGTTTACTCTTTACTTGTTTCCTATTGAGAATCAGAAATATATAGCCTTCACGTGTCAAAATACTCTTAGTGTCTCTCTTGGGCATGAAATTGTGCATTAAAAAGAAAAAAGGCCGTTATATTTGAGATGTTTCAGTCACAGCTAATATAAATAATAATTACAGTAATGAGAATCTGAAGCCTGTACTGATTTTCAATTTCAGCTGTGGAATCTATGAGTGATGGTTCCATCATCAAAAACAATTTTGTGACCAAGGTACAATGGGAGGGATCTTATCAAGATCGCAAGGAAACATCAAACTTCCGATTCAATGGGGCCTTTAACCTAGATAAAGCCACTAACCTGATCCTACAAGGTAACCATGTGGGCGGGGCCGAGAGGCTGGGATTCCGAACTACGGGGGAACCCTGTGATGTCACTGCCGTCAACCCCTGGAGAGGAAATGTCGTACACACGGCTCTGGTTGGAGTTGGCTTGTTACCCATCAATCCTCTACCAGGTTAGCTAAATCCTAAAACTGTAAATAAAGTTGGCAAATGAATCTAGAGTTACTGGGAGAGTTTATTTTGCCCAACAGTTGCAAAAATTTGTGAAAATAATTGGCCCATGTAAGATATATCTTCTTTTTTAATTAAATACTTATTATCTCTATAGAAATAAATTTTACTTCTTTTGAATTCTTCTCCTGTAGCTTATTTAAGTCAGTGTGTGAAGTACTCATATTTCACCCTGTGGAAGCTCCTGGACTATGGCGTTTTCTACATTGGCAAAGCCAGCCATTCTGTGGAAAATTTAATGGCTGCTGACAATGGAGTCAGTGTCTTCCAGTTTATAATGGGACCAGCCGCCCTGGGGCATAATTACGCCAACAAGTACGCCAAAGTGAAGGACTCACTGATTATTGGAACCTCAGATGAGCTGAACTGCTCCACTGCTCAAGGTGATCAGACAGATGATAACATCGCCATCAGCCGGGGTAAAATCCAGTCTCATAGTTCACCACTCCGCATTGGGGTCACCATGCCAACATTTTCCTCAGGGAGTAATGCTTGTCCCAACATGCCTTGCTCTGGTATAATGACTTACCAGGCCATCAAGGGAATATGCCATCTCCAAGGTAGGGAGTATGTCATTTGCTTTAATTGTTACAGATGCTCATAAATAATAGAATACATGTAATTTTGATAACAGCCAGTGTGTTGCAGGGCTGCAAGATTCTAACTCCTAGTAATTTAAAGGAATACCTTTTCAATGTTAAACACATGTAAGTGTTTAAAGGATAAAGTATGAAAATTATTTTGTTAAATGGACATTTTATATTGTGTGTTATATATGACTATTTGTAGAATCTTTATCATATATTACAGGGTTTTTTTGTCTCCTATTTTTTCTTAGATGTGACATTTTCAAAGTTTTCCAATAAATGCAACAGTCAAGGCGACCGAGCTGTTGCCCCAAATAAAAAGAATGATGATGGAAACCACCCCTTTATAACCGAGAGGATTCAGTTTTACAACATGGAGGAGGACAATAAGATTATCTATTGGAGATCAGATATTGGGTAAAATATAAAACAGACATTTTATATAGGAGCAGACATAGAAAAAGATGTTCAATTAACTGTGTATTCCTGTATGTAAACCATAGATATTGGTCATCTTCATGTTAAAGCAATTGGGGAGAGCTTTTTTAAATAAAAATCTTGACCTAATGCTTTGACCCTCTCATGACCTTGAACACTTATGAAGATACAGATTGGTAAGAGCACTTCAACTGTGTCATTATACTCTTACCTTGATCTTACTTCCCTTCATGTTGGTGTTACTGATACCTAAGTTAAAAAAAATGTTGAAGATATTTCATCCAACTTTATAGGCTAAAAAAATTAATGAGAGCATTGAAAATGTGTCAAAAATGTAGATCATAGAACTTTTGACACATTTTTCTAATGCTGCAATACAAACAAACATACCTTGGGCAGGGAATTCATGTACTATGAACATGTTTGTAATTTTTATAGACCTTCATATTTATTGAGAAGTTGAGTCTATCATTATATAACATTTACCTCAACTTATCAGAACCGTGGCAGGTTGTGAACTTATTTGTATTAAATTCCCTTCACATGTAAGAATCCATATGTTTTAAATCAAAAAAAGAATAATTAATTGCCACACTTTTTCTTCTAAGAAGTCCTGTTTGTTTGTTACAGTAAGATAAATTCTGCTGACTGTGTGGACATGGCCTGTGATGCTAAGGTGAAGTGTCTGCTTCAGGATCTAGATGGAACCTTTCTGAACTCCTCTGGATTTATCATTCCACAATCAGAATATGAATGGAATGGAAATCCCCAAATGGGATTAGGGGATTACAGAGTTCCAAAGGAGATGCTAGTGAGAGCCAATGGAAGCCGAATTCCAGTCAATGAGATAGCACCTCACAAAGGTAATGCATCATCAATATTGATATAGATCATTGCCATTGTTCAGATAGACTGGGTTCCTGATTTAGAAATACAAAATATAATTCAATACATGCATTACTGTTGATTTAATATTTCTCTTGACTTTTCTTTTGTAGCTTAGTAGCTGGATGAATTTTAATAAGATTAAAAATTAGAAATTCTAAGAATTAAGACTTTACCTAGTTATGACGAAATAAAATTTGTTGGATAAATGAAATTTCCATGCATCATCTTTAATTGTAGATATATTATATACTTTTAGATCTATTTGTTTGAAATGTTGACTGTCGTTTTCTGTGTCATGTTTCCAGGAATAAAATTTGTTGGATAAACAACCTCAAATTTCCATGCATCATCTTTAATTGTAGATATATTATATACACATTCTTAAGCCATCGTTGCTATTTGTTTGAAATGTTGATATCACCTATAATAGATCTATTAAAATGAAGTGCAGACCCTAACTATGCATTATTCCAAGTACATGTATTTTCAATAGGGATGTCAGACTGTCAATACCGGTCCGAGTATCGAATACTAAAATCGGCACTCGGTTACTCGGATGTATATTTTTTAATATTTCTAAGCTTATTTATTAATGCATTAAACAATCTGTTTTAAAACATAATACTCATTAATGCACTTGTACATATAATTAGGGTTTCCTACTCCTCTAAATGACCGTTATCGCCTGTGGCAGTGTTTATACAGTAATTATCGTGACCAAGCATCTGTTACCTGGCTTTTCTCACCTTCGGCTGTGTTCTACCCTTTTTTTTGATTTGCTTTAATTATTTGTTTTCAAAGAACATCGTTTAAGTTCTGTTATGATTAAATAAATTAGGATAATTTTATCAATTCTCCGAGAAGCCGTGAATTCTCGGGAAAAGAAACAGATGATATTACACGCGCGATTGTTGATATACTTGTGTTTGATTACATGCCAATACATGTACAGATGGTTGAAGGCAAAGGCTTTAAGAAACTGATGTCCATCGATGCACCAAACTACAAAATACCGTCCCATAATATTATAAAATCTAGGATGAAAAGTGTAGAAAATGGTAAATCCGCTACAGAACATCAAGTTCAAGTCAAACAGTACGAGGACGTCGCAACAAAGAGTTACATTACAATTACGGAGTAGATTATTTTTTTTAAAACACAAACACTGTGAACCACTTACGATTTCATTTCTTGTGTTTGTAAATATAATATTGAACTTAAAAAATGTTGTATTAAATTTCGTCGGGCACGAAGTGCTCTTCATTGCTACACCAGAAATACATTTACGGATAAACCTCCTATCAGATGCATGTGGCTTTATTACTACAAGAGTTTACAATATTTACATTCATCAATTTAATATTTATTTACACTTTTACCGAGCATTATTCCAAAAACGTACATCCCTAATTTTCAATAATTTTTTTTTACAAAAAACAAACTAACAGCACAACCATCTTTTGGAATTGTAATCTGGTGTACTTCAGAAAAAAGACTTGTTTAAAAATATTTTAATAGTAAGCTATACTCTCAACAAAAACATCATGATTAATTTCTGTTTCAGGGAAGGAGTATTTGTTGCATTACACAAGTGTTTCTCCTCAGAAGTCCCGCTTCTTCTTGCTGGATGCCAGGCCAGACGAGTGTATCGCTCTGTCTGTCTGGTACTCCCAGCCCTGGAGACTAGACGTCTACCACAACGGAGCGTTTATAATGCCCCCCAATGCCAGGTTTGCTGGGGAGGACAACCGATATGTTATTGACCCCCCTCCTGTTGGACAGCCAGATTTCTACAAACCAAACGTAACAGGGTGTCAGCAGAAATCTGGACTGAGTTACTTTAATCGGGATTCTGGGATCATCACTTTGTTGATCAAAGGTCCTGAGCCCGTGGAAATAATCACAGTAAAGACTGTAATGGTGTCCTTCCAGATTCCAGCAATGCCAACATCTGAATTTTATGGAGACAACATTGTTAGGAACTTGGCAAGCTTTTTGAATATTGATGAAAGTCGAGTACGCATCACTAATATTGTGCGAGAAACATCCTCCTCTTCAGGTGGTCGTAGAAAGAGGTCGACTGATGTTGTGACTGGTGTAGAGGTTGAAATCAGTAACCCTCCTACACAGGGTAAGTAATAACAATCATCCCTCCCACTCAGCTTCCAGTATAGGTTACAGTAATGTTAACCCTCTCTCTCTATCTCTCTCTCTCTTTCTCTCTCATTAAGAAGATACAGGGTTATACATGTATTAAAATTGTAGCCATTACTTTAAGGTTGATAATGATATATTCTACAGCTGGGCATAGACTAGTATGCTTGAATATTTTCAAACTAACCACAAAGAAACAATGTCATAATTTTTTTTTAAACATTAAAGAGGTAAATTCCACTGCTGAGGCAGGAGATCTGTCTTCTGATCAGCTACAGAACATCACTACGACGATAGTGAATGAGGTGCAGCTAGGCACTACGTTACGTAGCATGGTTAACATCACCAGCGCATCAATATCTGAACCCCCACCTGACCCTGATGACCCCAACTGGCGTAATATGGCAGAGGACACCAGCGAGACGCGTTATCAGGAGCTGGCCCAGCCCTCATTGATGAGGCTCTTCACCCCCGTTATACCCATACATGAAGGAGCCGCGTTCTCAAGCCAACCCAAACTGCAGGTCTATGATGCTAATGTAAGTTGTCAAAAATTCATGTCTGCATGGTACATTTAATGTTATTTGATTCAGCATTATTGTTGTGTCAATTTATAAATGATGAAAGGAAGGCAAAAAATGTTCATAAGGACCCTTCAAGTAAAGGGGAGTCAGAGGAATCAAGTTTGTCTGTCTGTTTGCAATAGTTGTTGACAACAGAATTTTTTTCAAAGTGCATAACAGCAAGACACTTTTGATTTTGAGGTCACATCACTTTGCTTGTCTGTACATATGCTGTACATTGGCAAATAATCACGATGGTTTTACTTTCGCTATGTTCATGATTTATCATTTTTCCGCAATATTAAACCCATCGTGAATGTCATTATTAGTTTTTAGAAACGTTTAATGCTTATGCGAAATTTTGAATTAATTTCTTGCATTGTGAAATTAAAACCATCACGATTGGTACTTTTTGAGATATCGTGAAATTTTAACACATTGGAATTAAAACGATTTACAGTATTTAAATTTTTATTCATAACATTTTAATAGTGACATAAAAGCTAAAACATTTCAACAAAATCATTTCAATTTTTAGCTCACCTGAGCCGAAGTACAAATATGCTTATCTCATATATATATAATGTGGTGTAAAATTATATGATTTACAGAATTTATATAGATCTTTTAGGTTCTTTAAAATTGTCTTCAGCACAAATTGGACCTAGATTCTGCTTAAAACATGTCTATATTTATGAACAGGGAAATGTAGTCAGCAAGCTTGGTACCAATGTAAACCCCTGGGAGATCACTGCGACCCTGAGGAATGGTACTGGTGACCCTGCAGCCCAGCTACTGGGCACCAGGACTGCCAAATACAGCAATGGCTGGGCCAACTTTACTGACCTGGCCATCAGTCACATGGGCACAGACTACATCATTGACTTCAATGTGACTTACCCGATCATGGCAAGCTTCTCACTGTCTTCTGCTAATATATCTGTGGCACCGCGGATGATTGTGGTGGATATTATCAACATAACCTCGGATCCGCTGGAAAACTCTTACATGACAGTGGATCTAGAGCTTCGTGATAAAGTCACATCTGAAGTCATCAAACAAGTCAACTGGAGGGTAGGTTGTCACGTAGAATTATCGCATCACAGTAGTTTGTTGCATGGAAATACATTACATAGGGATCTTTAAAATCTACTTGATTTTGCTCTAAGAAGCTTTCTCTAAGAAGATCTATTTTAAAGATTTTTTGCATGAAAAATGTTATATATATTCCCATACAACAAGCTACTGTGATCTAAGTTTCCTTAAGGTATTCAATCCCTAATAGGAACAAATTCAATGAAATTGAATACATAACACTTACAGATATGTGTGCACTGAATACTCGGTTTATTTAGACATGATTCTCATTTATTACTATTGGTATGTATAGTGGGATGTGTCCTAATTAATGACCTTGAATTTTGGTAAGAGTTATCTCCCCTTTTTTTAATTAATGAAAAAAATCAATTTAGAAAAAATTAGACGGTAAAAAAATTCTTTTTAATTGTCATTTTAATGTTTCAATGCATCTATCCACCGCAGGATTTATTGATAATCAAATTATTTAATTTTTATTTTGAAAAAACGCCTTTTCCCATAGACTTCAATGCAATCTTTGTTAATTACCTACTGCTTAATTAATGAAATTTTTAAAACTTTCTCGCGGGCAATCCTTTTCCACTATAAAATGCTTAATATAATATCAGAGTATTATGTACTGGACGGACATTTAAGGGTAGGGAATTTGGTCCCATTAGGGATGGAAATCCTTAAGGGTCATTTTTAAGCAAAACCAAAAATATGAAAACATATTATGGTCCTACTTTTCTTCACAATCCAATAATAATTTAATATGTACCAAAATCTTATGTTAATTGATCTTCTTAGAGTAGATCATACTTATAATGATATAGAATTTCAGGCAAACTTATATAATATTAATTCCAGTTTCTTTTAATCACAACCTTTAAATATTGCCCTCAAATATATTGCCACTATTTTGTTTTAAAAAAAAAAAAAAACTGTGTTATTTAGACACCATAATGGAATGGTTTGTCAGGTGAGCACTGTAGCCATGGGACTCTTGTTATGTAAATATTACATTGTTTTTCATTTTAAACAGAACCATAAATGGATTGTAAACGTAGAGCTGGGAGGACAGTCCTACTACTGCGGGTTACTGAGTGGTAACACCAACACTACCTTTGATGACAACAGTGGTATGGCCACGCTCTCAAACTTCAGCTTTAATGTCCAGGGAATGGTGGTCCTGAAGATAACCGTGACCTCTGACCCCCCGGAGTACACACTGGTGATAGAGACTCTCATTCATATCCAGAAATTACAACAGATCCAGTTCTTCAAAAACAGCTCTCAGGACATTCAGTTGAAATTTGATGCTAATTATGATACTGTGGTGGGGACTCGATACTTACTTCACTTCCAGGCGATGATGGGCAATTTCTTGTCTGGTCTCTACCCTGACATTGTGCTGAATTCTGTCAAGATTTACAGAGGTTAGTATTCTTGGTAGAATATTATTTGTACAAGAACAGCACATTAAAGTATTTATTCTAGATTCCAATACTGTTATTATAAAGATCAAAGAGATATTCGCCAATAAAGGAATCACAAACATCATCTACAAATTGTTAAAATCTTTGTCTTCTAATTAGGGCCCTGCAAGGATTTGTGGGTGCCTTACATTATTCACTCTGTCTGTCTGTCTGTCTTCTGTCCAGGCAGTAAGCATATTTTGATGTTAAGTTTATTTCTCTATGATTAACTTGATCTTTTTTAGGTAGTATTTTGGTCACGTTCCAGGTGTCGGGGACTACCAGCATGATGAATACTACCGTTTCTTCTCTGTGTGGTGCAGTGGAGAACAAAACCAGCTTTAACTTCCGCGGAACTTCCCTGACACTGGACAATTATCTCTCCGTGGATGGGGAGAATTACTACGGAACAAAATGTGCCCCTATTGAGGAAGTTACCGAGGAGGTGAGATAAAATGTCACACGGTCTAAACGGCTGTCACTGAAACTGGTTGTTGGGGGAAAATGAATTGATGAAAGAAATATGAGCAGTATATGCAAAATTTACAACTGTCCCAATCCCTCTCAAATTGTTTGTTACATACCATACAAGATCCTCTTGTACATGTAGTATAATTGCAGACTTGTTTGGCTTATGCAAATAGTGGACACCTTGTTTTACTGAAAGAAATAGGAATAATTAGGATTCATTTTAAAAGCAGAACATAATGATGCTACAGCTAATGTATCCATGTATAAAGTTTATGAGAAATACATTGATGAAATTGGACTGTTGCAAAATTTCATGTGTAAGTTATAAGCTGTGCCTTTTTCAATTATAACTAACTACATCTAGTTTAATTGTTATATTAAACTGAATGTTTTATGCAATTGAAAATAGAGGGGAGGTGCACATGCATAGATTTGGCACAGTCTTTAGTAGTTGGAAGTATCAACCATCATTGAGCAAGGTTGACCATCCATTGCAGCATAGGAGGGTGTTGTTTCATCAGTCAGAGGGACACCACGTTTTTAACAAATGTTTCTTAATGAGTCAAATTCAAGTACAAAATAATGTAATTTACATGAAAGTATTATATTTTTTCAAAATATTTTTTTCTTTGTAATGTTCATTCAGCTCCTTGCCTTTTTTCCAGGTGACATTAAATCCTACGAAACCTACTGAGGAAGTTACTGAGGAGGTGAGATAAAATGTCACACGGTCTAAACGGCTGTCACTGAAACTGGTTTGTTGGGGGGAAAATGTACTGATGAAAGAAATATGAGCAGTATACTAGTATGCAAAATTTACAACTGTCCCAATCCCTATCTAATTGTTTGTTACCATACATGATCCTCTTGTACATGTAGTATAATTGCAAACTTGTTTGGCTTGTGCAAATAGTGGACACCTTGATTTACTGAAAGAAATAGGAATAATTAGGATTCATGTTAAAAGCAGAACATAATGATGCTACAGTTAATGTATCCATGTAATTATAAAGTTTATGAGAAATACATAGATGAAATTGGACTGTTGCAAAATTTCATGTGTAAGTTATAAGCTGTGCCTTTTTCAATTATAACTAACTATATTCAGCTCCTGGCCTTTTTTCCAGGTGACATTTAAACCTACGAAACCTTCAGAGAAAGATTTCTTTACAATGGGAGTATACATCGCCATAGCTTTGGTGGGGGCTGCATTGTTAGTGATGATTATAGCCCTTGTAGTCTGGAAGGTGAAGGTCGCCCCCAAGTCTCGGACACACTGTATCACATCCCCTGAGTATTTCACCAAGACGGAGAGCGTGGAGGTGTTAAGAGCATCCAAGTTAGACGATTCGGTTCTCTGCTTTGAGAACGAGAGTTATGAGGAAGTTCCACCAGCCGATACGTCATTCAGCACATTCAACAGAGACAGTGCCTCTTCTGCTGACACAAAATCGGAGAGTAAAAAGTGAAGCAAAACAGGGATTATTGGAGAGAAAGTGGTTTGAAGAACAATTGTGCTTACATGTAGATTCTGTTTGTTTCGTCAGATTGAATGAACATTGCCTTACATGACAAATTCTCATTTTATCTTTTGTCAAGTAAACTTACAGGTTTTGAACATGACAGAGTATACATACACAAAGCACAGAAAATACATATCACTTTTGATAAATCTTGTTTGGTTGAAAGAAATGAGATTTTTGGGGGGGGGGGGGGGTCACCAAAAGTTTTACTTTTTTTTTTACATTACTGTATTATTTATTATTTTTATATATATACAAATATATTGCTATATTGTTTTTTAAATTACATTTTCAGATCTCCTTGTTAGAACTTTTTATGTATTGTGTGTGGGGGGGGTGTCATTTGTTCTGCCTGTTATGGGTGTAAAGTGGATGTAAAGACTGCAGCAAATACCATCAAGCAAATTTTTTAGTCTCAATGAACAGTGCAATTTTGTTTGCCTACAAAACTTTGACCTCCATGAATAAAAAAATGATTCCACAGTCCCAGTGCCATCTTTCAAGAAGCACATCTGCTCAAATTGCTCATGATTTAAGAAAAAAAATTCTTAAATTTAAGATTTTTCCCAAAGTTTAATATATCCATATTTAAAACACAAAATCTTAAATCTGAGTCCCCAGGTGGAGTTTATTACTCCTACCATAAACTAAATTTTTGGGGAAGAAGCTGCATGCATTTGATAATGAAAGCTGCCATCAAATAGCAAACTTTTTTTGAAATCCATTGTCTACAAAAGAGAATCTCAGGTGATGCTACCCTGGTGAGTGTCAAGGCCCACAGGCCTCTCGTTACTTAGTATTCTATATGATACTGTAAAAGGCAGATTTATTTTGGAGTAAATTAAAATTAATTTGGATCTCGAGATTTTATCCTATTAATCAGTGCATTGACAGATTAGTCTAAAAGATTATATTGTAAGTATTACCTAGTAGTGCCTGGGCTAACATATATCACATTATTATTGCGAGTATAACGTACAGTGGACAAGTACTGGTGCTGTAATATGAATCCGCCTAAAACAGTAGTGCTTAGTTGTAAATATGTATTGTTCATTCCTTTTCATCAATCATGTGGATTTTATACAATTCTTGATTAACATTTGTCTGATATTTTATAAATATGTTAATTCTTTAATAAAATGTGTTACAAATTGAAGAGTTTTTTTCCCTGTTTGTAGTTCAAACTGGAAATACCACCACCATGCTTATATCCATTGAAGTATGAGGGATTTTTATCTCCCTTGTACATGTATATAAAGTAAATATACTAGGTACATGGTTCAAAGAGCAAGGGTGTCTCTTCTAAAATTGTATCCTCAGGATCAGGAGGTTTGGTGATTGTGGATGGAGCTCTATTGATTTATTAAAATACATTGAAATTTTATACTTTGAAAATTGTGAATTTCATGGCTCCCAATGTCAAGAGTTTTGGTTTTAGAACAAGCTGAAATGATTGTGCAGTGAAATTGCATAAGCTGGCTCTTTTTCAGAATCTTCTCTGCATTTGGGTATCTACTTAAGCAATGAATCATTATTTTTTGAAAGAGTGTTTAAGAAAATTTTTGGAACACTCCATTGCAGTTATGAGACTATATCTTTCAAACAATAATGATTCATTGCTTATATTTACATTATTACCTCTCTTTCTTGGCAGCAAAAGAGATTTTTATTTCAAATCCATGTATTACCCATCGCGAAAACTACTGTTAATGGAAGAGCTATTTTAAAAGCTTCTAGTCAATGTGCAATGTGAGCATGATTTATTTTTTGCTTTTGACGTTGCACTTTCTCTGTGTTCAAAGTTTATGATTCAAAATAAAACTAAAAAATAAAACACTTTAACCTTTCGACACCCTTTCCGTGTTATGGTGTAATGATACATGTACCTTTTTAGCTCACCTGAGCCGAAGGCTCAAGTGAGCTTTTCTGATCACATTTTGTCCGTCGTCCGTCCGTCTGTCCGTCCGTCCGTCTGTCTGTCTGTCCGTCTGTAAACTTTTCACATTTTCGACTTCTTCTCAAGAACCACTGGGCCAATTTTGACCAAACTTGGTACAAAGCATCCTTGGGTGAAGGGGAATTTAAATTGTTAAAATGAAGGGACATTCCCCTCGCAAGGGGAGATAATCAAGAAAAGAGAAAAATAGGGTTGGGTCATTAAAAAATCTTCTTCTCAAGAACCACTGGGCCAGTAAAGCTGAAACTTAAGTGGAAGCATCCTGGGGTAGTGTAGATTCTAAATTGTTCAAATCATGACCCCTGGGGGAAGGGCGGGGCCACAATGGGGAATCAAAGTTTTATATAGAAATATATAGGAAAAATCTTTGAAAATCTTCTTTGGGCCAGAAAAGCTGAAACTTATGTGGAAGCATCCTGGTATAATGTAGATTCTAAATTGTTCAAATCATGACCCCCGGGGGAAGGGTGGGGCCACAATGGGGTATCAAAGTTTTATATAGAAATATATAGGAAAAATCTTTGAAAAATTCTTCTCAAGAACCACTAGGCCAGAAAATCTGAAACTTATGTGGAAGCATCCTGGTGTAGTGTAAATTCTAAATTGTTCAAATCATGACCCCCGGGGGAAGGGCGGGGCCACAATGGGGTATCAAAGTTTTACATAGAAATATATAGGAAAAATCTTTGAAAATCTTCTTCTCAAGAACCACTGGGCCAGAAAAGCTGAAACTTATGTGGAAGCATCCTGGTAAAATGTAGATTCTAAATTGTTCAAATAATGACCCCCGGGGGAAGGGCGGGGCCACAATGGGGAATCAAAGTTTTATATAGAAATATATAGGAAAAATCTTTGAAAATCTTCTTCTCAAGAACCACTGGGCCAGAAAAAGTGAAGCTTATGTGGAAGCATTCTGGGGTAGAGTAAATTCTAAATTGTAGGAATCATGACCCCCGGGGGAAGGGCGGAGCCATTATAGGGGAATCAAAGTTTTACATAGAAATATATAGGAAAAATCTTTGAAAATCTTCTTCTCAGGAACCACTGGGCCAAAAAAGCTGAAACATATGTGCCCATGGAAGGATCATGGGGTAGTGTAGATTTCAAAATGTCTAAATTTTGATCAGTGGGGTAGGGTGGGGATGCATTATGTATAACAAGGGGGAAATCTGGTAAAGAACAGAATGGTCAAAGCTTCTCAGGTGAGTGATGTGGCCCATGGGCCTCTTGTTTGTAGCAGTAATGATTATGTAGAATGGCAATTTTGAAAATGTTGCCGTAATGATACCCTATGCATATATATACTCGTAATACTGTAAAAGCAGAAATATTCTTTGGGGATTAAAGAATGAGGGTGCTTTTGATTGACATTCGACAGGAATCTGGGCATAATTGAAAAGTGAAAATTTTGTCGACATATCTCATGAAATTTTAACGTTTTTTGAATTTATCGGGTTCCTGTGCAACAGGAAAGGAAAATATTTTCCCAAAATTGAGCTTCGATTTGCTAAACAATAGCTTGAAAATTGGCCAGATCAGACATTTGGTACAAAATGGTTCCTTTTTAAACACATTTTTCTAAAAATTTTCTATCTCTGGGTCTTCTCTCCATGATTTTTAAACATTATTTGTGTGTGTTTTAATTCAAAGAAACGAATACACATTTTTAAAAAATGGAGAGAAGACCCAGAGACCACGAAAAATGAACTTTTCCCAAAAAAATCCAAATGTGTGAATGTGGTGCGTCTTTGTCCTTTTAAAATCGAATGGATATGTGTTGTGGTGATAGCTCAGTAAGTTAGGCTACCTGTCCAGTGCACTCAAAGCGGAAAGTTTTTGGTTCGAGCCTTGCATGGGGCGTTAATTTTTTTTTCATGCAATTAAACAACCATTTATTTTGTCAGTTTTGTTTTACGTACTGGTGTATTAAAATTTTGCATTAAATTTTGGTTAAGTTTGGTTCCCGAGCGAAATCAATTCCAATCTTCTATTCTATAATGTACATATACGGTGCACGCATCATGCATCTATGCTCTAAATTTTTTAGGTGTTTATTTTTTGTGAAACATTACTATGTTATAGTACCCCCTAGAAAAAAGGACATAAATGTTTCAATCTCACAAGGTCTTTTAAACTAAATGAAAAAAAAACCTATGGATGTGTTTGTAAAATCTGACCAGCTATGTTCAGCCAACCAAATCATGGACATTTAAACCATAAATGTTTCGTACAAATGATTCCTGCAGATCACACGCCAAATGCGCCCATCTTCTTTCATCTATTTTGTTGTTGGGCATAATCAATGAAATTACATCCCACGCATGAAGTTTTTATATGACTATTGATTAGAATAGGGTTACTTTCCAAACAACAAAATTAAATACCCACAGAACCTTTCTGGATGACAGCCTTTAAAACAAAATTCCATCCCCAAGAAATTTTGTGTTTCTACAGTTTTGCAATTAAAAACAAGTAGAAGTCTTTATTTCCATACTTTGATAATTAAACTTTATATCACATTTACCCTAAACATCTTTTTTACAGACATATGTAACAAAAGCAAACATTTAATTCTTGATTTCACTCACTGAATACATATACTGCCAAACCACAAAATAAATGCATGTCTGACATAAAACCTCATCCTGACCAATACAGAGTTACAGTGGGACACAGCAAGATGTTGACACTTCACTCAAATGATATGTAAAGGGCAAACTGTTCTCTATTTAATATAAATATGAAAGAAACTGTTCTGTACACACACATTTTCACACTCAAGAATGGATGCTTCACAGTGATTTATTAAGGATATTGCTAAAGGTTGCTTAAAAAACTGCTGTAAAAAAAAAATAAAAAATACAATCAAGTAAAACACTCTCATTTATATTCAGCAATGTCCAAAAAGTTGATTTCTTTCTTTGGGCATATAAATTCTACAAAAATTGACTTCATACCAGCAGATAATTCCATTCAATTCAAGTACCGTAGTTTCTGACAATTCACAAATTTAATTAAGTCTGTAATTAAGCTTCTTCTTACTGGAGTATATATACTAATTTGTAGTGCAACTAAAAATTCCAATCAAATTATTCATGAGATGATGAGCCATGAATACAACAAACCCTGGTTTTTCTGTTCACATTGGAAGCCTTAAAATATGACAAATGGTAATACTCATCTTTACTTAAGAAAACCTGGGAGTTTTTTTTATGAATTTTTATTTTTTATTTTTTAATAAATTGAAAAATAGACAAAGAAGATTTTGAGTTTTTAACATATAGAATAACTAAGAGATGCCTAAATATTGTAATACATGGTACAGTATAACATTGAAATAGAAATACTGAACTTGAAGATATTCTTGACACAAGTGAGAAAACAACAATATTGATAATTTCACTCTGCATTAAAAACATTTTCTCTAAGATTTTATTCACCTGACCTTTAATGGATTTTTACATAAATAAAACACCATAGGAAAAGCCTGTTCTTCCTCACAATCAAACAACAACATCTTGCATTCTGTACACAAACAAAACATAACTTTTGAAAAGTCATACATGAAGCTAATGTTTGTGGAAATGTTTGTCACATTTACTTCATTTATGCAACACTCCAATCCAGAATATATTTACCAATCAGTTCAATTTGAAATGTCTTTTTCACTTTTATAAATATAACTAGTAATCATTGTAATACTCCCATAAATCTTTCTCATATCCTTCATGTACATGATCCAGTAAAACATTTCTTCTACTCTCACAGTACCTGAAATAAAAATGACACATAATGACAGTTAAATAGAAGTTGTATGAAATGCTTCAGTTTACCTATTGATTTGGAAGTGACAGTCAAGGTCATCAAATTTTATATTTGTTCTAATCATTTGCAAATTAATCTTAACCCTTTCAACACTGTAGACCGATACATCGGTCTGATAAAATTTTGTCTTGGAACACGGTAGACCGATACATCGGTCTCAGACACTAAACTGAAAGTAAAACGTTTATTCTTAGAAATAGAAAGTGTTCTCTGCGCAAAATCTTTTGCTATGAATTATGGGTAGAATGATGTAAACATCCGTTAACAAATATGGCGGACCACATGGAGAAAACCACGAAAAAATAAGTAAAATTAGATGATTAGTAAAGAAAACGAAGAAGAAAGCAAAATGGCGGTAAACAACGAAATGTCCGATCTTTCTGGCGATGAAATATTTAATAAAATCAGGGAATTAGACATTACAGATGTTTCTAGACAACAAAAATATGAGTTATTAACGATGTTGTGAAATCTTGTCGGAGAAAGTCGACTCAGAATCGGAATATCAAGGCTCCTAAACAGAGGATGTTTTCCACGCCCCAGACTTCTTCTGATGTCCTGAAACACCCTGTTTTATTTATTAATAATAATGGACCTACTTTTAAATAAATTTGGACATATTGCATATCATTTCACTCGGAAATAATTTCTCTTTTGAATGATGGTAAGAACATAATTGATTTTGAAACTTCATAGCAGCAAATTTATTATATTATTGCATAAGATCCGTTATAAAATGTAATTATGAATTTTATTAGTGTTTTTGACTTGATAAATAATTTTGTATATATATAAAATTTATATCAATTAAAAGAGAAATACCTCACCTTTCTAATGATGTGTCATTTATTAAAATATTCAAAAAAATAAAGAAGTTAAAGTATTTTTTGTGATGGAAGGTGAAATGTTTAGTGATGCCCCAAGTTACTCAGTGTACTAGGGGTTGGTTGATAAAAGTTACTCAGTGTTGAAAGAGTTAATCTTTTGTCCTTTAATTGCGAACATAAATTTCATGAATTTACCTGTTATTATTAGTTTTCAATCAGTGCATGTAATATTAACTTACCTATATTTGTCTTGGACTTTTTGTTTGATGTCATTTAACATATCACAGGTGATATCCCTCTCTAAGTACTCGGACAGCTGTTCCGTGGCATTCTCTAAATCCTTCTGGTTTTCCTACAATTCACACACACACATGATCCTACTTAAATCTGCACTACCTTGGAATGCTGCACATTACTATTTATATTCATTAGTAATCATGGCTCTGAGGAATTTTGAAGATTTTTCCTGTATTCATTGTATCTATTTAAAACCTACCAACAACTTGTAGAGTTTCAATAACTCATAGCTAAGGCAGAACCTAATAAAATTTTTGAAAATTTATTATTCTTCACTAATGATGTACGAAAATCTATTAACCTCTACTAATGGAAAATTCCATTTCAAAACAGTATACTGTGGTTTCATCAATTTTCGTTGGCATTAATTTTTGTGGATTTTATAAAAAAGACGTTTTCGAGGATAGGTTATTTCGTGGACAAAAGTATTGCCTATACAAATGAATGGCATATTTTTTAATTCAATGAACATTTAAATTTGTGGATCTGCTCGACAACGAAATCCTCGAAAATTGGTGTTCAACGAATAATAATGAAACCACAGTATACCTTTAAACATTTTAAATTGAACTTGGGACTGGTATTACAATAATATTTGATTCCGTACCTCAAATATGATGGACTGGTTATTTTTCTTGAGATAAAAAGCAAAGACATAAGTAAACATAAGCGTCTGGCGACACAGACACAAAACATCCACTGCTTTCTTCAGGAACTGGACCTCAATCCACGACATGTGCTGCTGCATCTCCTCCATCTTCAGCTTCACAGAAGCATACAACTGTAAAGAGAGGCATACAACTGTAAAGAGAGGTATACAACTGTAAAGAGAGGCATACCACTGTAAAGAGAGGCATACCACTGTAAAGAGAAGCATACAAATGTAAAGAGAGGCATACAACTGTAAAGAGAGGCATACAACTGTAAAGAGAAGCATACAAATGTAAAGAGAGGCATACAACTGTAAAGAGAGACATACAAATGTAAAGAGAGGCATACAACTGTTAAGAGAGACATACAACTGTAAAGAGAGGCATACAACTGTAAAGAGAGGTATAGAACTGCAAAGAGAGGCATACAACTGTAAAGAAAGGCATACAACTGTAAAGAGAGGTATAGAACTGCAAAGAGAAGCATACAACTGTAAAGAGAGGCATACAACTGTAAAGAGAGGCATACAGCTGTAAAGAAAAGCATACAACTGTAAAGAGAGGTATACAACTGTAAAGAGAGGCATACAACTGTAAAGAGAGGTATACAACTGTAAAGAGAGGTATACAACTGTAAAGAGAGGCATACAACTGTTAAGAGAGACATACAACTGCAAAGAGAGGCATACAACTGCAAAGAGAGGCATACAACTGTAAAGAGAGGCATACAACTGTAAAGAGAAGCATACAGCTGTAAAGAGAGGCATACAACTGTAAAGAGAGGCATACAACTGTAAAGAGAGACATACAAATGTAAAGAGAGGCATACAACTGCTAAGAGAGACATACAACTGTAAAGAGAGGCATACAACTGTTAAGAGAGACATACAACTGTAAGGAGAGGCATACAACTGTAAAGAGAGGTATACAACTGTAAAGAGAGGCATACAACTGCAAAGAGAGGCATACAACTGCAAAGAGAGGCATACAACTGTAAAGAGAAGCATACAACTGCTAAGAGAGGCATACAACTGTAAAGAGAGGCATACAACTGTAAAGAGAGGCATACAACTGTAAAGAGAAGCATACAACTGTAAAGAGAGACATACAACTGTAAAGAGAGACATACAACTGTAAAGAGAGACATACAAATGTAAAGAGAGGTATACAATTGTTAAGAGAGACATACAACTGTAAAGAGAGGCAAGAATACAACCGGAGGAGAAGCATACAACTGTTAAGAGAAGCAGACAACTGTAAAGAGAAGCATACAAATGTAAAGAGAAGCATACAACTGTAAAGAGAAGCATACAATTGTTAAGAGAAGCATACAACTGTAAAGAGAAGCATACAACTGTAAAGAGAAGCATACAACTGTAAAGAGAAGCATACAACTGTTAAGAGAAGCATACAATGTGAAGAAATTATGAGTTATGAGAATGCATTTTTTGAAAAATAAATCAGTTCTTAAAAAGTCATTCTTGAGCTATTACATTTTAATTTAATCTTTATTCAGAATTTTGCATGTTGACTACGATGTCTGAGGCAAAAAAAGCACTCACTTTGTTCTCAAACTTTAGACTCTGCATGTGATTCATGTATCTGTTGCAGTAAAACAAATATCGTTGGAGTGCAGATCTTGATTTCTGTTTAAAAGAAAAAAAATCTTTATTTGCATATCAGTAACTTTATCAATTTAATTTTTTCTAAATTCTAAGCAAAGCTCTGAGAGAATTTTATGGAAATAAAATTTCAAATGCCTCCACCTTTCTTCAAATATTCCCATGGAAGTTCAAATAATATTTTATAGATGGCACCTAATTTTTACCAATTTTTGATCAATTCAATTTTTAATTCAGGTTTAAAAAGAGATTGGTATTTTGTGCCATTTAATCAGGTTAAAATTACAAAATGTAATTTGTTGCACAAAAAAAGGTTTTGAATCATTTATTTCCTTTGTTAATATAGGCAGTCAGGATTTGCAAATTTGGCAAAAATTGATTTTACAAGACTGCAATTTAAACCTTTTACATCCTATTAAATTTGTCAGAGGTCTATAGCCTGATGAGGGGTTTACCTCTTGGTTATCTCTGGCCTTCTTTGCCTCGTCCTCATCATACCTGTTACAGTTATACCTGTCAAGATAAAATATATTTTACTATCAAACTAGAAAACTGATCAGTCAGGGCCACAGAGGGATATATTTCTATACTTTCAAATGTGCTTTCTTGTGACAAACTGATAAATACAAGGCACTGCCAAGGCAAGATGTACATAAGCAGCAATAAAAAAAACCTATTTTTTTCTATAAAAATGAATTATAAATTGGTATGTACATTTATGTGAACTTGAATAAAACTTTCACTTCAAAATGCCTTCAATAGTGGTTGCAAAAATAACCCAGGCTTAACCTAAGCTTCTGTTGCAGATAAAAGGAATAAGTATTAGTTATCGTCTTGGATCTCCATAATATTCATATAAAGAAATGGGCAGTCCTTTCGTCACAAGTGTGCAAAACAAATGAGTGACAAGGGACTGCCAACTCCTTTGTTCAAATGAATATCAGGATGATATATTGTCACATATTTCATTCTTAATCTTTCAAATATTCATTAATAAGTGCTCAATGTTAAATACAAGCAAATAAAACAATATTCTATGTACTCTGAGCAGCTTTTCGCTAAAAAAAAATCTTTCCATCAAATTTGAGATTTCTCTCATACCAGGAGGATCCGTGGGGCTCCCATGGTCCTAGACACACCCAGCAGAAGTCTGCCTTGCAGTTCTGGTTTTTGCATACCATGTGATTACATCCGCCATCTTTTTCAATGGTCACGTGGCATTTGGGACATTCCTAGAAAAAAGAATACATACAGTAAAATTTGTCTAATCCGGACTCTGAGTACTCCGGACTTTTGTCAATTCCGTCCGTAAATTTTAGTCCCATGCACTTCCTTAACAAATTCATTTAAAAAAATTCTGTGTAGTCCGGATACTGTCTATTCTGTATTCCGAACGGCCATACTGGTCCCAACTGCTCATAATTAACGTTAATTATTCCCTCTAATCCGGCCACACCTGAGTTACTTCAAAGAAATTAACACCTTTCGTGGGGAATGTGATAATACGTGTTTACATTAGCATGATTATTAGTGCCATGAGACGAACTCGGTGAAATGCGGCGGTGACACAGTCCACTTGAAAAATATATTATATTAAATTACAATTAAAAAAAAGTAACTTTGCTTTAACTCCTTTTACCACATTATAACATAAACACAAAAATATATGTATGCGATTTACAAATCAAAATATAAATCGGGATCGAAAATCGAACACATTTCAAAATGGCGCCATAACACTGTGGGGGAAGACGTAATTTTTTACATAAAATTAAAAGTTCAATCTAATAATTAGCACATCGTAAATAATTGTGCATTACTGTTAATACATTGAATGAGGTCTTTGACAAGCGAAACCCGGTCCGCTTGATACATAGTAAGCCTATATTATGCGTGCCTGTATATTTTGATTGAAGTAACATTTCACCCGACTTTCAAACTTCGTGAACAAATACGAAAATACTGTAAGTCATGTGAGACTATTTTATAATTTCTAGACTCCAGAATAGTAATTGATTTCATTATTTAATTTTATTTATAATATGTATATGATGTACTTGTAAATAAACAACGAAAATTTTCGAAATTTATATTTTCCTGCATTTTTCCTGCACTCCGGATTCTGTCTATCCGGCCAAATTTTATGGAACCGGCGGTAGCCGGATTGGACAAATTATACTGTACATTAAATGGACATGTACTAAAATGTTAACTTGTTTATTCATGTGGAAAATGTAGATCAGTTCCAGCACCTTAAGGTATTCAATCCCTAATAGGAACAAATTCAATGAAATTCAATAATAACAGATGTGTAAGCATTGAATACTCAGTTTATTTAGACATACTTCCCATTTATTACCATTTAGTATGAAAAGTGGGGTGTGTCCTAATTTATGACCTTGAATTTTGGTAAGATTTATCTCCCCTATTTTTAATTAATAAATAAATTCAATTAAAAAATGTTTAGCAGGTAAAAAATTTGTTTTTAATTGTCATTCTATTTTTAATAATTCAATGCATCTTTCCACCGCAGGATTTATGGATATTCAAACTATTTGAATATTTATTTTGAAAAAAAGCTTTTTCCCATAGACTTCAATGCAGTCTTTTTTAATTAACTACTGCTTAATTAATGAAATTTTTTAAACTTTCTCGCGGGCAATCCATTTCTACTATAGAATGCTTTAATATAATATCGGAGTATTATGTACTTGACAGACATTTAAGGGTAGGGAATTAGGTCCCATTAGGGATGGAAAACCTTAAGTAACCCTGTAACAATCACCTCTAAATTCTTAATGTTAGGTCACCATAAACTTATCAATAATGTAGGTCAGATTGAGCCGAGCTAAGAATAGAACCAGAAGTCTCTGTCGAGACTGTAGCTCTACTGGTTTGTACTTATAACAAAGGATAAGAAAAGAAGCCATTGCAATCAGACCAAAACTGTAGAAGGAGTGATGTTTTAAAGGAATTTCACGGACATTTCTATCTTTAGTACTAATGGCAACATCATTCATCAAAATCAAAAACCGATGCACTATTTAATGTATCTTAGTGTAGTCTACTTGTGTGCCAAGTTAAATTGAAATCAGACTAAAACTGTAGAAGGAGTAGTGTTTTTAAGGAATTTCACAGAAAATTCTATTTTTAGTAACCACGGCAACACCATTCATCGAAATCAAAAAAATGTGTCTTAGTGTAGTCTACTTGTGTGCCAAGTTACATTGAAATCGGACCAAAACTGTAGGAGGAGTAGCATTTTGAAAAATTGTTTACAGACTGACAGACAGACAGACGGACGGATGACAGACACCTTACTATTGCATAAGCTCTTCTGGGGCTCCCATAGGCTAAAAACCGATGCACAGAATTATGTATCTTAGTATAGTCTACTTGTGTGCCAAATTATATTGTAATCAGACCAAAACTGTAGGAGGACTATCATTTTAAAAGAATTTCTCAGAAATTTCTATTTTTAGTAACCATGGCAACACCGTTCATCGAAAGCGAAAACCAATGCAGAGAATTATGTATCTTAGTGTAGTCTACTTGTGTGCCAAGTTATATTGAAATTAGACCAAAACTGTAGGAGGAGTAGCTTTTATTTCACAGAAATTTCTATTTTTAGTAACCACGGCAACAAAATCGAAATCAAAAACCCATGCACAGAATTATGTATCTTATTGCAGTCTACTTGTGTGCCAAGTAATATTGAAATTGGACCAAAACTGTGGGAGGAGTAGCATTTCGAATGGCAACACCGTTCATCGAAATCAAAAACCGATGCACAGAATTATGTATCTTAGTTAGTCTACTTGTGTCCCAAGTAATATTGAAATTGGACCAAAACTGTAGGAGGAGTAGCATTTCGAAAGAATTTCACAGAAATTTCTATTTTTAGTAACCACAGCAACACCGTTCATCGAAATCAAAAACTGATGCACAGAATTATGTATCTTAGTGTAGTCTACTTGTGTGCCAAGTTATACTGAAATCGGACCAAAACTGTAGGAGGAGTAGCATTTCGAAAGCATTTCACAGAAATTTCTATTTTTAGTAACCACGGCAACACCATTCTTCGAAATCATAAACCGATGCACAAACATTATGTATCTTGGTGTAGTCTACTTGTGTGCCAGGTTATACTGTCGGACCAAAACTGTAGGAGGAGTAGCATTTTGAAAAATTGTTTACAGACAGACAGACAGATGGACAGACAGACAGACGGACGGACGACGGACGCATTACTATCGCATAAGCTCTTCTGGTCTCTGACCAGTAGAGCTAAAAACTTGACCTACTTTTGTGTTGGCAGCAATCCAGTTTGAGGTTTCACTGTCATCATCACATTTCTTGATCCATTTCCTCAACCATTTACACTGTACAGGATCATGCCAATTTTCTCCACAAGCAAAACTACAAAATATACAATGAAAAGTTAAACAGGAAAATTTAACCCATTTTATTTTAACTATTATTTAAATAAATAAGCATCTATAAAATGAAATTTATTGGCACATTGTTATCATAATTTTCACCCCTTTACACTAATATCATCTCCATGTACTACAGAACTGTTGTGAAACAATTCCTGGAATATCATTAAAATCAGCACTGCCAGCTTTACTGTGAAAGAATAGCATTAGCATTCCTCACTGTTTGATATTCATGGTTCAACACTAATACTTATCATTAGCAATGCTGTCAATGACTATCTAAAATATCATTTGCAAGAAACTGTAAATTCACAAATTCTAAAGATGCCAAATTTCTCTGAGTTTTTGCATACTAAGTCTCAGGTTTCATTGAAATTTACCTAGTGTGGTTCTGGAGAAGAATATGAAAAGTTTACAACAGCAACAATTAATACAGAGTTCAGACAAACTTTGATCAGAAAAGCTCAGGTGAGCTTATAAATAAGTCAGTTTACTTCTAACACAAACAAAGATGTCTTACCAAAAGGTGTGACCACATTTGCAGGTAACAGGCTTGGCATCGAAGTACTGAACTTTGACTGCGTGACCACAGTCTGGGGCAGGGCACCATCTCAGCAGCCGGTTACACTAATACAGAAAACAAACACAAAATAGAAAAGTGTGGCCAAGGTCAAAGGAAAGGGCAAAATATGCTGATGTGGTTGAAAAGCTTACTTCAGTATGTGTCAGCATAAAAAGTTTGAAAATAATTTCTTGAATAGTTTCTTTAAAACTAAGCTAACTAAGCTGAACAAGTGAGATCAAGGTCAAAGGGGAAAGATCAAGGTCAAAGGAAATACCAAGGTCAACAAATGTTGATGCAGTTGAGTAGCTCTCATCACTATGTACATGTATCAGCATATGAAGTTTGATAACACTATCTTGAATGGGTTCTTTCAAACTAAGCTTTGAACTAAGGTAAATGCAAAGTGTGATGGAAGGACAGAAGGATTGAAGGGCAGTAGATAGACATGACAAACTTTGTATGCCCCAGCCACATTCATGACGAGGCATAAAAATGGATGATCTAATGTTAGAAATAGCTAGCTGCAATAAGGTAGCCCTCTTTAATTTTTTTCTTTTCTTTTGGGCATATTGAAATATTTATTTGGGGCAATACATACCTCAACAAAACTATTTGTGATTAATTGCTGGTACTTTAATTTCACTTTTCTATCCGTAACAAGTTTCCTAAAAAAAAAGTTTAGTAAAAAACATTTCTTGGTTGTCTGACAATCCAATAGCTCTTAACAATTTAATCTTTATATGGTATTTGGTGGAAACATTTGCAACAGTTTCTCTGAGTCTAAGATAAATTCAAAATAATGAATGAAGGAGTCAAGATCATAAGAAAGGTCAAGTCTAAAAACTATGACACATACAGTGGAATAATATTTTAGCTCTTTATGACATTGATAGACATCATTTGAGTAAAGATAACTTGTGAATGACAAAATCTATTACATGTAATGCCAACACTTTCAGGCACTCTGCAAAGTAAAAAAACTATACATTATCAAACCAATGCTGAGTCTTCATAACTCATTCACTACTTACATGACTGTGGCATCATCAACAAGTATATCACAACCATATGCTGCACATGAAATGGTTTGTCCCATCCCCTCATTCATGATTTTGGAGGTAAGATAGTCTGTCCAGCAGGGAACACAGAATTTATGCCCACATTCTAAGCCTGTCATTTCCTGTTTTGACAGAAAAGTTGACACAAGTTAACCATCACCACAACATAAATTTGATCACATGATACATGTATATCCGACCTCCTCAATCTAGGTATTGTAGATTTTTTTAAGTTATATAATTTTATAAGGTTTCAAAATAAAATATACGTACATGAACTAATACCTCAAAAAGTTTCAATGACATTGTGTCACACTTAAACAAATTATTAATCTTAGTAATTTGTCGACATCACTACACTAGCAAATCTGTATTTGAGAAAATCAGGATTGAAATTTATAGTATATTATAGCTCATACCACTACAGGAACAGGTGTATAGCAAATCTCACAGATTGACTCTGTACTAGCTGCTGCTGTGGCAGATCTGGTCATCTTCTGAAAACAAAATCAATACTGTCAATGAATATAAAGGCCTTTAAAACTGTTTAATAAAATTTGTATAAACATACAATAATTACTGAATGGAGAATGTGTGCCAACTATGCATTTAGTTGGCAAAACATGGACTCCACATTATTCAGTCTTCAACAAATCCTGAGAGTCGAAAGCCTGGGACCTGTTGTTGGAAGTGGGCATGTGGAAATTGCATGCTTACTAGCCCAAAGGGCATGTAAATTCTGAGGCCTTAGCCTCATTATTATCAAATTGAATAATACCAATAACATTAAATGTACTTAAAGTCTTTGATTTCTCATCTACTTTTTCATTTTTCAGAAAGCAGAAAATTCAAATAAAACTAGTTTATCGGTCTGTAGAGATGAGTATATTAAATTTTTTAGGTTTAATTTTGGCATTATTAGAAGACATAAAAAAAAAAATTAATTGCTATTACAGGATAGTTAAAAAATAAAGAAGATGTATTAAATGTCTAAAAAAACTTACAGGATAGTTAAAGAATGTGTCTAAACTTAGGGAGGGAAAGGTAGTTGATTGATCAGTGTGGGAGAGTGGAGAAAATCTCCCCATGTGCAGAAAATCTTGCACCCTAATTGCATCTTATTTGTATTATGGGATTTGTATTACAGTACCTATGAAAACTGTGTAGGTTCTACCATACACAAACTTTTATTTATCCTTGTTATTATAATTAATAAGTAAAGTTGCAGCTTAGATGTTGACCATTTTTGTAATTTAAAAGTGCTCTTTTGAATGCTGAATTTGTTGCAAATTTCATACATGTATCATCAAGTGCAGTCCATCATTTGCAGATTAGACAAAGTTAAACAGAACTGTGTAGTATATTTTTAGTCTTCATAGTCACAAACCTTGGGTCTGGCTCCTGTATCTGGTCTTCGGTGGGGACTTACTACATGAGCTTCAGAGAACAAACGATCCTGATCTCCATCATAGTAACGCTCCATTAACTTCTCTTTGTCCCATTTAAAATGATTTAATAAAATTCTGGTGACTGTTGAAGGAATCTGGATGAAAAAAAAGAGATATTTTTTAATAAAAAAAAAAAATGTGTATTCTACTCTCTCCACATACATTATTTATAGCATAATTCAATTCATTTATTGATCGATTCATGGAACATGTTGGCTATATAAATTAATAAACACAAAATATATCACTAGGAAGCTAAGAGCATTTTTTTTCCTAAGGGGTGCTGAGTGTTATGTTCCGATTCTGTACTCATCCCGCATGGTTACAATTAGAGTGGTTTTGACCTGCTCATATCTTTATCCCTACAGGTAGAATCAGTACCCGAGTACAGGGATACACACTGTGTGGTAAACAAATGGATATTCGATGGCTTCATAGATATGTGTCTTAATAGGTCAATAATTGTTTCTCTTGTTTCCTACATCTTCTCAAGCCATGGTCTGGAGTCCGCAGATACAGTTCTCTCCTACCTGTGGCTGTTTGATCCCAAAAAGTGTCCTAATCTTGAACATTTACACCTCTCTATTGTGATTTTGTTTCCATCACAATTGCAATCAACAATTGACATCAGCATTATACAAAAAAATATTTTGTACACTGCGATTGGATATTGAAAGGTCGCATCAAAGTTCATTATCTGACTACACTTTACCAGCACTGGTCAATATTTTAATGAGCTACAAAATAATCTCTTCTCATTCAACCACGGCCAGAATGGGAAAGGATTGTACATTTTGGCCGTGGTTTGCAACGATGGGTTTCCTTAAAGCAATCAATAGTAAAGATAGTTTCTTTATGTTTTTACCTATCATTATATTATATTATGTTAATAAATTCGATTTAGTAATGATTTTATATTTGAACAAAAATTAAATACATCTTTATCTGCATCATGGTATCATTTACTGTGTAAATAATGTACATTTCTCCAAATTAATATGCATACAGTGAAAATAAAATATGTGGGTAACATCATATTTTACACTAGTATCTTAAATGTAAAACTGTTGAAACTGTTAAATAATTGCTTTGGAATGAAACCACTCTGGACGATCATGAATTCATGTCGAAACCATGCAGGTGGAACAAGTAACCGGAATGTATAACCACCTACATTCCCCCAATGTATGGGATCTATTAAAAATTAGAGACAAAGTCACATGTGAAAATTAATACAAAGCATTTTTCCTTTTTTTTTTTGCAAGATGTATGATAAACTTTCACCTGTTGATTGAAGGGTATAATTATCTACTAAATTAAGATAACAAGTACTGTGATTTTCACCTGAACAACAGCGTTGACTTCTTTAATACAATCCACCATAAATTGTACTATTTGATCGGCTGGCAATACTTCATACGCAAAATCTTCTGCCTCTCGTTTGTCTTGTGTTGTACTTGGTTCAGCTTCGAGACCCATTTCCACAAAGTCGTCGTCCTCTTCGCTAATTTCTTCGTCCCCTGACTGTTCATCGTAGTCCATAAAACCATCATCACTATCCATTCTTCTTTATGGACCAGATCCTACTTAAAAAAAACTAGCAAATATTCTTAACAGGATCTCTGTATGCTTTGTACAGGACCAAAATAAAGTCTGTCGTATATTTACTACTGTGACGTCACAATCTGCAGATTCGACGTTACCTTGGATCTCCGATTTGCAGGAATTGGAATAAAATTTAGTCTTTCCAGCATGAAATAAACGTGCAACTCGTTAAGAAAATTATATTCAACACATTTATATTAATATGAGGGTTAAGTTTACGAAAAATGACATCATCTCCGACTTTTTTCAATAACGAAATGAATTGTGGGAAATTTCAATGGAACATTCAGAATACCTCGGGGCCTTTCTGATTTATCTTAGATATTCCGGGTTAGAATGAGATTACTATTTACATCAAAGTGGAATATGCAAAGCAAAAACATATATATGTAATAATAAATCTTTTATCACAATACATAAGGACATCAATGATAGTTAAACAGTTTGTTAAAATGAACAAAACGTTAGAAATGATCTGTTTTTAATTTTTTCTCATTAATATTTATATATATTATATACATATGTTTTACTCGTTCTCTGTGTTTTTATTTATTATGTTTTAAATTCTCTGTGTTTTTATTTATTTAAACATAATTTTCATATATATATGTATATATATATATATATATATATATATATATATATATATATATATATATATATATATATATATATATATATATATATATATATATATATATATATATATATATATATATATATATTTAAAAAAAATAATTTAATTTTAAGAAAACACAAATTTTAACATTTGATGACATTTGATCTTCAGACATTTCTTTATTATAGTAACTGATTATGATATATGACATTGGATACTGCTTTGATACAATGTACAATATATAGAAATCATAAATTAATTTATAAAACACTATTAAGTTTTGGTTGATATATTCCACGCTTTTAAAATGTTTTTCTTAATTACTGTCTCTGGATATCAGTGGCACAATTTTATAGAAAGGGAAAATTTTGTTGTTTTTTACCAAAAACAGTTCCAGGTGCAACTTAATTGAATATTAGTCTGTATTCGGGTGTACTAATGTGTTGCTTATGTACACGTACACGGGCACGGAGAGTGTTGCCGGTTTCACCAATATAATATTAGCACAAATTTTGAACATTTGTTGACAATTGATCGACATTTCTTTATTATTCCTTTATACTATAGACATTGGATACTGCTTTGAGTGGAGGATATATAGATATCATAAATTAAATCGAGGAGTCATATATTCCACGCTTTTATCAATAATTAATTATCAACTTTATGCACGTACGATGTTGATTTGTTTTGGGTAGAAGCTAGGGCCTGTGAATTATTTTAAATTTCATCTTGATCACACTAATATTCAAAATATGATCATGAATCTTAAGGATATCAGATCCTCAGTTAGGAAGGATAACTCTCTTTTTGCGGACAAACAGACAGACAGACGGACAGGGCAAAAACTATATACTCAGAACCCCCAAATCTTCGATACGGGGGAATAAAAACGATGTGTTTGAAAAACATCGATGACCCTTTATGGCAACTTATTGTGAATTTCACTTTCAAAATGCAAGCTAACTGCAAAATCAAGGTCAATGGATCAAAAATATTGTTACACTGCCCAAAGAATTAAAGGACTTGTCTCAATGAACTTATACATATACAGTGTACCTATAAACCTTAAAACCCAAACACCAACTGTCCAATATGTATGGTCAAGATTGAAGCTTTTTTAGAGTGGGTCAAGCTTCAGGGTCAAGGTCAAAGGTTCAAAATTAAGGGTGTCCAGGAAAAGGTATTGTCACAAGAAATTTTACACATGTAAAATATAAAAGCCCTTGCTTCAGCAGCTGTTCAAAAGTTGAACACTCCCACTTTTACACACACACACACACACACACACACACAAAATACAATTTTAACCTTCGTCACAACTTTTGAACTGAGTGTTCTCTAGTATTTTCATGCTTAATCTGTGTATTCATTGTGACAAGGTATCAATATTTTTGACTTTCTGACCTTGATTTTGACCCACTTTTTAAAAAACTCGAATCTTGGCCATAACTTTTGAACAGTTACAATGAAGCGCATTGAAGTGGTAAAATTTTCCGTTTGGATGAAACGTTCTGAGTCATGTTTTGAATGTCAATTATAACATAATGACACGCCCATATTTTTAGAAATGAAAAAGAAATATTCGTTGTAATGTTTTAGGACACATCACTCTTCGTGATAAGCAACATGAGTTACACTGAAATGGAGCTTTAAAAAGATTAAAAGGGAGAGTTAGAGACTCCCCGCTTCTGTAAAACACAAATTGCAACGAATATTTGCATATTTTTGTATTTATCATGTCTGTTGAAATTATCAGAACACGTTTCGGTCGAACACGTGTTTACTCGGTGTTTATTTAGACTGTCAATTTTATTGGCTATTATATTTATGGAAAACCTGTTCTACAGGTACTCGAAGGAATAAATTGACCGTTTTATCTATTTCTAAAGAAATGGGCGTGTCATCTCATGACAAACAACGTTCTAAAGATAGCTCAAAACATTCCATTCGAACGGAAAATTTTACCACTTCAGTGCGCTTCATTGTTTTTTTTAGTACTAGATATATATATATATATATATATATATATATATATATATATATATATATATATATATATATATATATATATATATATATATATATATATATATATATATATATACGTATCTTTTGACCTTGACCTTGCAGTTGACATGCATTGGAGAAACTTAAACCTTCTCTATAAGCTGGGCATCAGTGTTTCACAAACACATCTTGTTTTTAAAGTAGCCACCATCCAGTGATAATTTGAACAGCTAGATTTTCATGCTAAAAATTGCCACGCTTTACTAAAGTTCTATAGTCTACTTTATGCTTACTAATGCAAAGACACTATCAGAACTGTGTTACAATATCGATGTTTCATATTTGAATATTTTACCAGAAAAAGACGTTAATGGTAATCTAACTAGAGGTACTGTGAGCGATGAGCTCACTAAATGATACCCCCCGCCTCCCATATGGTTATAACTGGTGAAAAAGTCCATGTTTTCCTGTGGCCGGGAAACCCAAAATATGTGTCGGATCAAAAAGTAAAATAGGAGGTGCACAATAGCAATATGTAATAAAGATTCTGTGAAAGTTGCATCAAATTTCCTTCAGTGGTATGAGAGGAGTTGCGGATAAGAGATGGGTACCCCAAAGCGTAACAGACGGACGGACGGACAGACGGAAGGACGGACACAGACGGATACCCTCGCGCTTTTCAAGCGGGGGGTATAATGAACGATCTGCTGATAAATTATGACAAAGGAAAACAAACAGATATATACCCTTCCCGCTTTTCACACTGTTCCACATCAGAATCATAAGCTTTATGATACACGTGATGAATTCAACTTTTCAATTGACGACTTCCCTTACTTACATGCATATACATGTATGCAACAACTCAACATACCTCTATCTCCTTTACACGGGGTTTATATCTCGCAGTTAATTGGATACGCAAGAACATCCTCTACGTAGGAACAATTCCTAAAACAAGATAAGTTATTGACAAACAAGTTGATGAAACAAGAATATCACAACTTGCAAAAGTGGGCCAATGACTGGGGTATGCGTTTGACATACAAAAAATGCAACTCATGAAACATATAAACCAGCAAATTCTATACACTGGACAATCATTGCTGGAAGAGGTTGAAAATAACCCCTATCTTGAAAATTTCGGGAGACTTAAAGTGGTCAACTCACATCAACAAGATCACTAAAAAAGCTCATTCAACATTACGATTTCTCCGGTTTATCACACTGTATCCGCAACTCCTCTCATACCACTGAATATGAAATTTGATGAAACTTTCAAAAATCTTTATTACATATTGCCATTGTGCAAAGCCATCCGTTTCATAAAACGAGACTACCACAACATATTTTGGGTTCATCACCACCAAGGCCAAAACTGGACTTTTTCAACCGCTCCAGTTAAAACCATATGGGAGGCATTATGCTCTGTAAGGTGAGCTCATCGGTGCCAGGGCTACCAACTCATAATTTCATTCAAAAACCTAATCCCACCTCTCAAATTAAAAACATTCGATAATTGTGAAAATACAAACATTCTTTCATCTCATGTAAAAATAACAGCATGTTCACATATATATATATATTTTTAATGAATTCAGACATTAAAGTTATATATATATGTATATATATATATATATATATGACGTATTTTTGATAAGTTAAGACTCAAATTCAAAATTAAATTATTTTTAGCTCAGATACGCCACATATAGCTTTAACTCGAGACATATAAAACCGATTTATATTGTCTCTGCTTTAACAGTAGCGTTTTCAATTAGGCCCCTAACTGATGATTTTTAGATCAACCAAATAAGTTTTTCTCAGAAAATAGCACTTTGTAAATTAAAACAGCAGCTTAAACTGTTAAAAGGAGGGGTCCTTTCAAGACCCTCTCTCTGCAACCGGTGACGGGTGGTCCTGCGGGTCATTAGTATGCTCCGCAACAATTACATCGGGTTCGGATTTCAATGGACACAGAAAATGATAGCAAAGAAAATTTCCAGACCCCTGTCAATTTTATCTAACAGAAATTTCCTAAATCACAGGACACTTGACCATGGCAAAAATGGAAATAACTTCACACTCAACGGATGTTCAACAAATTACATACCTTCTAGATTTTTAACCGTCCGTGAACTAATTTGTGATCCTAAACAAAAGTTTATAGCACCCCGTTTTGGAGATTTTATAATAGGACGAATAAGAGCTTTTATTTTCAAACTAGAGCACCCTGATTTCAAATTTAAGGAAACGTTACAAGGATGTGAGCAGGTGCATACTAAATTTTTTTTTTTTTATTTTAGTTTTCTTTCTTTTTTGCGAAGGTGAATTGATAACCACCAGGGCAAGCAGTTTCATTTTTGTTTTAGTTGTAATTACCCATTATTCCATGGAATATGTCATATTTCCACTATGGAAGAGTTAAAGTTCTTAGTGCGTTCTTTTGTAAAAAAGTCGCAAAATGTACAAATCTCGCAGGATTTCTGGGACAAACGTAACATTAATCTGACGAAACAATACGTTGTATGTTGGTGAACAAAATCCTATAACAAAATTCAAATAAATCATTTTATTGTTGTGGACTGTCTATGCATCAAGAGTAGAAACGACGATATAAATTTTTATCTATTGTTTAGG